TGTGCTGGTCGCTTGCCTCCGTTCCGGTTTTCCTCTCCTTTAGCCGTCGCACCCTGTAGCGCTCAGTCGCCTTTGCTCCCACACCTTTGAATACCACACGCTTACTCGTACATGGTGACAAGACTGACCGTCTTCGCCTAGTAGCTCCAACGTCACTCACGACGTTGCAGCACTGTAAGCCGGTAATCGTACCCATCGTGTCCTCACCATTTTCCTCTGCTGCCCTCTCTGAATGGGAGGAAAGAAGAAAGGAAAAAAGCCCCGCGACAGTCAAGGTCGCTTCCTACCAATCACTCCCTCATCCCTGTTCTCTTCTCCTCGAATCAACGATCCAGACGGATACAACAACATTTTCGCACCTTTACGGATGTCAGGAATGGAGCAGGATATCGTTCGAGACGGACAGTCTTCTTCGGGCGAAGATACTCCTCGAGGAGCTCAGCAAGCCATTCCGACTCAGCCTTCCAATGAAGCCAGTTCCTCTACTTCAAATGTTCTCCACGCCATGAATCAAGGCACTCAGCAAGCTGGTCGACCAGTTCCTCCATCTTTCGCTGCGAGGGAGGTCCCCGTCACTGCCCCAACCTCGGCGGCAGGCTTCGCCGGTGCTCCCACGATCTCGATTCAACAGATTCGAGAAGTCATCCAGTCCGAGTTGGCGCACCAGCTACAGGACCTTCGCGGTCGACGATACGAGCCAGAAGTCACACCTGAACGCCGACACATGGACGACATTCTGTGGCAAAGCTCTGCTGAAGTTCAAGAGAGTCGACGACGACATTATCTCAACAGAGGCTACACCATCGAACAAGCCAACAGGTACGTCTACGAGCCAATGGGAGGCACCTCTCAGATGGTGGTTAACCAGCCCAACAGACGCAAGGAATGGCGTGCCAAGGACATCGGCCTTTTCGACGGTATGCCGGCTAATCTGGACAAGTGGCTGAACAAAGTCCAAAGCCTCTGGGACCAAAAGGTGGACCCTCATTGGCGAGAGCCCCTTCTCGAAGAACTTCCCAACTGTATGGTAGGCCTCGCAGATGACTGGTATAGTCAGCAGAAGCTGGAGTTCCGCCAGCGCAACCTTAGCACTTGGGAAGGATGGGTCGCAGCTCTTCGACCAGCGTTCCAGGGCGACATCGCTGAAAAGGAAGCGCAGGCTATCGCACGCAAATGGGAATACAGATCTGAATACGCAGCCGCTTACTTCTTCCAGAAGCATCGAATGATCAAGTCTTGCTGGCCTCACAGGGATCCAGCCAGTATCGCCAGGGACATCTGGAGAGGACTGCCCGAGAGCTACCAAGGAATGATCCGAGAACAATTCTCGGCTAACCCCAATCTCGATACGTTGCTAGAGGAACTCAATCAGTACGAGAACACCTGGAGAAGGCAGGATCTTCGAAATCGTTCTCTGAAGCTGCCAACGGTGAAGGTAGAGTCTTCGGAGACTACCACGACCGCTAGCCATGCGACGACTGAGACGGTGTCGAGCACGAGTAGTCCCAAGGTTGTCAAGCAACGAGAGTCCCTCAAACAATCTTTCGATCCCAAGAATCTCATCTGGGAGAACGGTGTTCAGTGGTATCGTCGACCGGACAACACCAAAATCAAGAGAGATCGACCATGTGGCATCTGCCAAGGCGCACACTTCGACTTCGCACATGACCACGTGACCAAAATCAAGAAAGAAGTTATGGTAATCGACGATGAGCCTTTGGAGTATTTCGCGGGATATCCCATCTACCGAGGAGAGACGATAGACCTTTCGTCAGACGACGGATCATCCCGTACTGCATCCACCCTATCTCCTTCGACATCAAGCTCCAGTGGATCGTTGTCAAACTCCTCCAGCGGGTCGTCTCAGGCGCAACCCATTGACGTGGACGGCGAACTACAGCCGTCAAACTAGACGACCGCAACGTCGCAAAACTAACAGCGAAAGAGCCTCCTGACAAAGTCCCCGTGTTCCTCGTCGATCCCAATCACATTTCCATCGCGATCCCTCATCTTCCAAGTCCACGTCCCACGACGGACACAAAGCAGAAAAAGGAAGTCATCGTCATTCCATCCCCCACAACAATAGGATCCGGTTCATCTCATAGATCATACAAGCCCACAGCAATGCAGCTTCGCATACAAGGTCTCCCCCATCTACAATCGTGTCTACTAGACACAGGCGCAGGACTTTCCGTAATAGACGACGCGCTGGTCCAACATTTGCATCTCAACACGGATTATTCGGTACGATTGGTTGGGATTGGGTCCAAGCCTACTCTAGGACACACCTCCGTCACTTTTGAGATCCCTTCCACGGACGGAGACAAAGAGGTCATACTCCAATTCTGCCACGAATTCCACGTAGTCGTAAATCTCCAGCCTGGCATCATCCTCGGTACCGACTTCATCATCCCGCATGGCATCGACATCCTGGGAAGGAAGAGAGTTGCAGTCTTCCAAGATCGTTACAGATGGAAGATCTGGCCGATGCGCAAAGGCAAGGATAATTCCACGGGAGAAGAGACCTGGGCCCTGGAAGCTCCATCACCAGCAACGCTCATCGCAAAGGAGAGCACTGTGATTCCCGCTAGGACTCACGCTTGGGTTCCCATCACCCCATCCATCACCTTGCCTCAAGAACCGATCACAATTCACCCAGCGATGTGGGAAGGACAACCGTTCGATATCCTGCTCTCGATTCCCGCTATGATCATGTCTCCGAAGCTCACTCACGTCCTGGTAGCAAATCTGGGCACATCAGACGCAGCGATAGCATCGAACTTCCCTCTCTGTCAGGCTTCGACATTGACAGGACCGGAACTTCCCACGGGACAGATCTTCGAGATGAATCCGACTGAGAGATCTAGGCTTACAGATGAAGAAGGTGATGAAGCAGAGCTGCCTTTCTCGTCTAAACATGATCTGGAGGACCAAGATCGTAAGGAGAAACTGGTCGCAGACAACACCAAGAAGGTAGATGACATCTTCAATGTTGGATCGGCCGTCACAGACGAGATCATCACCGTCCTCCGTTCCTTCAAGCACGTCTTCTCCACTGACGGAAAACCGGGTCACGTGACCGACTTCCCTCTTGCGATTCCTCTTCGACCTGATACAACCCTGAAGGCAGAGCCTCCCAGGCGGATTAGTCCTCAGAAACGCGACATCATCGACAAGACCATAACCAAGCTACTGGCCAATGACGTGATCGAGCCCAGCTCGTCAGCCACCTCTTATCCGGTTGTACTCATCAAGCAAGGTGCCAAATGGAGAATGTGTGTGGATTACCGCAACCTCAACGAGGCGACAGTGGAAGATCGATACCCACTCCCCAGAATCGACGACATCTTTGAGTGTCTAGGAAAAGGTCGGGTCTTTTCCTCAGTAGACGCCATCAGCGGGTACCATCAGCTTGACCTCACGCCCGAGGATAGGTGGAAGACGGCGTTCGTCTGCCATCAAGGTCTATTTCAGTACAAGAGAGTTCCATTTGGCCTCAAGAATGCGCCATCTCACTTCCAGCGTTTCATGGACATCCTCCTCGGCTCAATGCGTTGGCAGAATGCGATGGTCTATCTAGATGATGCGGTAATCTTCTCCCCTTCGGCGTCGGTCCATGCGCAAGATCTCAAGTCATTCATGTCGCGATGTGCAGACTATGGCTTGAAACTGTCGCCGGAAAAGTGCTTCTTCGCCGTCAACAGTCTGAATCTGCTAGGCAGACTGGTCACGGTTGATGGAGTGTCCATCATTCCGGATCGGGCCGAAACGATTAGACAGATCGCTCCGCCAAAGACTCTGCATGAAGTCTACAGACTCTTAGGACTGTTCAACTACTATCGACCGTTCATTCCTCGATTTGCAGAGCTTACCGCACGACTGACGGCTAAGACCAAAGGCGTCAGATACGTAGCTAGGCCAGGGAAGAAGAAGCATAAAGTACAGACTGACGACCAGGAATTCAACAGCGCCAAGTCGGTACCCGTCCAATGTGACAAGGAGGACGTCCAAGCTATCAACACCCTGAAAGAGATCCTCTGCAAGCAGACTGTCCTTGCCTATCCTGATCGAGAAAAAGACTGGTTCCTCTACGTCGACGCGTCAAAGGACGCGTATGCAGCGGCCTTGCATCAGCAATTCGACCGACCAGTCCGCGACTCAGACAAGGATGGTGAAGACTCTGACCCCTTAGTCTTACCGGCACAGGTGATGGATATCCCATCGTTCCCAGCTCGAGAGGATGTCGTGACGGCGCAACGGAGCGATCCACTTTGGGCAAGGATCTTGAACAAGCTAGATCAAGGCGAGACGGTGCAAGGCTATACCGTATACCGTGGAGTCCTCACGAGGGTGTCCGACGACACCATCTGTCTGCCAAAAGGCCTAACGAATGAAATTCTCGAAGACGCACACGCAGGTCATGCTGGCATCGCGAGAACGTATTCTCGAATGAGCGCAAAGTACTATCATCCTTCCCTACTGGAAAAGACCACAGCTTTCGTGAAACACTGCCCTACTTGCCTTCGCACCAAGCTGACTGCTCCTACGGGTCGCCTTGATCTGGATGACGACTTCATGGGCATCCCCTTTCACACTGTTTCCGTTGACCTGATGCTCGGAATGCCTGGGACAAAGGACGCATGTCTCATAATCCTGGACGTTTTCTCGAAGCACGTCTTGCTACACCCGATGACGGCAAATGCGACCGCGACTCAGATCTTCCACGCTTTCGAACAACTCGTTCTACGTCGAGGATGGAAACCCTCCCGCATCATCTCCGACAGCGATCAGCGCTTCATTGGGGAAACAGGCAAAGCCTTAGCGAAACGCCTGGGGGCCGAATTAACCCCATCTGCGCCCTACCATCAGGCAGCAAACCCAGTGGAACGGTACGTGCAAACGATCAAGAACTCGCTTATCGCTCTCTGTCTTGATGACGCCCCGGAATCGTGGACGGATCATCTGCTTGCCCTGGAAGTAGCACACAACTCCACCCCGAGTACAGTCACAAAGCTCGCACCGTTCGACATCATCTACGTGGACAGACCTTCTCTGTTGGCGAGACTGACGGATCACTCAGGAGTGGGCTCGATGGATGAGAGGTTCTTCTGCTCGGCAGCAAGGGTTCAGAAGGCAGTCGAAGCGATGAACAGTGCACGTTCCAAGCAGAAAGAACGCTATGACAAACGGCGAAGACCGCTCCCAGACCTCAAAGAAGGAGACCTGGTGATGGTTCGACTCCCAGACCGACCACTCTTTGCCGGCCGAAGACTGCGTACCAAGATTGACGCTCCTCTAGAGGGACCTTACAAGATCAAACGCGTCATTTCGGATCATCGAGTAGAACTCGACCTCCCCCCAGACATGCAGGTGAAACAACCATTTGACGTGTCTCATCTCCAGCTTGTTCCGCCTCCTGAAGAGGACCCTTTCCAGAGGGAGGGTCTCGTAGTCGAATCAGGGACTGGAAGATTCGAACCTCAACGAATTGTTCAAGAAAGGTTCTTCCGCGGTGACAAGCAATACTACGTCAAGTGGCGAGGCAGTTCGCGTCACACCTGGGAATTTGAAGATGATCTCCTTGAACAAGGTTGCGATGAGGTAATTGCTGAGTGGCAAAGCAATCTCGAGGGCCTAGCGACGCCTCCCCTTCCGGCTATCTTCCCGGCTCAGATCGCAGATGCCGAACAGAAGGAGGACGAACAGGACACCAAGGAATCCTCGGTGTGCAGAGACCTGTCCGCTCGAGAGGCGAACTCGCTATCTCCCCCTCGCTTGAGTTGGACTCGCGAAACGCATGGCAAACGATTCCTGGTTCAAGAACGACCGATCGCCTTCTCGTCTCGCGAGACCACTGTCAGTGAGAAGAAGCATGTTGCCATCGAACTCGAAGCTTCAGCTGTTGTCTGGGCCTATCACAAGTTCCTCCCCCTCTTCGAAGGCTGCCGAGTGCATATCATTACCGACCACTCCCCTCTAGTGCAGGTCTTCAAGGGCCCCTCAAGCAAGGTTCATTCAGGGGCGTTGCTTCGAGCAAAACAGAGATTGGCGCCGTATGTCCATCTCCTCACCTTTCACCATCGATCCGGGAAGGCCCACGTCAACGTCGACTCGCTGTCGCGCCTACGACAGATCTCCGAGGATGGCACTCCCGATGTGGAGGCCGAGCCCAAGGTTCCAGATAGTACGTCGGCCATCGCTGCAAGCGAACCCACGAAGGCCAAGCCACAGCCCGAAGACGTTCAGCCTTCGACCTCCAGCTCCAACTCCCCTTCTACCTGAGCACCTCTCTCTACGTCGTAAGGCTCGGCACGTCCTCTACGACTGGTTTAGCTCCAAGCGCATTCCTCACTCATCTTCCTCAGTCGACGCAGATGTCACCTCCCCTTTTTCATCGGCCATCGTCGCCACTACCACGACACTTTCTCATCCCCTTTACCCCTCCTTCATCTTCGTTCGTGGTGGTTCTGGGGGGGGGGGATGTGCTGGTCGCTTGCCTCCGTTCCGGTTTTCCTCTCCTTTAGCCGTCGCACCCTGTAGCGCTCAGTCGCCTTTGCTCCCACACCTTTGAATACCACACGCTTACTCGTACACACATGTCAGCGCCATCCCCAGCAGCCTGGCATGCCGCAGAGAGGGTTGTGCATTACCTCAAGGGCACATTGCACTACAGACTGGTTTACGATGCCGTCGCTGATAACCTAGACGTCTATACTGATGCCTCCTGGGCCAGCGACCCCCACGCAGGTCGCAAAAGCACCTCAGGTTCGGTCGCTTTCCTCTACGGCTGCCCCGTTGCCTGGAAGACAAACCTTCAAAGAGCTGTCTCCCTATCAGCGGTAGAGGCGGAGCTCATCGCAGGATCAGAAGCAGCCAGGGAGGCAGTCTTCATACGCAAGCTTCTACGAGAACTTGGCTTTGACATGCCCGCAACTCTGTTTACTGACAGCCAGGGCTGCGTACAGGTTGCAAAGGACCCAATTCATCATTACAAGCTCAGGCACGTCGACACTCGCTACTTCTACCTTCGAGACTGCGTCCAAGAGGGTGAGATCACCGCAGCATTCACTCCAGGGTCCGCCAACGTCGCAGACGTCCTGACCAAGCCTCTGGGTCGCCACCTCCTCGAACGCCATCGTACAGATCTGCGTTTACGCAGCAGCAGCGTCGAGGGGGGGTGTTGAAGCATCCGTTCCGACCCTTACTTCCGTTCCGTTTGTGCCCTCTGCTTCTCCTATTCGTCGCTTGCTGCTGCTTTTCATCCTGTTCACTTCACTACTACTTCTTCACCTAAAACCTTGCTTTTCGCACCCTAAAATCACTCTCTAACGCCTCCAACGTGACCCCGCTGTGACTTTCGGCTCCGACTTCAACAGATCGGCATTGGAATCAACACTTGCGGGGAATTTAGGCCGCTGAGCCATGAAGCTGGTACCGCGCCTCATTATTCCCCCTTGGCCCCTGATACCTGCTGCCCCTATCTGCATTAGACTTGCTACTCGACACCATCTCCATGACATCTTCCTAGAATTCAGTACCTCGTCCAAGGTGTAGACGACCCTTGCCTCTCTCACCGCCTCTTGCACCATGTCCTTCCTCTTTGCCCTCTCACCCTTCAAGGCTCTCCACCCTTCCTCGCCACCTACCAGCACCACACCCCAAGATCACATCGAAAATCAGGGCAGAAGGAGACTTGCCAGAAGCCACCCCAACTGTACCAGCAGCAATGGCAGTGCAACATTTAGCAGCGGAGGTTTAGCCAGCCCTTTCAAGACACCCTCCAAGTCGTCCTCGGCTGAGAGTAGCATGCGGAATGGGGACGCGGCGGAGAGCAGTGCCATGGCTCAACAGAGGCAGAAGAGGTCTACGAGCACCTTTGAGACCGACTCAGGGTACGAAGGAGATGGCAATGACGATGACCGGCCCCTTGAAAGTGGACAGTCACGTAGGATTCTAGGTATTGGTCAGAAGAGTACCAGAATTGGTGAGCCATCACTACGACTCCCCGGCTTGAGTCGGTACAGCAGGTCGATTGACATTGACATTACATCCTCGGCTCTGCAGACTTTCTCGCACATCTCCCTCACGAGGTCGCCCATTTAATTGTACTTCACCTTCCTGACCATCTAGCTCTGCTCAGTGTCGGCCTCGTCAGCACCGCATGGCGAGCGATAGCAAATGATACGCTTGTCTGGCGAGACTTCTTTCATCGCAATCCAGGTTGGGCGCTCAGAGAAGACTTAGATGTCGAGGAGTATCTGGCAGCAATAGACGAGGAGGATCTGCTCGTGCCCTCGGACCAGCTTGCGGAGCTGCAGAATATGTTCGAGGCTAGAGCAATGGGCTTCGAAGATGTGAGTGGAGGAAGTCTATATAAAACACCCACGAAGGCGCAAAGGGGCAAGAGTCGCTCCGCTGCCTCACAACTCCTCATGGCCACTTCTCCACTGAAGAGCCCAGACTTCGCTGCAGGTCCGTCTCCAGGCCAGCTGAAATGGAGCTTTTCAACGCCAGGGCGGAAGAGGTACGAGGGACACAGCGAAGCGACAGAAGCGCCTCAAGAACGGCTGCTAGATCGACTCGATTGGCGGAGAGTCTACGCTGCAAGATACAGGCTCGCTAGTCGGTTCGGTGAAGTCGGATGGGCTCCAGCGCCTGTCGCTAGTAGGAGCAGTGGGAGCAAGCAGTCAGCCCGGACGAAGAAGCTGAAAGAGCGAGATCGGCAGATTCGAGAAGACTGGGAAGAGGATGAAGACGTTGCATCTGCCGTCTCCTCTCGCGGAGAAGACGAAGATGAGACTACCGACAGCGATGACCCAGAACGCATCGCCCGCCGTGAGGCTGAAGACGAGTCCTTCGTTGCAGCCGCTACCCGCAGTCCCAAGCAGGTCGGCAAGGCAAAGAGCAGTACCCGTGTCCCTCTGAGACCTCAGCTCGCGACCTTTCGTCAACTGGGCTCGCATCTGGACTATATCTACTGCTTGCGAGTGTTCCCCTCCTACCGGTCCTACTCTCCCTGTCCTGGCCAATTTGTCACTGGCTCCAAAGACCACAGAATGCGTGTGTGGGACATCCAGACTGGGAAATGTCTCCACGTGATCAAAGGTCATCAGGGCTCTGTCCTAGCCCTGGACGTAGATGCAGATGGCGAGGTCCTCGTCAGCGGCTCCTCGGACCGGATGCTGGGCATCTGGAGCTGGTTCGGCTGTGCCGAGGCCGTTGCGGCCGCCAAGGAAGGACGGAGCTGGTCCCCTACTCTACTCGATCGGTGGGACTGCCATGTTCCCGTCATGGATGTCCGCCTTACCCCCGACTATCTTGTCCTGGGACTCAAGAATGGCCAGGTACGATCCTATACCCGCAATCCCAACAATCGAGCCGAGTTCAAGAAGTGCGCCGTGTACAAGAAGCAACAGTGTTCCCTCAACGACATGAAAGTGCAAGGACATTTTGTCGCTGCTGGTTTCGCTCTAGGAGCTACGGAGCTCATTGATCTTCGCACGGGGGAGTGTGTAAGGAGTTTCCAGCAATTCAAGGGTGTGGCATGCATCGAATACGATGGGGACATTCTCATCTCGGGTGCTTCCGACGGGATCATCCGCTGTTGGAAAGCCTCGACGGGCCAGCTCCTCATGGTCCTCGGTGGACACGAGCAACTGCCTCGCTCCCTCTTCTTCGACTCGAAGCGCGGTATGCTCATTTCTGTAGGGTACGACGGCATCCTCAACATCTGGGACGTGACGCTGCTCATCGACACGGACCTCGTCGAGGCCTGCGCCTTGGGTGACAGCTGGCACTGTCTTGGAAGGCAATTTCAGAAGCAAAAGAGGTGGGCTGAAGAAGCTCAACAAAGAAAAGACGAGGATATGCTCCGTATCAAGGAACGAGTCGAGGCGCAAGCTGCTCTGGAGCAGGGCACAGGTCAAGGGCGAGGTGTCGATTCGCCTAGCACCTCGTTGACTTTGGCTTCGACTTCGGCTACGAGGACGGGAGGTATTTCCAGTCGCTCCAAGCCTCGAAACACAGCAGCAGTCTTCCCGCGCCCGCACCCGCTCGCAGATCCACCAAAGCCCTACAGGCCTCGCTGGTCTACAAGGCTCTACCACGGGCGAGTAGCACCAGCAGGAACACCCGCTCCCATTCCAGCCGTCCTGCCCGCTAGCCCAGGCCAACGGCATATTCAAGGTCGAGCTGGCACAGCCCCTCCCGGTACCGCACAACCCCCACATCTCCGAGATCACGATGAACCCCAGCAACCCCAGCCCCAGCAGCAGCAGCAGCAGCAGCATCAAATCTTCCACCCTCAATCTCATCCCAATCCATGCCGCTTATTCGATGTAGCCTTTGATGGTAAAAGAATCATCGTCGTTGGTGATTTGCAAGAAGTTTCAGTGTATGAATTCTTGGACAAGGGGGAGAGGGATTGGTTGGGTTGGGAGATTTTCAAATGAGGGAGAGCAGGGGAGTAGAGGAGTCAGTCAGTCATGATCCTACAAGCTCGCTCGCACATAATGTCATCTTTATCCAAACTAACTCAATATCAATATCGTAGACAGCTTATCCCGCTTCATGCATTGTGCGTCGTGCGTCGTGAGCGTGAGTGTGAGTCGTGGGCCTGAGTGAAGTCTGAGGAGGGCGAGGGCGAGGGAAAAGGGCCAACGAGGATGCTAATGGCTATTCAGAGAATACGGTACGCTTCCCGCTCTGACAACGGAAGATCTCAAGGCAAGGCAAGGCAAGGCAAGGCAAGGCAAGGCAAGGCAAGGCAAGGCAAGACAAGGCAAGGCACAAAAGGAGATACATGGCTACATGACCGAACCCTCAATGGGACGGGAAAAAAAGGGACGAGACTGACACTAGAGACAAAGATGGGACATAAAGAGACAGGGCGCAGGGCGCTGGGCGCTGGGTGGGAGCGTGGAGTGGAGTGGAGTGGAGTGGGGTGGAGTACAAGTATGACACAATGAGCTGGAAAGAAGACGGGGGAGACGGTAATAGAAGTGAGGGGGAAGGCACAAGGCAAAAAGGGAGCTTCTGACACTCATGGTCCGGAGGGGCTAGACTGACCTATCCGGTGTCGAGCAGCTCACCTCACCTCACCTCATCTCCCCGTAATCCAAGCACTCCAGCTCTTCTCCCCACCCGCACCTGCACCAGCGCCAGTCGTTCCCCTCAACCTCTCACTTCCCACACCGTCATCTACCGAGCTCTCCATCTCTTCACCATCCACAAGCTGGTAGCTCCCACTCAAGTCCTGCTTACCAGCGCCGACGCCTGCGGCGGAGCGAGTCCGAATCTTTCGTCCCGCAGCACGAGTATGTGCGTGAGCGTGAATGTCGTCTTCGTCGTCTTCTTCAGACCAGTCGCTAGAGGGAGTGTCACGACCTGCTGCTGCTGCTGTTCCGCTGGGTGGGGCAAGACGGGCAGAAGAGCGTGTAGCGGCTGTGCCAGTGGCTGTTGAGCGTGCGAGATTGGCGCGGGAGCGTGTCGTAGGCATTCCCGTCCGTGCCCCAGACGCCTTGGCTTTGGCCTTTGTGTCCATCTCGGGCGAGTCAGTCGATGCGAGCTTGATCGAAGCGCCAGATGGAGGCTGAGTACCAGTAGCGTGGGCGGCTTGCGCTGCTGCCTTGTCCATTGCGCTCACCACTCCAGCGGCAGCGAGGGGTCCGTAATGCTTCAGGAGACCAAAGAGCTGCGATGCGCCTCCGCTCGCAGGATTGTGTAGCGTAGGAGGTGTCTGTGTTGGGCCTGGCTCGGACATATGTGTAGATGACGAAGGGGCAGAGTCGGGAGCCATCTAAATCAGGAGGCCAGGTTGAGGAGAAGTGACGGTCAGTGGCGATTGCTTTGAGCAAGCGAAAGGGGTTGCGTGGGGGCTACTCACTGCTGCTCCTAGGATGGCTGAGCGCAGTTGCTGCCATATGGTCATGATCCAATTCCCTGCCACTTCGCTCGCCCTCCGTCTGGCCGAGGCGAGGGCAACGTCGATGTCACCTTCGTGAGTGCGCAAGAAAGGTCCTAGGTAGTTAGTGTAGAGTAGCGTCGCGCCCTGGGTGAGGAGAGGGTGACGGAGTGGAGAAGGTAGTGTACATAGGTGAGCGTCGCAGCCATTGTGAGTATCTCTTTCTACCCTATTCACCCTAGTCTGTGGTAGTACGAGCCATAGTGTGAATGCGAGCTTGGCGATTGTGTAGAAGGGCAGCCTATGCGTGGGTAGAGAGGCAAAGGCGTGCATATAAGTAAGCCCTCTTTCGACCCCCACTGAGCTCCATCATCATTGCCCAATCAAACTCACCAACTCCAAGCCCACTCTCCCCAACCTTCCACAATCTGCATCGCTCCCACCACACTCCAATACATCAACCACGTCTCCAATTCAGCCATTTCCGTCCTCTCTTCCCCAGTCACACTCCTAGCCAATCCACCTCCTGCTCCTGTAAAGGAGGATTGGTGGGAGGAAATGGCCTTGTAGGAGGCATAGAGGGGGTAGAGGTAGGTGATGGTGTGGTGCACCAAGGTGAAGGGGAGGGAAATGACGAACATGGTGAGTGGTGGTGGTGAAGGAGAGGGGTACGGAGCCTGAGGCAAAGGAAGCGTTGTGCGCCAAGGTAGGGGAGCCGGAGAGCCGAGAGCCGTTCCTTTGGGACAGAGGACTCAAGCGATGTTTCGACGCTGAGAGATGTACAAAGCGGCTTGTATGCCTGTATCGACTCTACTCGGGGTCCTGTCGAGTCGTGGAGATTACTGGCCTATGTCGTTGGCCTTTGCAGTTATCTCTGTAGCTCGCTTGCTCGGCGGGAGGAGATCGGGATAGGAGAGCTTGGTTGAGAGCCAGCAGAGCGTATGGTAAGGTGGACAGCGCCCCCCTGTGATAGCGGGCGTAGTACCTGCTAAGTGAGCAAGAAGGTGATGAGCTTGGCAGCGCCCACTGACCGTCTAAGAAGATGGCAACGTAGGTTGAATGGGTACTGAGATGGGGTCTGGCTGAGCGTGAGCGTGAGCGTGCGAGTGCGTGTGTGCGTCTGATCGGCAGCGGGACCAAATTTTAGATTGGCCCATGTTCGGGGGTGCGGGTGGCTGCCTGCCGTGGCTGGGTGGCTGCTGCCCCTTTGCTCTTTGCTCCTTTGCTGCTGCACCAACCCCGGCCCGCCACGCTCCTCTCCTCTAGTGCCTCACCTCGTCCGCACGGATGCGCTCAGATCACCTCTGATTGCACATCCCCCGCCTCGTGCGGAAGCGGCGAGAGGGTCTGGAGTGGACGTAGATGTAGACGCAGAAGCAGACACTGACACTTCTTCCACGCACTACCTGCGCTGCGCCATCGTCAGACGAGTGAGAGCAGCAGAATCAGGATCGTTGACATTCGGGGAAAGCACAACAAAGTCAAATCAGGTCAGGCCGGGTCGGATCAGGTCTGCTAGTGGTACATGTAGTCGCGGCGCGCAGGAGAGAAAAGGTGGGGCAGTGAGAAGAGAAATGCTCGGCTGAGGCTTTCACCCATCCATCAGCCCATCTCAGTCGACGTCGCTCAGCTCAGAATCCTCTCCCTCGTCTCCAGCTGCAGCCGCGGGCTTCTTGGCGCCCCTCAACTTGGCAAGCGCAGCCCTCCTCTCGGCCCTCCGCTCGTTCCTCCTGATGGCGGCCACGCGGGTACGTGCTCCCCTTCCCTCCTCATCGGCCCCTTCAGGAACCTCCTCATCCTCGCTTACTTCACTCTTCTCCGAGCTGCTCGCATCCGATTCTGAGCCAGAACCGCCCGAGGCATCCTCATCGTCACCGCCAGTGGTCTTCTTGCTCAGCCTCTTCCTCTTCTTTGCACTACGCCGCGCTGCCTTCTTGGCCGCGGCATCGATGGAGGACGGTTTCCTCTTGCGCTCACCCGGCGCCTCCTTGGGTCCTCCACCTGCGTTAGCGGCTCGGCGCCTCTCTGCCTTGGCAATCTCCGCTTCGATGCTGTCCACGATTGACTGAGGAAGCCAGACGCTGCTATAGATTTCCTTTTGCGCCTGAGGGCTGGGCAGGGGCTTCAGACCCGTGTCAGAGGGCACCTTGAATGTACCTGGGTAAGCCTCCAGACGCCAATTGTGCCTCGCAGACTTGTGCTTGATCACCAGCTGCGTCAACTCCGAGAGGGTATAGAGATTCTCACTAGCACCCTGACTGGAGCCGTCCCGGACCGTCTTCAGACGCCCTGCAAGGTAGTAGAGCAGCCCAACGTTCTTCTCTGTAGAGATGCAGTCGATGAAGAATTGCAGGTAGGGCACGAATTCCTTGATCGAGTCAATCGAGTCGCGCGCAAAGTCCGGGTGGTGTGAAAGGAGATGAACGTACCGACAGACGGTCATTTCGGCTTGCTTCAGGCGAACGTCTGCGGGCAGACTTGCGAAGCGGCTGGCCCACGCAGCTACCATTTGCGGATTCTCCTCTTCAGGATCAATCGCTGCCACGAAGGGGATGGCATTGTACCGCGGAGCCAGGCGACGACGAGTACTGAGAGGCTTATTCAGCTCCAAGAGAATCTTGTGCAGGAATTGATTACGCACTTGGTACGAAGGGTCTTGCACAACCAATGCCAAATTGATGAAGTCCCTCTGGATCGCCTTGTCCCCAGCAGGCAGTGCCGCCAGCTTTAGCACGCACAAGGCAGCCTTCAGACGCAGTCGCGCCTTGATGGCTGGAGGCGTGTTCATAGCTCTTGTCTCTCCACTGTCCAACGCTCGAAATAGCAGGCGGAAGACGGGCACCGTCACCTCGGCTACTTTGTCGCCCTCGGGGCCCATACTAGCGATACCACGCTTGGTCAAAATGTCGAGACCGAGTAGCTTGGCCTTGACGGAGTCCTCCATCTTGCTGTCGCTGACCCAGTCATCCTCCTCTGAATAGGCGGACAAGATCTGTTCCGGCCAATCCTTACCCAGGTCTTTGAGAACTTCTTTGAGGATGGTGTCCCAGACATTTTCTGCCAGAGCAGGTGCATGCTTGATGAATTGACCCAAGGCTCCCAGGTCGCACACCAGCTGCAAAGGTCGAGCCGTCTTGATACGAGTCGTCAGCTCGCTGAGAAGCTCCTCAATGTGCCTGCCTGCGCCCGAGATGTCCTTGTGCGACAGCGCAAGCAGACGGGCAGCGTACTTGGCCTGCAGGGAAGTGCCCTGTCTGACAAAGAGGGCCAGGCGTTCCAGTGCCCTTGTGTCTAGTGTCAACTGCCGGCCGGACCGCTTCACAGCACAGAGACCGCGTAAGGTAGCTTCAGTCAGAGCCGCCTCGCCCTCTTCCTGCAGAGACCGGATCAGGTCGCTGACGTGTGGGTAGTACATTTCGGGCGATGATTTTGAGATGAAATCGAGTGTCTTGCCGGCGCTGATCTTGAATGCCTCCATATCGGACAGAGAGCTCAGAGCTGGGCCTTGAGACTGACTGGCGGCTGTAGATGCGACTGAATCGCGGGTTGAGCTTGGACCAGCTTGAGATCCGATTTGTGAGTCTCGCCATTGCGACTTTCCGGACGAAAGTCGCTTGAGCAGAGTTGGTACCGAGTATCGGTTGACGAATGGGTATGAAGCAATCTGCACGAAAGCAGTCATCGTAGGCAAGAGCTTCTCATCGGCTGCCTCTACCCTTCGGAGCGCTTCTGTACGAGCCTTCAGATACGATTTGAAGTCCGTGTTAGGATCGACGCAAGCTCTGAGTAACCTGAAGATACGGGTGTCGTTGGTCTTTGCAAACGCCAACAAGTCATGCGTTGCCTTCTCCCCATTCGGCATCAAAATCGCGCTTCCACGCAAGGATGCCTTGAGCTTCGCCAAAGTTTCCGCTTCCTTCTCAGTCATGACGCCGCCATTGTAGGCCTCGCATGCTTCAATGAAAGGCAGGTATGGCTTGCGAGTGTGAGGTGTCTGCATATTGTTGAGCTTGTTGAAGAGCGCTTTGAGGTTCTGCTCATCTAAATTCTTCATGACCATCAAGAGGCGGTTCACCCACGCCCCTTCGTCCTCTGGTCGAGCCGGTAACGGCAAGATGTGCTTCTCAAAGGCTGCAATCATCGGTACGATGGGCTTGGAATCGACCGTCTCCACAATGCTCGACCTGAGCATAGCACTGGGGATCCAGGCGAAGTGTTTTGTTGCAGCTGGGTCGTGGTTCTCAATCTCCGGGTATGCCAGGCTGTACAGCCTACCCAGAGCCTCTTGCGCTTCAGCTCGCACCGCAAGGCGGCGGTCTCGTAGTCGTTCCGCTACTCTGATGAGGATGTCTCTGTCGAGATGGTGTAAGACTGTCTCGTAATCGAGCGTGCCAATGACTCGCACGAGAGTTGCGCGAACTCGCTCGTCTGGGTCCTGTAGCTTTTCAGTGAGAACAGAGGTGACATCTGCCCTCAGTTCAGAATGATTCGCCAGTAGGCCGCTCAGCGATTCGATCCACAAGACTCGCATAGATGATACTTTGTCTCTCGAACGTCCCAGCCAAGCTCGCCAAGCACTTGGGTACGTGGCAGCCAGGGAGACGCTCGTCTTCTCACCAATCATCTGACCAAGTGTGCGAATTGCAATCTGTCGAACCAGAACATCCTCAGCTGTCAGCTCCTGCTCAAGGATTGCAACGACGTTGAGCAGAAGGGCTGGAACAGTACGGTTGATCTGAGCGATGAGAGCATGCGAGGCTTGCAATTCCTTCTCTCGCTCCTCCATGTCTTCCTCGCTTGAGGCTGCTACGATGTTCTCGCTGAAGTACTGTGCCACATGACTCTGAAGACGATCGCTGCTTGACGTGCTGATCTGAACGGTCAGCTGATGAGCTGAAGGCGTCATTTTGGCCGATCTCCTGCTAAAGTTGGACAACAGAATGTCGAGCACTTCAGAAGGCAGCGTCTGACATTCATCGACCATCTGCGAGAGGATGTCAGCGAGAGATAGCTCCATGTTCTTTGTCATGTCAGGTCTGGAGCAGTATCGAGGACGTTCTAGCGTCAGCGGAAGAAGGCTGCGCATGGGCTCTGAAATCTTTCACTCACCTGACGACATCGTAGAGCCTCTTAAACCAGTCCACCATGAGCTCTTCCGCCTTGTTGAGGTCAGTGACGAGCGCAATGCTTTTTGCTTTGCTCAAGCTGTCCAACAGCCAGGTATAGTCGGAGTAATAAGGGCCATTGGGTGCCGAAAGACCGGATTTGGGACTGGTCAGCTCGAGGAGGAAGAACTGGAACATGTCCTGTAAGTTCGGCGGGAAGGAAGCGTCAGTGGTAGGGCTGAGCACTCAGCATTACGAGGCAGAGCTCACTCACCTGTAGGTCATTTGCAGAGAAAGGAGCATTGGGCGCTGACAGCCTGAGGATATCGGCAAGGCAACAAGCAGTCGAAGCCCTGACTGCCTTATCCTTGTGCAACATTAGCTGCTGTGAGCATAGCTGAGTGTGCACATCGCCTAGAGCTGCCAGATCTAGCTCTTGAGCAAGATGCGTCTGTATGATCTACGGAGAGCGAAGGAAAGTTCTGTTAGCTCCATGCTCTCCGTACTGCCCGCTTTCTTGACGCGAGTCGAGGAAGTCCCGGCTCACCTTGAGCTTCTTTAGCAGTACATCAGTTGACTGTCCTCTGACCGTAAGTTTGAGCGTATCCGCCTGGATTCGGGCAGACGCCCTGCCTGTTTGCGAAGGCATCGCTGGACAAGTCAAATCGTATAGGCTGAAGTTTCGATGAGCAGTCCGATGAGCAGAGGATGTCGAAGGAGAGGCGGATACAGGGTGTGTGTGAGGGCAACGAGGGAAGGGTCAGACACGCGGTCGGCGCGTTCGCGTCGCCCTTTCCGCCTCAGCCAATATCTGAGTTCTAAAATTTGGCGCTCCTCGAAGCTGGGGCCATGATCACTGCTTCCTTCGCTGCACACCAGCCGAGACGTGCCTATATGCCATCATCGCTTGCCCTTTGAGCGATGCTCCTCCAGAGTCTGGTTCTGTCCATTTCAGTCTAGCGATCTCTCTCCTCTCTCATGATGCGGAGCAGCAATCAACAGTCATTTCGTCATATTCAACGCCTCTGTCTTCTTCTGCTCACCATCCCTTCATATGCTCACGCATTTCCCAGTTTCAGGCCAGCCTCACCTCCGTCAGCACCTTCTGAAGCCTTTCTCGACGCACTGGCGCAACAGAGAGAAACAATCGTAGACTCCGGTAAGCTGAATAGACAGAGCACTCGCGGAACTTCTTTTCTGTCACCCAAGCACTTCCCTGCCTGGAGAGTCGCAACGGCTCATACATTCTGACCCTTGCACGTACTTGTAACAGAAGCACTAGGCCTGACTTCCGCAGAGCGCCGTCTCATCTTCAGAAGCGAACGTAGTCTGGCAAGCTATTCTCGTCGATCGGACTGCTCGAATGCTGTAGCTACCTCGTTACAGAAGCGGTGCGGTGATGAGCTCGAGGATTCGGATGATGAGAGGATAAGAGGTGAGAGGTGTCGATGGACCTTATATGCGCTGCGACAAGATAGCAGCTGACACCGAAGGTGTTTGTATGCTGGCAACAACAGCTGCAATCGCCCTCACTAAGTGCGACTTGGCCACTGCAGGACAGACGCCGCCGTTGGAGTGCTCGGGTATTCAGCCTTCGCAAGGGATGGGCGTTGAGAGAAATCCCGCAAGCCCTTGTGTCGCAGCCCTTTCACGCTCGCCTCAACATTGGTCTACCTACTCTGGCTACTTACGCGAGATACCAATGCTATGCTTTGCCCTCAGAAGGCAGTTGGAGGTCGACACCGTGAGAGAGATCTATGTCAACATCAGCCAAGAGAAGATATCCATACTGAAGGTGCTGAAGAAAGGCGCCGAAGGAGCTTTGCAACGAGACCAAGACCAGGAGGTCAAGTTGGCAGAATTCATCGATCACATGAAGACTGCGACGTATGAGCTAAACAAGGATCTCTTCGCTACGGTCAGATCTATCAGAATGGTCTCACAGGAGGTGACTGACCTCGTGCAAAGCTCACGAGCGAGCGAGGAGTTCATGGTCGCTGTTGAGCAGGTAGTGGCTCTGGCACAAGAAAGGATCGAGCAGGCTGCGTCCAAGACCAGCAAAGATACGGAGCTGCACCTCAGCAAGTCTCTCGACCCGCTTCTAGCGAGATTGGCGGCCGAGCAGTCATTAGCTCTTGCCGACAGCGCGACACACTTTGCCTCAAGACTTGACACTGCATTGGATAGCATGCGGCACCGCTTCGACGACGCCGTAAAGCAGCTTTACGACTCTCTGGGTCCTGTCAAGGAGCTGTCGAGTATCGTGCCTCAATCGCAGATGATGATGGATCAGGTCTGGAGTAGTTTCAAGCAGGTCGTCGATAGCGTATCACCGCTCCTTACACAGGTCGACAAGCTCAGCGATCTGCAGAATGAGCTTTCCATCAGAGAGCAGGTCAGGGCTACCAATCTGTCCGCCCTTCTAGACAGGATCGAGGTTGCACATACTCGCGAGCTGGATCTGTACGCCAGACGAGAAGAGGAGAGGTCGAGAGTATCAATGCGGCCCATGGGTCTGGTGGAATTCATGACCTCACTTTTGCTTGGGGACACAATGTCTCCCCACAGCATGGGAGAGGGATCTATCTCAAAGCTAGGCAGCATCGACGATTGGCGTCCATCGATCATCGGACATCTCTTGCGAACCCTTCCACTCTCAAGTCCTGCAAGCATAATGCTCCTCCGTGGCTGTCTAACCACCCTGATCGTAGTGATCAAAGTAGCCTGGTCAGCCCTGTGTCTTATGCTGGTAAGCACCGCGGTGGACTGAAGTGTCTGAAGGAAGTTTTCGACTGATTCATCTTTCCAATGTCTCACGAGAATCTGCAGTCCCTAGCCATGCTCCTCGCGGCGCTCTCCACTCGTCTGTTCGCCCCATTGCTCAGAAAGGGCTGGGCGATCGTTCAAGCACCAGCACGGCCAGCGACTGAAACCGCTGAGGAGCGAAGCCCTCAAAGAGGTCAGACCACGACAGTGAAGCAGGAGCCAGTGACCTGCGCCCCCGCAAAGCCGTATACATGGCAGACGGTCCCAGATCGGCCCGCTGCAAAGTCTCCTCTGGATCTCCCACCGTACAGAGCAGCCCTGGAGCACGAGCGCGATCTGGGCGAGACAGATCCCAGAGATAGGTTCGCAAGCCCAACACGAAGGAGGGGAGGGTGGAAGAGGAGCAGTAGTGCTCCCTTGTAGACCGGGCGAGACACTCAAAAGCGACAATTGTGGGGCAATTATTTGACATTGTGAAAAGGGAAGAGGACGTAAAGGTGTCACAGTGCGATTGACAGGCGAGCCGGGAAAGACGAGTGTTGCGTACGGTGCTGAATGGACGACTCTAGATTCGAGGTGACAGGAAGAGGGGCCGGCCTACATGCCGTACATACCCGTACCGTCTCGCACTTTTATCGCAAGGGACGACAGTGTCAAGCAGGAAATCGTTCTCCCTGTCAGTAATTGTCGCATTCGATACCCTTGATCAAGCAGATGACACTCACTTTTAGCTACATCGCTCGCGCTCATGTGCATCTTCTGGCTCTGGAAAAAGTCTTCAAAGAGCCTAGTCGCCTCTGCCTCTCCCCTCGGCGAAGCCGCATTTCCTCCATGACCAGGGCTTGCCAGCATGGGATTGTCTGCACCGCTTCCGCTCGAGCCCAGTACGGCAGGACTGCCCTGTGATAGGACGTGAGCGTCAATAGTTCTCTTGATGTCATCCCAGAACTCGACGCTGTTGATCTTGGCATAGTGCAGTCGACTGATGCCGCCACCTGCGGGACTGGAGGGACTGCCGTGCATGTCTACGTTGCTCAGGGTTCCGCCGGGTTGGGCAGAGGGTGTAAGGGGACGTGGAGCGCCAGCGTGGGCGCGACCGGAGAGGGTCTCGTCGTCCGTTGTGAGAGTGAGCTCTGGGATGGAGACGTTGGAGGTGGAGCGGTTGTGTTGGAACTTGGACGAGGTGGAGCGAGAGCGGGTGGGCGGGGTCTTGGGAAGGAGCGAGGAAGGCATGGTTGATGTCGAGGTGGAGGCGGGTGTGGGAGCTGGAGCTTCGGCGGGGGCGGCGGGGGCTGCGAATGAGTCTGACGCAGGCTTGGAGCCGGACAGTGCTTCGTATTGCTGTTCATGGGAAGGCGTGGAGAACGTGGGTTAGGCTTTAAGTAGGTGACTGCAAGCGCAGGCTGAGGAGCTGCTTGGTCGGTACCACTCACAGCTGGTGTGTAAGTCTTTTGCGAGAAGGCATGCAGCTGAGCGATTTGGTCTTTAAGTAGATCATTGACTGAGGGTGATGGAAGACGAAGGCCGGTGGAGAATACATATAGGGGTTTCAGTATCATTCTGCGCCGCGGGCCGACCAAGAGGGGTAGGAAAGAATGGCGGGCTGTCGTTCTACGGGAGCTTGGCGCTAAGGGTACTCACCCATCCTGTGTCGCTTCAATGTCGGCAGTCTATCATGGCACAGAAGGCGGAGGGAAATGAATAGTGTCAATGAATGCTTCATCTGCGCTGAAGCAAGTATTGGCATAAAGCCATGCTCTGGTCACTCACCCTTGGAATGCTGGGGATACAATGATGACATCGAATGCCTGGGTGGGGGAAAGCGAGACATATGCCAATCATGTCAGCTCGTCTGTAGTGCAGAGAGCCATGAGCTTCCTTGTGAATGGTTCTCACCTGGCCACATCCTCCGGACACGTCTGACACGACTAGTGTCTTTACATCTTGGACCTTCTCGCGGATAATGGCTTCTAGCTCCTGCGAGTTCATCAGGGGCGACGGTAAGCGAGTGCGAGATGCAGAAGAAGAGGATGGATCCGAGAAGGCGAGATGGCTGTCTTGTAAATTCTCAAGGAGGAACTCTGGCTATGCAGCTATAAGATGGTGATGAGCGCAGGTGGTGTTGGGAAGCGTTGGCTGTGGTACGGGCCTTGATGGATTTCCAACGTGAGGTGCCTGCGCCCCGCCTGCCCGCGTGGCTGCCTCCACGCCTTGGCCCTGGCTGGGCTCAGCTGTGCGTGGCTGCTTCCGCCTTCGGCCGAGGACAGGAAGATTGGCAATGGCTGCCCAGGTGCGTACATGCTGCCACACTCCTCCTCTTCACGTATATCCTTCATACCCTCGATAGTCTTACCCGCATCGTTTGACGATGGACCAGCTCGACTCTCACCAAGGCCAGCCGCGGCAATTGGACGATGGTTTGGCCGCCCTCTTTCAAGGCAGCCACCCTTCTTCTTCCTCCTCCTCGGTCTCCTCTTCCCACGGCTTACTCCTATCTCTTTCCCAGACCCTCCACGGCCTGCAGGCACATCCATCCGTGAGCGTCCCTCAGCTGCAAGAAGAGATCCTGCCCTTGCTAGCTCTTCCCGCACCAGACGGGGTCTCTGCGCTGCTGCTGATATGGAAGGGCGCCTTCGAAGGCAAAGCTTCTGAGCCCACTGGCTATACTTCCAACGAGGAGGTACGGATCAATGTACAGGTCGCACTTGCATCTGCAAGACTCCTTAGAAATGTCGTAGGTGGGTGCGAGCCGTTGCAGAATCTCGTCTTTGAAAGGACGGCTGGAGAGATTTTGGCTCTGCTTAGGCTTGGTAGCAGCTTGGCCTTTGTATCTGATCCTGAGCGTGAGTGTGGGACCATCTGATAGAGTTCACCGCCCAGAGCGAAAGCCCTTGGAGAAGCTTGACTAAACATTCATCCTTGCTCCTTACTCCTCTTGTGTCTCTCGACGATACCAGTCCAACCTCTGCTACGGTCACTCGTGCAGCTTCTGTCCAACCTGGTCACCCTCAACAAGCCTCTCCAGAAATCTCTGTTCTACAAGCTGCGCCTCATTCCATCAGCCTCTTCATCATCATCCTCGTCTGTGGAACGGATCACCGTCCTGCAAAATCTCCTTTCCTCTCCCGATACAGGCACGGTAGAGGCGGTACAGATCCTACTTCTCAATTGCATCAAGACATCAGCTACAAATTCCTCTGGACTCGCTGTCAGCCCCGGTGGTCGGAAACTGCTGGGACAATTACTGGGTCTTTTCGAGGCGGCTGTTGCTGAAGACGAAGACGATGGAGCCGGCTTGGGCTTGGAAGAGTCTCCGCTGGTGGGCCCGACCATCGTGGAGGAAGACGAAGATGAAGATGACGTCGATGAGGTCGATGAGGAGGAGGAGGAGGAGCATGCGACTGGTCAAATGGATGACTTTGGCGCCGATGAGCTGCAGATCGATGAACCTGTAAGCACCAATAATAGCAGTAGCTCAAGATCTGGCAGTGGAGAACGTACTCTCAAGAATTCCATAGCTGCTGGGCAGAATGGTAAGAGCGGACGGAGAGGGAAAGGATCTGGGAGGAAGAACGTACTTAAGGCGGGCGAAGCAGACAAGAGAATTGGGGCGAGCACTCCGACAACAGTAGGGTGAGTAGTCTGCTGGCGAATACGACGATCACTGAGCATGAGTATCGCTAATCGCTAATCTCCTGCTTGATGTACCTTCCTTCACGTAGCTACGCCATCTTCGCCCACCTCTTCTCGATAGGCCTCTTCCGTCACATGTACGCCAACCTCGGACCATTGGCTCCTTCCACTCCCACTCAGTCTACCACCTCCGATGAGCCACTAGTGACAACGGAACAGACTCTGCTCCTCAAGACGCTCGATGCTTGGATCAACGCAGGCGGACAGCATCACCCCATGGACGACCTCAGCTCTATCGACCAATTTAAGAATCTCCCAGGCGAATTTGTTCGGTTGAGCAAATTCGTGCGGCGCTTCATTGCCGACTTTGAGAAGCTGGAGAAGGAGGTAGAGAAGAGCGGCGGAGCAAAGGCTGCAACAGGTCAAGATGTGGACCGGAGAATGATCGGTGCCCACCAGGCATTGGTCTTGATCCTGGAAGTGCTGGTACAGCTAGGCATGATCGGCTGTGAAGGCCTCGAGGAGGATGAGCAATTCAGAGAGGAGAGCGAGGAGATTCTTCGTCGAATGCGAAGCGCACCCAGTGGCGCGTCCGTCGCGACTGCAAATGGTGATGGATCTGACAAAGGAGTGCAAGCGGAAGAAGAGGCCGGACAGCTAGCGCAAGAAGAGCTCGACGTAGTAGCCGAGCTTTTGCTTCTTCTCCGGGCAGTCATGTCCTTTGCCCCTCCCGTCTCACCCTTCAAGTCCACCCTACCCCAATCCGGCCGAGCAGTACCCGAAGGTCACGCTCCCACCAGTACTGGGCTCGGGCTCGGCTCTGCCTCCTCTGCCGCTGCCTCCTCACCGCTCGCAGCGTCCAAACCGCGTCTGGACAACTTGCAGCGCACCCTCATCCAGCTGCTGGGCGTTCTGGTCTTTGTCCACTCTCCCAGCTCTTTACCCCAGTCCTTCCAGGAGCGAAGCAGGGGGGAGAATGAAGAGGAGAGGAGAAGCGTGACGAGAGTGCAGGATAGAGTACGGGAGCTGGGTGGGCTAGCAAGCGTCCTTGGATGCACGAGAGTGGATGAGCGCAACCCTTGTGAGTCATGGAGGAAGGCAATCGAGCGACAGACTGAAAGAGCATGTGAAGAGGGAGAGGTGTGGGAACAGTACTGACCCGCTCGCCTGCATTGACATTGTCCATTGCCAGATATCCGCGAACATGCAATCTTCACATTGCGCTACCTTCTGCAGGACAATTTGGACAGTCAAGAGTACATTGCGAAGCTGCAACCCGTTGGCCACACTGGACCGTAGATCGAGACCTTTACGTCTGAGAAGAGAAAGGTGCGGAGGGGGGGGCGAGCGAGGGTGAATCAAGAAATAGACTAGAAGCCTTTAGTGGAAATGTCACCGGTTGTTCTACCTCACAGGGTTCATCATGAATAGTGTTCGTCGCCATCGTTTGCTCTTGCCTTTTGTTTTGATTCAATACTGAATGCTCTAGCCCCTAGAAAGTTGACAGATTCCAAAAATATAGACATTTCTAATTTCCTCGACATGTTAGACTAGCGCGTCTACTCCGCTACAAATCGATCTGAAGAGGGACATACAAGCTAAGAGCCCGAAGCTCATCCATTTCATCCCATCCTCTCCGCTCCCTATCTCACTCCCTCTCCTTCTCCTTTTCTGTCTTGCAATCCTCATCAAACCACACCCGCCCCACTGCGCCACTCGCGTCTCGCAGCACCCATCACCTCCTGCACCCTCCGATCCTTTGCCAATCGCTCCACCCACCGCAAGAGAGCCTCATCGTCTTCTGGTACAAAGACTTGATTGAGGGTGGACATGATGTGCTCAAAGTCCAGCTCAGGTGCAGGTGAGGGGTCGCTAGATACGATGACATTGCCAGAGCCGGAGCCGCTATTGCCCGAGTGAGATCGTGAGTGCGGGTGAGAAGATGAAGAAGCACCTTGCGCCGCCTCTGCACCTGCGTCTTTTGGGTCGCGGAGTACTGTCAAGCTGAGCGAATGTAGTACGGCGAGTGAGAAGAGTACCGGTGCGTCTCTTCCCACGAGTAAAAAAACGTCCCAGAGCCTCAATTGTGTCTCGAATGGTACGACGGACGAGAAGAGGGTGATATGCCATCTTGTGGCATATGCACTTCCCACTACTCCCTCGCGCTGCATTGCACCGTTCAACCCTGGTAGAAGTAGCTCAGCGAGCTTTTCCTGTACGTGAAACCCTTCGAGAAGTCCTGGGAACCCAGGGGAGAAGAGGTCGTGTAGGGCATATTTTGGTGAATCGTGTAGAGCGACGAGGAGGGCGTAGGCTTGCTCTTCGGGATAGTAGCTTAGCAGAGTAGCTGCGAGCGAGCCCATGCCTTGGCAGTATCCGCACTGAGGACACAGAAGGGAGAAACAGTGTAGGACTCGAAAGAGAGAGCGTTGACCGAGGCCATAACGAGTGTGGAAGTGAACGTGGTTGCTAATTGTGCGCGGGACGTCCAGATCGATTTGTACGTCGTGGGGAGAGGGGACATTGAGCAGGCGGGAGAAGCGACGGATGTGGTCCTGACGACTTCGACGGGCTGCTGCTACTTCGAGAGGTTCAGATGAGCGAGAGGGCTTCGTCCTTGTGGTACTGCTGGCGTTGCCATTGGAACCGCCTGCGCCACTACTCTGACGGCTCTTTCGAGGTCGGCGAGTCGATAATTTGCGCTTGATCTCTGACAGACCTGATTGCGCCGGCGGCGAGGCGACGTGAGCTTCAAGCTTCTCCGTCTTCGCATTCGCGTCTTGAGAGGTCCCAGTCTTGCTAGAAGTGCTGCCTTCACCGACTTGAGCGGTGCCCATCTCTACCAGTGCCCACCAAGCTCCCGATCTCCATCGATCAGGAATCCCCTTGAAGACTCTCCTCTCCAGCTTGCTACTACCCTTGAGATCATCTCTAATGGTGTAGAATGCCGTATTGGCCCCTTTCTTCTCTCCAGGCACAAGCATCTGCGACCACTTATCGATCCTGCTCTGCTCTTTCTCGCGCTGTGCCTGCTGTGACTTTGCTCGAAAGGCAGAGATGGCATCGGCCTTGGGATGTTGCTCTACCGTCTCGCCATCTCCGGCACCAGCGCCAGCAGAAGCGGACGAGGCCGGTGTGCCAGTGCCGGCTGATCGACCTGCACTGCTGTTGCTGGTATGGCCCAGGTGTGGTGAGGCGACGGGCGTGACGCCGCGTGAAGGGTTGGAGGAGCGTAGGCTCTGCACTGGCTGGGCAGGCGAGACCTCGGTAGCGCTGACTACAGATCGAGCTGCTCGAGAGGCGGCGGCCATCTTGCTGGACTGTGACCGGGTATTTCCGGGATTAGGAACGAGGCTGAATGTCGCTGCCGGCAGAATGCATATGCGACCATGCTGTCCGGACCAGTCTCTGGAAAAGAAGCCGTACCTGCAGAAGAAGAAGAAGGTAGGAGAGATCAAGGAGATGGTCAGTCTCAAAAAGCTACGACTGTCTCTGTCTGCACGGCAGCTCACCTATCCAATCTCTTCCAGTTCTCCTCCTCCTCATCTTCCTCATCGACCGTCTCATCTCCAATTCCAGCACCACCAAATCGTCTCGAGCCCAATGTAAACCTCTTCCTCTGCTCCGCCTCCTGCTGCAAACCCCAATCAACCGAGTCCAGCTCCGTGATCTCGGACATTTCCGATTCGGACATCCGTCGTCCGCTGGCACCTCCATGTGGACTGGCGAGGGGGGAGAGAGTGGAAGAGGCAGAAGCGATACGACCCGGTCGGGCCGCTGCGCCATTAGGATGCAGGAGGCCTGATCCGGATACGGAGCGTGAGGTCCCATTGCCATAGGCTGAGGTGGAGGCGAGGGATGTGGATGAAGAGGCTGCAGACATGGTTGACAGAGGCGCCTCGAGGTGTCTGTATGCCTCGTCTTGGCTCGATCTACTTGGTGACTTGCCAAGAGGTGGAAAGTGTGCAAAGCCTTCACTCTTTCTCGAAGAGCGCCATCTGGATCGAGGTGAAGAGGGGCAAGAGGTTCTGCCTTGCAGACTTTGAGATGAGGGCTGGAGATAGTCATTGGCCGTAGTCGGGGGAGCTGCTAGTGGAGAAGACTTGACAGCAGCTGCGCTACTGCTCGAGGAGACTGCCCGCCTGGTTCTCTGAAGGCTGCGCCGAGGGCTCGTAGGACTCGAAGCTGCCGACGAAGGGTCAAGATTATCATTTCTGGAGGCTCCTGTACGACTTTGAGAGTTCTCGCTTGTAGCGGTCTCTCGGGACGGAGGAGTCTTCAATCTTGGCCCTGCCCGCTCGCTATTCGACCTACTCAGGCTGCCTGATGCCCCCATCCCCTCTGCTTCAGCGTCCCAAGGTGCTGGTCCATCAGCAGCACGATGTCTTGTCCATTCTTTGCCTTCCACGATGCCATCTCCCTTGACTCCGATCTTGTCAAAGTGCATGTAGGTCTTGCGGACATAATCGCCTTCGGATTCTTCCGGGCTGGTCCAGGATTCCGAGGCGACGGTGCCATTTGAGATGATCGAGGAGGTGGGACGAAGTTGGTCCGGAGGGGCGAGGAGGTTGCTATTGCTAGAGTCAGCATAAGAATTTGTGGACATTGACTGGGCCGAGGGTTGGCGAAGGGACGGTGCGTGCCTGTTGCGCTCATCGACTAGTGGCTCCAGTGGTGGAGCTGCTTGTAGCGGAGGACCGGACGAGTGCCGCTGTATGCTGCCTGCAGCTTGCTGATCTTGAGGGGACGAATACAGGTGAAGGTCTCTCTGAAGGCCATTGGATAGACCTTCCACCTGCTCGCTTCCTTGTTGCTCCACCATGGCCAGGAGTAGTAGAGGTAGAGAAAAGCGCCTTGCCTATCGGAGGCGTTAGGAATCGGACAAAGGGTAACGGATCGAAGCGGAGCTGGCGCGAGAATCAGATCATAGCTGCGCTGCTTGCTGTGTTCTTCCTTCTCTCGATGTGTAGAGGTGATGCCAAAGGTAGTAGAAGCAATGAGCTGGACCAGGGTAGTCAAATGAAGCCGCCTTGGGAGGTGCGGGGAAGCAAAGGCAGGCGGGCAGGGAGGCGCCGGTGCCTGACAGATGCCAGACTATGACGCTGGAAGGGGTGGAGGTAGGATGCGGGGTGGGCCACCGACTGCGACACTCTGGAAACGACGACGACGACGACGATGATGAAGGTGAGGACAGAGTAGCCCAAGAGAGAGCTACTTGAATGACTCTTCGTAGCCCCTTAGGCTGGCAAGCTCAGATCTCCTTTGCCGTCTGGTGGTGATCCCCCTCCCTTCTTCTCATGGCCCGCCAGGCGGAGAGCCATGCGGAGCGAGCCATGCAGCACGTCTCCCCACGCCCTCGTCAGCCACAGAGCAAATGGGCGCGCCGCACATGGTTCAAGCCCCTGCTTCCATCCCCGCACCAGCCCCCTTGCCTCGGGTCTGCCGCCGCGGGGGCACGCAGGCGAGCATGGTCCCCCAACTAGTCAACCCCTGCGTCTAGGACGCAAGACTTGCAGACAGATCAGACGTAGCGATGGGATGGAGAGAGGTGACAATGAACATCGATTTCTGCCCTGAGTATGTGGAGAGTCAATATGAACAGATATATGACAAGAGGCTATGCTACCACCCGCGCGAGCTCTGTACGGACAAGACTGGACGGCCAAAGATAGAAGGCAAGAGAAGAAAGAGTGGGACAGCCTGAAGGTATATGCTGATTGTTCAGAAATGACATCTGCTCAGCAAACTCCCCTATAAAGCTGCTGTTGCGCCCCAAGAGAGGTGACCTCTGGCCGCATCAGCGTTCACGAGGAGGAAGAGAGGCCGAAAAGCGATGGTGCCAGATCACGAGGCACTAGAGGGGGCAGCGCCAGTCGCGAGTCAGTGTGCCTAGGAGCGAAGCGCCGAGTCTGGAGTCCAGCTGGAGAGGAAGTAGCTGACGTGGTGCTGCGATGCTGGCTCGTCGGCGCATAGGGTGGCCGGATCATTGGCGCAAGGGTCTGACCTGACGAGACGTCGAGCCCTACCACCCCGCCACGTACTTGATGGCCAATGGCGGTCTGGGCGAATGAGTAGCCTGCTCTTGGGTCCATGCCTGGTCGCGGGTAGGGATAGGGCTTGATCCAGGCAGGGACATTGCCCTCCCTCGCCGACGGAAGGAAAGCTCCGTCACCAACAAGTCCCTCAATTGTCATGGCTGGGTTCTCGAGAGCGGGTTCGACCGTTGAGAGTCTTATCGGCTTGGAGAAGGCAGGCCTGCCGATGCAGGAGAAGCCGATAGTGTTCGAGCTGCCTAGTGGACGGAGCGGCCTGGGCAGCTGAGGAGCTCCACCGAGAAGGAATGCAGAGGAAGCATGGCCGCGACCCATTGCCCAACTCGCTTGTAGTCGTGGTAGGTGTCGTGGCAAGAGACTATTCGCACATCCCTCAGAAGGTTTGGATGGCACTGCTTCTCCGAATAGCCTGTGGCAATCGCTGTCTTGGTATCCGCCCACTTCTGAGCGCTGCGAGCTTATGCCGGAGAAAGCTGAGGATTGGCTTGGCGACCCAGCCTGTTGAGACGGGGTCGTAGGTGAGGACATTCCATGCCTCTCGATAGAGCTCTGCTGACTGCTGGCGGTGCTCAGTCGAGTAGGGTCAAAGGGTCGATGCCTGTCTGATTTTGGCGTGACTGGCTGCATGACAGTGGCAGGAAACCTGAGTGAGCGTGATGCGCAAGATCCCACATTATGTCCCTGCAGAAGCTACTCACTGGCTCGAGGAGCTCCATACCGTGACGCTCTTGTCTCATTTGACGATCAACAGAATGACTACCCGGTGGTGTCCAGCTGTGGCCCACATTGAGGTACGTCGGGCGAGTCGGGACCGTCTGTGGGAGAGGAGGAAGATCATCAGCTGAAGACTCATAGCATAAGTGTGGACAACAAAGCCGTTGCCCCTCGCCGGTACTTACTTCCATGTATGCATCGTCTGCCTCGCTCTCGTCTACATCGTGCATGCCATGTTCATCGCAGCGATTGTCGTGACCGGAATGAGCTTGGAAGTCCACGTCTGCAGGTGCCTTCCGGGTGGGGTTTTGATTGGTCCTCGTACTGACAGATCGCCTGTCCATTGTCTTCGTAGCTTGAGCAATATTTGCGTCGCCTCTCTTCCTGGACGTCGTTGCCTCCCGCTGGGCCCTGGAAGTCATTGCTAGAGTTTTCTGCCGGGCGACTAGCTTGAGTTCGGCAGCCTTGTCATAGTAGCACTCGACCTTGCCTCCGCGCTTTAGGCAGCTAATGCAGGGCTGGCCACCGGAGCACTTGCGCTTGGATGCTCGACATGGATCGCAGGCAATGGGCTGGCGAGATCTTCTCGCTGAGGAGGCTGAATGCTGGTGCAGGATGGTGTTCGAATGTGAGCGGGAAGCTGATCTACTCTGCTGAGCCGAATGTCGGACAGTGGTGTCGGAGACGGGCCGACGTTGTCGTCTGGAGCCGTTGTAGTAAGACAGGTTCTGATTGGTAGTGTGATCGTTGGCGAGGCGATGAGGCATATGAAGGAACGTCGTGGTGCTGGATTCGGACTGAGTCTGCTGAGCACAGGCTTGCGATGAGCTCGGGAGCTGAGACGATGGCTTTATCAGAGCCACTGGTTGGAGCGGGTTCCTATGAGGCATTGTTGACTCGAGTCGGCGTGCTTGTGTCGTTGCAGAAAGGTGGGAAGCGGTCGAAGAGGCAGTCTTCAAAGCTTGTGGTGGTCAGGGGCGGGGAGAGTGAAGACGAAACGAAGCGATCGAGTTGCGGATCGGCTGCTGGCGAGGTACCCGCGTGATCGGTCTGCGGGCCGCACGCTTGGCGGCAGTCAAGTGCTGAAGAGATGGGAAGGCTTCCGAGAGGTCGAATGCGTCCGAGTCAGTCTACAGCCGGAATTGAAACGCCTGGGAGAAGGTCAGCACTTACAGCACTGCAATGTCTCTGGAATGGCGGGAGAAGAAAAGCTATCGACGACGGCTTAGGCGGGATACGAGGGGAGAGTCTGATGCGGTACTCCCCGAGTCTTCCGGGTGTAAATGAGACAGACCCTGTGAAGCCGTGAGAGGGGCCAGCAAAAGCGTGAATGGGGAAGAGCGCCAAGAGTAGCGGAGCACGGGATTAGTATGGCAAGCGAGAGAAGGATGGTGAAGGGGTAGTCCCTTCTTCAGGCTACACTACCATTGTCCGCGCAGTCCATGTGATGCTGGCTGTGCCCTCTGCGCCCTTTGACGCCTCATGGCCAGCAGCGGGGTCACAGGAAACAGGCGGTGGGAGTCAGGTGTGCTGGCGGACAGGCGGGAGATGACTAGGTTGATGGGAGACCGACGATGCAGCCGCAACAGCAACTGCACCGGAAGGCAGATCCCACCGCCCTCAGGCACACGACCTCCTCAGTCCGGATGCACTTGCACACGAGGGACCTTGGCAAAGCACCATCTTGATTCCCGGGCCAAACAGTTGCCGCTAGCTACTACGATGGTAAAGTAGGCGGCTGCAATCAACGTCTCCTGATACTTCGCCGTTGGCAAAGCAAACAAGAAGCCCCGAGAGGAGAGGGGGTATTCTGTGTGTATGGCCTTGCTGCTCTGAGGGAACCTTCCGATCCGATGTCCTGCTGCGTTGCGGGGGAGGAGATCAAGTCCAGCTTCCCTCTTCGGAGAGTCTAGGGTTACTGCATGTCCCTTCTTCTGCCGGCTGCCGCCTCCCGTACCAATGTACAAGCGCTCATCGACTTTCCCGCTACTTGCGGACCGCCCTCGTGCTCCTGAGCAAGCAAAGAAGACTTCTTTTGATTTGTCCATGGTCCAAGACCTTCGACGCAGCTCCTGTGTCTCTCTGCCTCTCCGAAGCTGAACAGGGTGGGCAAAGGCGTTAGATTGATCGCGCCATCCTACCAAGGCCGAAGCAGGCACAACGGCGATTTTGCCGAACACAGATGGAGTGCAGCACAAGTGCCCTGGTGATGCATTGCTCTCAAGAAAGAAGCAGACATCACGTCTCGCCGGGCGCTCGTCGCCTCCGTTGCTTCGTGCCTACCTATGCGGAGGAGCGAGACTTTCGGCGAAAACGACGGCTGAGTCATCTTTGCCCTGAGAAGTAATGACAAGGCAAGACCTCTGCCTCACCGGAATGGGCCACAGTGGTGCCTCTCAAAGAAACGAGAGCAAACGCTCGCTCAAAGGAACAGAGCCTTTGTCACACGGGGCCCTCCTCGGGTGAAGACAACTGCGAGAGCGTCTCGTGAGTGTGACCGGGATAATCACCGAGGTGTGTGGGGTTCCTGGTCAGACGGCAGTTGCACAGTCTCGGCATAGACGCCCGCAGGACTTCCTCGCTGCCTTCGATCTTATCAGACATGCGCCCGAGCCGCAATCGGCATGTTCTACCTGTGTCTCGATAGATGGCCGTGGCATGTTCGACGCTTGACCACCTCGTTGGTGATGCTGCCCTCGTCGGCGGTGACGGGTCGAAATGGGTGTGCAGCCTGCGCCGTAAATTTCGGCAGTGTTGGACTCTCCTTGCAGGAGCCAGGAGGGGCGGAGCTGTGAGTGTCTTTGTCTCCGATGCACTGCTGCCGTGCCTGCGCGTGCCCCGGCCCGGGCCAATGTACACTCAGTCAGTCACGCGTCGGAGTGGACCGCGCTCTGTTCCTTGCCTTGGCGGCAGCGCCCCCTGTTGCCATGCACCTGCCTACTCCAGACGACGCTCTTTTGTCTCACTCACTCCCAAAGCATCTCCTTCCCGCCCCTTTTCCCCCCTATCCTAGCAACAAGTCCCTCTCCAGACTCATCCCAGCATCGCGGTCACCACACTTGACCCACAAAAGCAAGAAATTACAATCGAAGGACCGGCTCCTCCGTTCCAACTTTTCTCTTCACGACCTTTACAAACAGTGCATTGCTCCGTCATTCTCCGCACCTCCTCCTCTCCTTGACCCCTCTCCTAGCCACTATACGCCCGCCTTGCGTTTACCTGGCGCGGTCAGACGGTCCCCCTGCTTCCCTGGTACCTCATTAATCTCTCTGCCTTTGCTCTGGCTGGTCCTCTGCCCTCCGACGCCCGCCTTTGTCCCATCGCTGCTGGCCAACGCGGCTCTCACCCCCTTGCTCAGCCATTATCCCAGCAATTACCTCTCCCCCTTGCCAGCATCTGCTTGCATCCTCCTGCCCTTCCTGCGACGCGTCACAGTAACCACCTCGCTCAGCTGAGCATCGTCTCGGATCACCAATAGACAGAGGCTACCTTGGAGTCGACTTGACCCCTCTACGGGCAACACCCAACGCTACTACACCGCATCGTCTCCTCGCTTCTGCTCCCTCCTCCTCTCATCCTGATCCTAGACTCCTCCTTTCAGCTCGTCAAGATGCTCTCGCGCCGATCCGGATTTTCCTCTACCTTCGCCATTGTCGCACTCTGCCTCACGCTCGGCAGCGCCTCTGTACATGGGTCCGGCAAGCAACTCCTCGAGTATGATGCCCTCTCTACGACAACGTCAGAATTGAGCGTCACCGACATCACCATCGATGCGCCCGTTTCTGCCATCACATGTGGGGCCGCAGAGGTTGACTGGACCTGGGATCGAGACGGAAGTCTCCCAAGCGAGCCCATCACACTGTCGATCATCAACGCTACCGACTTTAGCTCCCGCAGAAAGAGGTCCTCCAAGCGACACATCGATTACGCGTCCGACTTGTCGCTCCACAAGAGACTCTTGAGCAAGAGGCTTTCCAGCGAAGGCACCATTCTGAACGGGGGCAGCAACCTGCCCTTCAATCAAATGTCCTTCCAGTGGCAAGGCATCGCAGTCGTGCCCGGACAATATCGTCTACTCCTGACCATTGTAGCCACCAATGAATCGGTCGTCTCCGACCCTTTCGCCGTTGGTACTGGTCATACCGACAGCTGCCTACCAGGCACGACAGTGACCTCGTCTGGCGCTTCGCAGAATTCGGCTTCAAACGGACCTAGCCGTTCAGCATCTGGTACTAGCACAGCCGCTGCAGCCGCCGCGACCACTGCCGCCAATGCTCAGGGCGATGACAATGAGGGCGATGATGATGATGATATCTCTTCAGCTTCGTCAGCGACGGAAGGCACTGTAGCAAGTGCCACTGGCAGCAGCAGTGATTCCCAAAGCAGCAGCAGCTCGCGTCCGTCGGCTGATCAGACCGAGTCGCACAGTAGCAACACAGGCGCCATTGCCGCTGGCGTGCTCGTGCCGCTACTGGTGATCATTGGAGGCGCCATTGCCTTCTTCTGGCGGCGCAGGAGTCAAGCTTCATCAGCAGCTTCCAATGGATCAGGCGGTGACGGGGGAGAGAGATGGTTCGAGAAAATCATGCCCTCACCCTCTTCGAGCGGTGGAGCTGCTCAGCATCGTCGTCAGATCTCTGGGCCAGAGATGGCTTCTGCAGCTGGTCTCGCCTCAGTCGCCAAACTAGTGCCAGCAGCCCTGCGGACAGAAAAGAACGAGGCCGCATTGCAGCAAGCTGCCTTTGAAGGTCGCAGCCAACGCACGCGCCGAGACACTGGCGGGTCCGAAGACTCCTCTGGTTCCAACCCCGGGGGTGAGCATTGGGTCGACTTCCGTGCTGACGAGATGCACAACATCGACGGTGCCCGACCGCTGAGCCCCAGCACCATCGACAGCCAGACGTTCAGCGTCATCGGAGGTAATCAGCAGCTCTACTCGCAGGGTCAAAATATCCCACTGTCGCACTTCTCCACGTCTGGATCATCTGCCAATCGCAACTCGACATTGTCCAGCGCCGACTCTCGCGGCTCGATTGCGACCTTCAGCACCCTAAACAATCCTTTCATCAACGGGCGAGATTTGATCGCTAGCGTCCCACAGCGTCGATCTGCTGGCGACCTTACAGGATCCTCTGCTATGACCTCAACAGATTCAGCTTCATCTTCTTCCTCGTCATCGTCGCCTTTCGATGACGAGCACGCTGCTACCACATCTACTACCCCGGCTAGCACTGATCTCACTACCCATCAAAGGTCAGACTCTCAGGCTACTGTCAAGCTGGAACGATCAGACTCAGAGGGCAAATCTGGTGTCAAGCGCAAGCCTGTTCCTCGCTTCTCTGCTGCGCCTCAGAAGGCAAGCAGGGCTGCTGCACCTACCGAAACAGATCCCTTCAGCAATGCAAATGCAGTCAATGACAGTATCGAGCTTATTCGATCTTCGGTCGAGACTAACGGCGCTCCATCGACTCCACCTATGCCTCCCTTCAAGTTTCATGCTGCGACGCCTTCTTCAATTCCCGAGACTGCCATGAGCGACACATCATCCATCCATAGATACACACCAGATCTGCCCACCAGCGTCACCGACGACAGCTTGGCGGCTATCGCCCAGAGCGATGTGGAAGGTGGTAGAGACAAGGCATACCATCTCAGCATCAACCTTGGCTCGGAGAATGGCTTCAGAATGAGCTTCACCTAGCGCATCAGTCTCAGCGACGGCACGATACCCCCCTTTCGCGTTCCTTACCGCTTGTGCATTGAACAGGCAGCCCATCTCCTGTGCGCATTGTCTCGCGGCCGTTTCTTCTTCTTCGACCTACTGCTAGCTACTGACCGGCTCAGCTCAGCTGATGGTAGGACAAGACTTTCCTTGCAAGTGCACTGGTGAGGAGATTGCTGGTTGATCTCCCTGCACGGGCAGGAAACTTTCTCCATGTCTTTTACTCTTCTCGCTCTCATAGCCCGTACAAAGCACTTCCTGCGGCCACTTTTCTTTCACCTCCACTGATTCCACTGTCTTTGCTTTCTTACCCCATATTCTGGCTGCTGGCCCGCTCGCTCGCCCCTTGGCGAAGTTGGCAGAGACGCCTTGCATATCGTCCCTTCATGCTTTTCAGCTTTCTCTATCACTCGTCTTACACCTCTGTTGATGGTCGCACGATAACCAGAAGGATATTCCACATTGGGAACACGATGTCTGCCTGTCTGCTTGTCTGGCCACGCGACGCCTGATGATGCGAGGATTGATTTGTCCTCTGGCCCAAAAGACGGAAAGAGGGTCGAGGAGGGAGCGAGAGGGAGCAAGGCGGAGAGAGAGAGACAGACGCGGTGGCTGCTCCCGTCGCTGCTTCCTTTTGATGGACCCAAGAAGAAGGCCCTGACTCTTGTCCTTTCCAAGCCCTAGCATTGTCCTCCTGTGACCCTTCGCCATTCCTCATCATCACCATCTGAAGCCTCACTAGATTTGGCTCTCTACGGCTGCCCTGTAGCCCGGACTATAGGGGTCTAGCCGTCTCCCCACAGGCACAAGAAGATCTCCTCGCGCTCCGATCCTGCTCACGACTTCAAGGCGCTTCTGTAGAACTACCGAGCTCCGAGAGTCTTTCCACCACAACTTTTGATTGCCCAAGTACTTCAGACTGCCTTGAGCCTAGCTCTGGCCTTCACTCCCCTCGGCATCAGTCTGCTTCCCACCTCTCCTTAGCGGCCGGGAGTGGCCAAGGAAACCCCCACACTCCGCGCTTAGGGCCGAGTGTCTGAGAGATGGCGTCGGCGGCTGCTAGCGGGAGCGGGTCGACGGGGAGTGTCACTGCTGCTGAGCTACAGGTGAGTGGGAGAGCTATGTTCCTGGAGCAATCGTTGCTGCTGTTTGTTGGACGACTCAACACGGCGAAGAGGACGAGCTCGCTGACCCCCTTCTTGTAACGCATTCTTCCTCCACCTTAGCATCTCCGTACGAGGGTCCCAATGATGACCGTAGTGGAGATGAAGGGCTTCATTCGAGACCTCAACAGCCAATGTGGTACTCGTTTACAGGTCTCGGGGACAAAACCTATGCTGATCAATCGCATCGAGGAGCAGCTGGTCTCGTGGCAACATTCCTCCAATTGGACTGCCATTCGCAAAGCTATGTCCCTCGTCAATCACCCACGAGATAGGGGAGGAAATCTCCTCGATACAGATGGCAGTGGAGCTAATGGTAATGGGAATGGGACTTGGCCACCTGTCAATACACAGAATGGGTACTATGCCTCTCCGTCCTATTCGACCCAGGCTCGTAATGGCGTTCCTCCGGGCAAGCTCAACCCTGCCAATGCGTACAGAGGGAACGCGACGGCGGGTGCATCTGGGAGCTCTGCAGTACGACAAGCGGCTGTACCCAGGAATGTCCGCTTCAAGCCATCCCCATTCTTCAAGGTCGAGTCGATGCTCACAGATACAATCTTGCTAATTGAGGCAGACTCTACCCGCAGAACAGCAAGTCTTGATCTTCGGCTGACTGCACAACAGGCCCAGCTTCTTCGTACAGACTCTGCAAATTACCAAGCCCGGCTGTTCTGCGCTCAGAAGGCATCTGCTGAGATATCGGAGAAGAATCCGGGTATGCCGGCTTTCATCGACTTTCCCGGGTCTTGCGAGCTCAGGATCAATAGTAGCGTGTATACCTCGAGCTTGAAGGGAAGCAAGAGCAAGCCTGGGAGAGTTCCACCTCCCAATCTCAACAAGGATAGGACTCTGATTACAAGAGATGGCGTGACAAACAAGATCGAACTCGTCTACACTAATGCGCCCTACAAGTACGTCATGTCCATCGGCCTTTGCAAGTACACTCCTCCCGAGACGATCGTAGCCAAGCTCACCAGCGAGAAGAGTAGGAGTAGAGAAGAGATCATTGGTACGATGAAGCGGGCTGCTGCCGAAGACGACATCGAGATCGGGACTGCTACGTTGAGCCTGAAGGACCCTTTGAGCTACACACGGATCAACTATCCCTGCCGATCCATACACTGCTCACACTCGCAATGCTTCGACGCATTGTTCTTCTTCTTGAGCAATGAGCAGTCGCCGACCTGGAGCTGTCCGCACTGCAGCAAGATTCTCAAGCCGGAAGATCTGTTTATTGATGGCTACTTTGCTCATATCCTGAAGACTGTGTCCGAAGACGAGGACGCTGTCATCGTTGAGGCCGATGGATCGTGGAAGACCCGCGACGGCAAGTTCTCCTCATCGGCCGCCGCCATCCCCGCTGCCTCATCTGCATCTCTCCCAGCAGCTACAAATGGCAACGGCACAAGTCAAGCAGCCCCGAGCAGTAAGCCGCCAAAGAGGGAGTCCTCTGCGGCTCCACACGCTGAGTCAGTTGTCCCGCCAGGCGCAGAGGTCGTCGAATTGGACGATACTCCCTCACCACCTAGATCACCAGCTGCTGCTGCTGCTCCGCAGAAGCCCATCTCGCCGGTTCAGCCTCTCAGCGCAGCTCCTCGAGCTTCGGTCAGCACACCTCGACCTAGCAATGGCTCTACAACTATTGGTGGGTCGTCTACCAACGATGCTATCGATCTGACCGAGAGCGATGACGAGGATATGCCGCTAGCGCAAGCGGCTCCTCAGGCTTCTGCTCCAGGTCCGTCGACGCGTCCTCCAAGCTATTCTGCTGCTGCTGCTGCTTCGGGTAGCGGCACTCAGAGCGCAGCTACCAACGGGACTGGGCTAAATCTTCAGCGCCCCGCGGCTCCTTCGTCGAGCACAAGCGCAGCGTCCGCTTCCGGCTCTTCAGCGAGACCATATCAGTCACAAACAGCCACTGGACCGCCACAACGTCCCCTTGGATCAGGCGGGAGCAACAGCTCTGGCGCAAGTCCGCTCCTAGCTCACGCCCGCTCTAGTGGTTTCGCAAGCTTTAGTAATCCTCCAACGCCTAGCTCCGTCCCAGGCAGGGCCTCGCCCTCTGGCTGGGCTGGATCACAACCCCGCATCGTGAGCTCAACGGGCGGCATGCGAGAGGTCCGACCATTAGCACCTCTGTGGAGGCCTGGTGTCACGCCTTCTTTCTCCTCTCCCGGCCTCATGCCGACTAGCGCACCGGCTCGTGCTCCTTCCCGAGAACAGACTGCGCCCGAGGCAGCAGACGAGCTACCCATCTATCCTCCGCTTCTTCCGTCGAGGTCAGCTTCCACCACGGCAGCTAGTCCCGCCTCAAGCTCACGTGATAACACCTTTTGGCCGGCTTCGTACAGGCCTAATCCTCAGCAGCAAGAAGGAGGGTCTTCGCTGTCGTCTCCACTTCCACCCTCATCCTCCTCTGGCTCGCGAGTCAGAGAGAGGGAGGAGAGTACCGATGCTGGTGGGAGAGACTCCTCATCCAAGCGACTTCGTTCGGGCGGCAACGACGATACTGGTGTCACTTCTTTCACCACTCGCTCTGGAAGACCGTCAGCGGCTGCTGGTAGCCTGAGGGAAGCCTCGACTCCGCTGCCTTCGGTCAGTCCCACTCCTTCTCCACCACCTACGGCAGGCAGTGGTCACACTTCAACTCGGGCTAGAGACTCGCGCACACGTAGCGCTGAAGAAGAGGATGAGCTGAGTGGGCCTGCCAATGGTGGAGCTTCAAGGGATGATCCAGACTACGAGGAGGAGGACGCTCCTCCTACCAGGCCTGGCAGAGGAAGTGGGGCCGTAGGAGGGGGAAGGGGAGCAGCAGTCAACAGCAGTGCGGCTGTAGGTTCCGACTCGCCAGCATACACGTCGGCTCCAGAGGACCCAAACCTCTCGAGCAGCACATCGAGGAGCGGAGTCGCCCTCCGCAATGGCATCGGTAATGGCGGTGGAGGCTGCGGCGGAGGTGGGGGCAGCGGAATGAGCACCACCACTGCAGCCAATGACGGTGGAAGTGCAAGACGGGCAGATAGTTTCGACGACTATGACGGTCTGATGGACGATCACGATGACTCTGGTGAGTGGGAGGTCTGATCCTCCAGCCAAGTTGGCATGTAGGTCCTCCCCTCCCACCACTTCATCTTCGTCTCTGCCTTTCCTGAATAGGGAGGGGAGATGGAGATGGAGTGGAACGAGGGAAAGACCTCAAGACTCTTCCTTGACCACAAATGCGAAAAGCAAGACTCAAATGACCCGCTTTGCCGGTTCTCCCTTTGCCCTTCCCCCTTCTTCTTTCTTCTCATCACTGCCTCCCTCGGCTTTGCTTGCGCTGTCAAACCCTCTCTCTTGGCACGATGAGCAGTCTACGCAAGTCTAGAGTACTGAGTACTGAAGGTCATGAGTTACAGAGCAGAAGTTGAAGAAGGTCTGCCTGCAGACCGAGTTGAGATGGTGGCCCTGCATAGACCCTTGCTCTCTTCCCATCACCTCTTCTAGGTTCCGGAGGAATGGGCCACCCCTCGTTCCTACTACATACATTGTTGTCCACTGTCCTCCTTGTACCTCTCGCAATACCAATCCGCATTTCACCCATGAGACGCTCCTCCTGCCTCGTCTGATGTTGACGATGCTCGGCCGCCATCGGATTTGAGAGACTCAAGAGAGAGCAAAGTCCTCTTCACTTTGGGCGTGCGAGATGAGGCAGCGCATCTACGGATATCACAGAGTAGAGCGAGATGGGAGTGGCAGCTCATTGTCAGAGGAAGAGGGAGGGTTGGGCTTCACATACATCTGATTCAGCCCTGGCTGTGCCAATGCGGTGTGAAACTCACCACTTCTTGCCTGCGCTCTGCCTCTCTCCTTGCCAAAGGCGTGTACAGCCGATCACCGTGAATCTTCAATAGTCTGCCGGAAAAAAGGCACAGAGGTAGTCATGAGGTGGTGTGTCAGAGGCAGACCAATGTGTGTGCGCCGAAGCAGAACCTGCCACCAGCTCGCTCGGTTGTGGACACGTACTTGTCGTCGAAGTGGGCAAGACAGCTCTCCTCCCTCGCTCTGGCGTCGTCCGTCCCCTTGTCCAAGCCCAAGCCCGAGCCTGGATTCGAAGGGAAGATGTGCAGTGGCCGATTTTTGATGGCCGAGTAGGCTGCGCAGCGCAAGATTCCTATGCGATTTTCAAGTCGCAAGAGGGAAGGAAGTCAGCAGGTCCTGCAGGAAAGCAACAAGGAGGCTGGGACCACGGAGCGCGCTGCAACACTTACCTATACTCCCAATCGCGTCCAGCCGATCTGCATCCGACACGCACCACAGCTCTGGGCAGGAAGCCTCCCATTGCTGAAAGAGGACATCGGCCTCCTCCTCCTCTTCCTCTTGCCGACGTCGCTCCTCCTCTGCTTCCTCCGAGAGAATCGACTCCGGCCCGCGTGTACGCTCGTCCTCTCGTCTTTCGGCCTGCAAAGCTCGACGCTTCTCTCGCCGGGCCTCGCGCCGCCTGCGACGCTCCTGGTCTTTACTCCACGAGACGCAGTCGACGATGCGCTCAATGGTCTCCCTCTCTGCGTCCGACAGTGCCGTCGCGCCCTGGGCCGGAGCAGGCAGGGAATCCCAGAGTTCAGATAGGACTGCAAGAGCAGTGTAGCTGCGCGGATGGGATGAGGCTCCGGCGGGAAGGTACTTGCGGTCACACATGTCGTGCAGGAGGGCGGCTAGCTCGACGATGAGGAGGTTGACGTGCCTCCCCATGACTGCAGCTGCGCCTACCCCAGTGGCTGCACTACTGCCCTCACCGTTCGATGACTCAGTTGGAAGCTCCTCGTCTCCGTCCTGGAGTGACCTGGCGATGCGCAGGGCATTGAGTCTGACGCGGTGCAGGTGGTGCCAGTCGTGCGACACGTCCTGTCCGGCGAATTTGGCGCGGACGAAGCGCTCCGCGTGGCCCACCACGACGTGGCGATACTGAGCCTGTACGCCTTCGCCTTCCCTCGAAGTCGCGAGCGGCGACATTGTCATCGTCTTGAGGAGTCGAATATGCTCTGGCTTCGACTGTTGCGAGTGTCACGATACAGGCGGCCTTGTTCTTCTCCTCGACACGCTCTGGCCACGCGCTTTTTTACCCCGCGTCTACTGCGCCTGCATGTCTCTTTCCGTATATTCCTCTCCTACGCTTCCAAAGACAAGCCAGCCGGTGACTTACTTTGGCTCAGCTCGGCGACTGCCAGCAAAGGTTACTTCACGGGCCTTTTTTCTCTTACGTCCTCGCCCCTTTCTTTCGTAAAGGCGAGAGCCAGTATTGGTGACACAGGCGTGAAATGCGCCGCTGGGGACTGAAGCTGTATAACGCTGCCGAGCAAGCTGATGCTACTACTTCTGGCCACGCAAGCCTCTTTGGTGAGCAGGCTACCCCACAGCCATGGACGGCTCCAGTCTAGACCGCTCCCGCCGGTCCCACTTCTTCTCATCCCCATGGTACTTCGCTTTACCCAATCTTGAGTGTTCAGCAAAGTATGCACAGGCCCACTGCGGGTCACAAAGGCGGGGGAGAGTGGCAGTGGGGGAGCGTGATAAGGAAGCCACGTCCTCGTCGCGTGATGGCGGAGTTGGAGATAGACTAGACTAGACTAGACCAGCGCCACACAAGCAAACAGAAGAGGCTTCCCCGGAAGGTCCTTCTGGCACTCCACACTCACCTCACCTTCACGGGGGGAAGCAGGAAGACCTTCCGGGAAGCAGCAACAGCAGCGCAGGGTCCCTTCAATCGGCCAATCGCTAATCGCCACTGATGGGAACTTGGACGGACGGACAGCCACCCGGCCGCCGGACCGTCGGTCGGTCCGGCGCTTTGCTCGATCCTACTCTCCCTCGGACGGGAGCCTCTCACCACGCCAGAAGCTTATCTTCGTGGCGCGAGAAGAAGGGGGGGGAGTAAATGGACTCTGACTGGAGTGCGACTAGACTTTTGGTCTCGTGGATCATATTCGAGAGGCGTTTGTCTAAGCCACCCGTAGCAGGTAGTAGCCACGGCCAGGTTCAGGGTTAGGGCCTAGACAGGCAGGCGGGCAGCTCGATGAGAGACTTGGTCCTTGCTTTGGGGCTTACCGGCCACTTTCGAGGAAGACGATGCTACGTATAAGATCACAGGGTTTGGGAGCACGACGTCTTGGTCTGTCGTTGGATCATCGACACTTCTCCTGCTCTATTCAGTCACCTTCTCCTAGCAAACTCTCTCCTCTACCGTACGCCTTCTCATCCATCATGCCTTGCTGTGGTCCTTGGCGTGCGCGTCATGTGTGTGGACACATGCTCATCCCATTTATGATCGTACTGGTAGTCAACCTCATGTGGATCACCACTCCCCTTGCCGGTCCTCTCTTACCGTCGGACAAAGTCATCAACATCATTCAACAGACGGTGCAGCCAGTTGTCGTATTCGGCATCACTGCTGTGGGTCTGAAAGCCACTGCTGGTCTCAGATGGATGGCCGCACGATCGAACAAAGGAGTTAAGCTTGCCGACCTCCTTGGAAAGACTGGTCCTTCAGGCTTTCGTCATACCACAAGTGTACGAGAAGTCATGATCTACGTCCTGCTCGGTGTCGCCACGTTCATACACTTGACAATCAACATTGTAGACATGCCGAAAGTACTTGTGCCCGGCTTCTCCGTTGATGTCGAGGGCAACGTATCGATCCCTCGCATCAATGGGTCAACTTTAGAGGCTAGCTTCGTGTTCATCAACGACTATTTCAACGAGCCGCTGAATTTGGACGACTACCTGAAAAGTACGGGACTGGACGTCGACAGTGACGCACTCTATGGCCCAAGTCTTTTCGCAGTCAGTGGATTCCGCCAGCCGGACTACAACTTCACAGACCTAGAGGTCGAGATACCGGCCGTTCTGTTACTCCTCCAGACTTACAATACCAACGCTACCGCCGACGTGTTCTTCGGAAAATTGAGACACGACTGGGGCCCCAATATCCTGGAAGATTTCGATGTCACGTACCCTGTCCAATTTGCCTGGTCGAATGGCGACCTTTTGGATGAAATGGTACTTTGTCTAACGCCGCCAGCCGATGTCGACAATCAAACACTTTGTGCGCACATAGAGTACCAGCTAGTAATGGCTTCTGTTGCATACGACAGCGACAGAAGAATTCGTGGCTCTTGGATTCTTGGCCAGGTCAGCGAAGAAGCCCGGAGCGAGATGGGGTGGGGACATTACAACATCAATTCCCTGGACGGAGCTTCATTTGCGGCGAGTTTGGGGGATCAGTGGGATCGTGCTCAGGCGGAAACCCTACTTCAGCAAACCTTGGCGATTCAGATTGGAGGACAGCCCCTCCCGGAAGACTATTATGCCGTAACATATGGCGAGTACAGGCCCACGAAACCCTACCCAGTCTCGGGCGTTGCCGCCTATGTCGCTGTCTCGACAGCGATCGTACTGTATCTTTGTGCGATGCTGGGCACAGTCAACCCCAAAGAGGCGATCGAGCCGCCCGGCCTTCTGGCTCTGTCACGATGGCCTACAGAGCTCGCCGCCAAGGTATATGGCACGAAGGAAAGTCTCTCCAAGGCAGGCAAGAAGCGGGTCTTTCTGCACGAAACGGGACCTAAGGAGTGGGCTCTGAGTTCCGACAAGTCCGTAGCCCCAGCGGTGGTTCACCTTCCGTATCAATCAGACTCCCAACCTTCCTCAGGCTCGGAAGAAATGGTTGAGAAGCCCTCCCACCTCCGCAAGTCGAGCTATGGTCCTCGACCCTCCATGCCCAAGCGTCTCTCCTCCTCCTCTAGCAAACGTCACTCGGATAGCTATCGTGTCAGTCGTCCAAGCTACTCTTCACGACCTAGCTACCAAAGTCGACCTAGCTATCAAAGTCGACCTAGCTACCACTCCAAGCAGAGCTACAGTCCACCACTACGCCCAATCTCAAGCTCAAGCTCAAGCCCAGGCCCAAGTCCGAACTCGGGTTCACGCCCGGCCTACCCTTCTCGCCCGAGCTACACCTCCCGCCCTAGCTACCACTCTCGCCCTAGCTCACGCGATAGACCTTCCTTGTCTAGGTCTAGGTCGCAAGAAGAGTACTTTGAGCCAGAGTACGTACCGGAGATGTACGAGAGTCGCAGATGAGGGCTCAGGTCAGAAGTGCTCTTCTAGTTGTGGGGTTGTATTGCTCTCATCACTTTCCATGTTCCAGGCACCAGAAATTCCCATGTCATCATGTCACTGTTCTTCTGTTTATCCACGTCACCGTCCTCTGCTCGTTCAATGGTCATCTCTTCATTCGATACTCGCCTTCTTACCCCCTTTTCAGCGTGACCTGCAGTGAGCGGCAGGAAAATCTGTAAACGATCTGCTCACCGCCTCTGGACTATCAGGCTGCATGTAGCGGCAATGTCCGGGCCAGTCTTAACCAGTCTTGGTGTAGAAATACACTCCCACTGCATGATCATGAAGAGATTTACACATTGACATTGCAGTAGTAGATGGGATGAGGGGAGTGGAGAGATTGAGCATATACACATGGCGGGGTAGAGGGAGGAGGATCGATGATGCAGATGCAGATGCAGATGATTGACTTGATGAAGAGTGCGAGGAAGGATGAGGTGGGGCGTCTTGTGACTGACTGATTGATTGATGAGATGAGAGCCAAAGCTTGTATGTGTTTCGTAAGAAGGAGGTGGAGTGTAGCAGAGAGTCTGGGACTAGGAAGGCAAGGCACATCGTGAGCGTCCGCTTGCATGCCTCCGCTCCCTACCCACCTCTACTCACCTCCCTCTCTCTCACATCCTAGCAAAATCTCTATCCACAATACACTCCAACGTAACAACCTGAATCGACGTCAATCCCAAACTGAGCACCCCCGCAACAAACCAGCTCAATCCAAACAATCCACTCCCCGCCCCCCTGAGCAGCGTATGCCAAATGGCAATTGCATGAGCCAGTAGAGCTAATGTCCAAGGGATAAAGCAGAGGAGGCGCGAGGTGGAGTTGGTCCGGTCGCCGGAGTCGGTTAGGATAAAGGGGAGGGCGGATAGGTAGGTGAGACCATAGGGTGTTGCGAAGAGGGCTAGGGTTCGGAGGAGGGAGAGGAGGGTGGGGGTGATGAGGTAGAGGAGGAGGAGGGAGCCGAGGGCGTAGAAGGGACCGTTGGATTGTAGCCAATTGGAAGGGGGAGCTCTACTCGATGAGGATGGCTTTGAGGTGGTAGTGCTAGGAGAGGCAGATGTGGAAGAAGAAGAAGGACGTACAGTCGAGGAGGCAGAAGAGGAGGTACGGGCCGAAGGTAGAGATACGCCGGACGACTGCTCTTTTACCGCTGGAAGGATGGTTTGAGGAAAGAGGGGATCTAGACTTGCCGATGTCATTGTCAACAATGTAAAAGTGGGGGTGGAGGGCGGGTGCGAGGTAGTGGAGAGCGAGACTAGCTTTTCTAAGGTGGCTGGCTGACTGGTTGAGCTAGCTGCAAGAGGAGGACGCAAGAAGAAGTGTGGGTGGGTGGGTGATGCTGGCTCGTATGTGCGTGGAGCGTATGGTATGCTGCGAGCGTGCCAAAGATGGAGCGAATGTCAAGTGGACGTCAAGGAATTGGCAATGGTGAAGATCTCTGAAACCAAGGAGCAAGGAAGCGGTGCGTGCGTGCGGTGCGGTGTGTGCATGCTGATCCTCTCCCGGATGCTTTCTGTGTCTCCCCGCCCTTTCTTCCCGTTGAGGCCCAGCCGAGCCGAGCCCAGCCCCTTTCACCCTCGCCTGCCTCTGTCATCACCTCCGCCCCGCCCCTCCCCGCACTGCACTGCACTGCACTTCCCCGTGTGCTCCGCTCCGACCAGCTGAAAGGAGCCAGAGAAGCATTGAGCCGCGTGTGTGTTGCTGTGTGCTGTGTGCATAATGCAGGCGGTGTGGGGTAAAGAGAGAGGGAGGGAGGCCTCTTCTTCTTGTCCCTGCCTGCGCTTCGGGCAACTTCGTCTTTGGGCCCAGCTCGAGTTGAATTCGATAATTGTGCAGCCAAGAGGCAGAGGCAGAGACAGAGCACCGCCCCTCACACTCCCCACTCCCTGCTCATGGCTCATGGCTCATGGCTCATGGCTCAACTGCCATGCGCATCCCATCCCATCCAAGCCCAACTCCAAGGCAAAGGCCCACCTCGCTTCCGCACACTCCTCTTCGACTCCCCGCGTCTCGCAACGCCCTTGCACTAACAATTGCGAATCGCAGTCGCAATGCAAAATCGCACATCCTCCGACACTAGATTGAATGACGCTTTTCGCTGAACCCCAGCGTCGCCCAGCTTACCTCCTCCTCCTCCCCCCTTCCACCTCCCTTTGCTTTGCTTTGCTTTAGTCACGCACATTGCAATTTGCTTTTCCTGAAAATTCAAATACACTATAGAACACAGATACGTTTGCGTTAGCACCGCACCGCACCGCACCGCACCAGAAAAAATATGTCCAAAGAGGTCAAATCTAGAGATCCTCCTCCCGACCTCCACAAAGTCATAAACTCCTGTGAAGCAGGCTTCAAGGGCTGTCTATTCTGGAAGAGTGCAGGAGGACAATTCTCCGATATTGCCAAGGGCGGTCGATGAACTCGAGGTCGAGGGCAAGTCGAACCAGCAGGGCTTCACGCTCGGTCTCCTCAAGCATAGAGACGAGGAGGCGACGGATTGCTGTGATCAGAAAGGATACATAACGGGAATGATCTTTGTGGGGGATGGGCGCGAGTTGCGACAGATTGATGAGAGGGACTGGGAAAAGATCAACTCCCTCGAGTTTGCTCAACCTGGTCTACACGACATTGTAGTCAGTTCGCTATGGTTGATAAAGTTTTCGTAAAGTTCTCACTCGTAGAGGATGACGATGACCATGACCGTGATGATACTAGAGGTGCTTCAGCTGACGCACACTCCAATGTAGGACTGCGTCTCACTTGCTACCGAACGTCAAGAAGAACTTTATGCGCGTGAGAGCCAAGGCAAAGTACACAGCCGTCTCTAAACAGCTCCCCAAGATGCGATGCTCCATGCTACCCGCTCAATCTCCCCTCGCCTTGCTCGTCTGCTTGGCCCTCTTTGCCTCCTTTTGCCCTTCCTTTCTGAAATGTTCCTTCGATTCTGCCTTTCTCTTCCTCTCCTTTCCTTCCTCCTTCTCCTTTAGCTTCTCCCTCCTCTCACTCTTTCGCTCCTCCTGCTTCTTGACCCTCTTTGCCACCTTGGCCTTTTGAACAGCTTGCATCTGCTGTAAAAGAGCAACGGCCTCCCTCTCGGGCTTTTCCATCACCACGGCCCTCTTCTGCAGATAGGTAGCCTTTCCTTGCTTCTTCATCTGTTTGGGCTTAGAGGCATAAGGGAGTGCAGCTTGCAATTTGCGGGGAATCTTGAGCTTGTTGAATTTACGCTCCTCGGGACGATCCGTGATAGGCTTGTAGATCGAGTTGACAGGACGAGGCGTCTTGATCTTTTCGTCGTACCGCACTTTACCCGTAAGACGCATGCCTGTCCAGGCTCGATCACCCGTAGAAGAGTCCGGATCGATGGGGGAAAGGAGAGAGGTGACGGCATTGTAGTATCGGCGAGGATGGAGAGAGTACCAAGCGCGTAGGAAGATGATGTCGCTCATCAGTAGCTTGTCCTCAAAGGTAGCTCTGAACCAACCCTCGGGCTTGGCAAGCGCCTTTTTCACCTGTCCACGGATACCCGAAACAGTCTTGATGTTGGCTCCTTCGAATTTGGCCACCTCGAGACTGGAGGTGAACATCTCCTTTACGAAAGCAGTGTTCTTGAAGACCTTTGCCGGGTATCCAGTCAGCTTCAGCTTCTTGACAATCTTGTGTGCGCCCGAGCCAGAATCAACATCCAGAACGGTACCCGTGGCAGAGATTCTGAACGAGGCGACACTTGAAGAGAGGGTATTGAAGGCGCAGAAGCCCGTGTTGGGCCGAGCGGCAGGAGCCCAGAATGTGGCCAGACAATGCATATGCTCCGGGGTGTACTTGAGCATTCGATTGCGCGTTCCATCGTCCATCGAGTAAATAGGAATCGACTGGAAGCGACGCCAACCCATACTGAAGATGAGCGGGTCATTGGTCTTGAGAATCTTGTGGTGCCATCTGTGGCGCTTAATCCTCACTTGCACAAAACCGTACGTCTCCTCAGAGCTCAACAGACCGCCTACCAGTAGAGGCGACCGAGGATCAAAGTACTCCACCAGCTCGTAGGGCACGGCTGTGAATTCGATACGGAGGTAGCAGCCAGGTCGGTAGCCCTCGATGGCATGTCGAGTCGCCTCGTCCGAATTCTCGAATTCGGCACGATTGGCAGCAGCCTGCCTTGCCAATTCAGCCTTCTGAGTCTCGTACCAGTCCTTTTCCCCTTCGCCAGCTTCATCGTCGTCGTCATACTGCTCGTCGAACTTCTTCTTGAGCGCTTCTTTCTTGGCTGCCAGGGCCTTCTCCCGCGCCACCTCGGGGTCTTCATCGACGTCTCGCCCGGCATCTGCGTCCTCGCCGTCTTCATCGTCGAAGCCTGCGCCAGCATCCTCGTCTGCACCCTCCTCGCCCTCCTCGCCTTCTCTATTTCCCGTGATGAAGAGGTGGCGAATCGAATCTAGAGCAGCCTCATCGTTCCACTTGTCCAGATCGTCCTGCGACCACCGCAACGCACTCTGGTCTGGCACTAGATCCGCATCATCATCGAGTGCTGATGTTGCGCCATTGCCGTTGCCATTGTCTTGACGAGCCAGCTGGAAAAAGTCATCGTCGCCTTCGTCGTCGTCTGCCAGCCGGATTTCGTCACGGTCATCGTCCCGATCGGGCTGCGTCTTGCCCATGGCAATGTCCAGAGGAGTGAGTGTCGAATTGTAGATGAGCTTCATCAGGTCTGGCTTGCGCCTGTGCTTGTTTGCTTCCACTGTAGCTTGCGCCTTGGCTGCGAGGTTGCGCTTCCAGGGAGCCGCACTGCTCTCTGGTTGGTCCTCGTCTTCCTCGTCGTCATCTTCACCAGAACCAAAGCCCATGTCGGAGTCGCTCTCAGCAAAGGCGAGCTCTCGGTCTACGTCATCGTCAGAATCCTCTGCTAGTCCACGGGATGGACCAGCGCCAGTGTAGTCGAGATCGTCATCGTCCCCGTCTTCCGATGCGTCCTCGTCGTCCTCGTCGTCATCGTCGTCGCCTCCGACATCATCAAAGGCGGCTTTCCTTCCGCTCTTTTTGCCATTGGAACCACTCGCAGCAGCAGCAGCAGCAGTCAAAGGAGCCTCGTCCTCTTCAAACAGTCGCAGCTCGCCATCCTGTCCTGAGCCTCGATCGCCCAGAGTCCTCTTGGCGTCTTGTAGCTTCATGACCATGGCCTCTCCTTCTCCTGCGCCTTCATCGTCCTCGTCATCCTCGCCCTCTTCCCCCTCTGCGCGCTGTTTGCGGGTGAAGTTGCCGGGGACATTGATGTAAACGGCGTCCTTGTCGAACATGACTCCACCGACATCTGAGAAGGGCGCATGAACGAGCTTGTGCTTGTCATCGAGCCGCCGCCGCTTTTCGCTCTCGGTCGTGGGGAGCGGACAGGGATCGGCGAGCTTCTCAATGGAGGAAATAGTCATGTCTCCCACTCCGGGGACATGGACGCGCTGATTGGGTCTCATGTTCGTCCCTCGCAGGTATCCATACACTGTGATCCTCCGGTCTGCTTTTGGTTGAGTCCGGATTTGCTCCCGACTGGTGAGGTCTTCGAATCGATCCGCTAGTACGTAGGGATGACAATTGCGGAAGGTCAATGGCCTGTACTTCATCACGCTGATGAAGCGGCTCAGGTTTGCCACCTCTGTATCGGGGTATCGCCCATTGATGATACCGCTCAGGTAGAAGAGCTTAGCTCCGGCATAGACTTCTGTCCAGAATCGGGACTTCAGCCTCTTCTTGGTGGCTCTCAGGGTCGCAGATTTTTTGATCAGGTCGAGGTGAGAAAGGATGCCAATGACCTTGGGAAATCCGTGGGCTTGGAGGATATTGAGGAACTCCATCGTCTCCATTTCGAAGCCGAAAGAGCCGTCGATCATGAGTAGGACCAAGTCTGCAATCTTGCCAATGTCGATCATGGAATTGAGGTCGTTGCCGCATTCAATGAATGTCAATCGCCTCTTCTTGCCTGACGGGGGGTATTGGAGAGGAGAGGTCGAGTTGAGCAACTTACCAGCCTACTGGGCCGCCTCCGCTCCCTAGGTCTTCTACTCACCACTGACAACGGTCACCGGACCTCTGATGTCCTTCAGGGTATGTTTTGTGAATCTCCTGATCAGACTGCGCATCAGCGTCGTCTTGCCCACACCCTGAGGTCCCACAATGGCAATAATGACTGGAGGTGCCTCATCCTCGCTGGTGCGACTGACGAGTGGTACATGCAACCTCTGCTGATCTCTCTCTGCGTTTCGGAGAATCTGCTTTTGAGCTACATTGGGATTAGCGTTGACAAAGGCTCGCGGGTTGTAGCCCTTGGAGTGGCGGTTGGCCTCCTTCTGGGCCTTCTTGTCCGTCTGGCTTGCATGGTGCGACTTGTGCTTCTGGCTCGTGGGATCCGACATGGCGACAGATGCGCAGAGGAGTGGGAGTCGACCGTCGCTCTAGAGCGAGGCGATCGGTACGGGAACGGACAAAGATGAGGACGCTGACACCTTTCAAGCTGAGACTGTCTTTCTGGTACGAAGGTGAGGAAAGGAAGTGCTACCAGCCATCACCTCCTCTCCGGCCAAGTCGCCTCAAAATTTCTGCTGCCGCCCGGGCGGAGTTTAACCGAGGCAAGTCACCACAGACGCGAATACCCACCAGAGACCAACACTCTCGCAGACAGCGGTGACGGCAGTGATACCTTTCATTAAGATAGGAAGACGCTGGAATACAAGACCAGCGCAGTCGTTCCAAGGCACTTCGTCAGGAGGCAAGGAGATTCGCGGCCATGGTCATTGCTGTGGGAAAGGTGGCTAGGGAAGAAGGCACTCTCACCTCTTGGCTGCGATTCTTGGAGTGGTACTGACTCAGAGATGGAGAGTGTGTCACCCTGCAAGAGCAATGGCATACTCTGCTGCTGCCCAGCCAGAGTGACTGTATGCCTCAATCACCCTCACCAATGACGATGATCGACGGCCGAGCGTGACAAGCGGCCGTCGGAGATTTGTGGGCGATTTGCGGAAGTGGAGAAATTGGCTGCAGCATCTCGCTTCAACTTCTACCGAAGCTGTACAGCCATTCCGCCCCCCTCACCCTCTTCTTCCTACCGTGACTCTGTTCCCTCCACCCACACTCTTTACCTTACCTTCATCCCAAAGTCGACGCTTTGGTCGTCGTACTCTCCCACTCTCTTTCATTTTTCATTCTCACGGCCCTAGCGGTCTGATACGAAACTCGACTCGAAGACCTCTGGCAGGCAACTTCGATCTTGACGATCTTGACGATCTTGACGCATTGACAGATTACTTGACGCTTTCCTCCCACTCACTGCTTCTTCTTTTCTCCATAAGATAGACTTGAACAATACCATGTCGCTCCTATCGATCTCTCCAACTCTCGGATCTCGAAGATCTATGGCTCCCGATGGATTCTTTCGCCGTTCGCCCCCCACCAAGCCCTTCCTTCTCCGAGGTGACCGCATGAGATGCGTGACCATTGCAGCTGCCCCGCAGAAGGTCGAAATATTCAACAAGGTCAGCAACGACCCTTTGACGCTCTACGACATGCGCAAATTGACTTCACAAAATGTCGTCAGAAGGCGTATCGTGTCCATGGGGGAGCACCTCTCCCCGCGCGGCAGTCACGTCGCCTTTGACGACGAATACGAACAAGCTGCCGTCCGGAGGGCCAGTCAGATGGTCCTCGATGCGCTTTATGACTCCAGTCCCGACAGCTCTCCACCCTGCACTCCCAATGATGTTTACGGCAAGAAGCAGGATGCCTGGCAATTTCCCCTGCCACCAGCCTCGATGTCGAACACAGCCTCAAAGAGCCAAGAGCCACCCGCTTTGAATCTCTGCCACGACATCCTGCCTGGCTTAGGCTTCGAAGGCCTCGAGAACTTCACGTTCGCCGAGTCTACGGTCGAAGTAGGCTGTCCAGTATCGCCTCCTGCCCAAAACACTCCGCAGAGCTTCAACGGCCAATACGACTCAGACACGGCTCCCAGCTCGCATTGGTCTCCCTCTACTTGTGCTGGATCAGTTTGTGAAAGTCAGGGAGAAGCCGATGAGGAGCTCAGCTTCACTGAACCGCTGGCCATCCGTAAGCCCGGCGGAAGGCAGAGCGTAATGGCAGATAATGGCGAAGGCCTCAGACAGTATGAGGAAGAGCAGGACGACTACTTGAGACCTTTCCCCGCAACGGCGGAGGGCGACGACGCCAAGCTGGAGCGTTTGCGGTCCAGCTATTCTCTTCTGGGAATGATGTCTGAGGCTTACACTGAGCAAGAGCAGGAGGTTGAGCAAACTGAGCAAGGTGACGAGGAAGAACGGTCGCCTGCTCAAGAGATCAATCTCAGGCTCCTCCTCTCGCCAGAGCACGCTGCTCCTTCTCTTGCCGAGCAACTAGCATTTGCGTGCGGCAATGGCTACCAATACCACGACCGTTTGCACCGTGATAGTGCAGGGGAGTACCTCATGACTCAGTCGCTCTCTCCTTTGATGATGACTCCTGCTCAGCTCGGCTCACTCGACCCTTTCAATGGCCTGCAAGCCGAATTTGGAGACAGCTGGAGCGAGGTTGACCACGAGAGCCGCACCCCAGCTGCAGACGCCGCCGGCAATCTTTCAAGAGGGCCCTCGACTCGAAGTGCACACCACCGCATGTCAGTCATCTCCAACACGTCGCCCATTATGAGTGGACACATGGCAGCAATGGCTTTCATGCATCGCAGCAAGTCCCACGTTGGCCACTTTGAGCCTTCCGCTGCATCTTCCTTGACTGTTCCAAAGAAGCAAGACATCAACGGGTCTCTCCTACTGAGCCCTTTGTCGCTACAGTGTGGCAAGCCCCTGGCCCTTTCATTTGCCAATTCGCCTGCACCGCAAAACCTTGAGGAGTTCAGCTATCTGACTCTGATGGACCATGCCCAAGAGGTGGAAAGTCCACTGCAGATGGAGATGTCACAAAGCCCTCTGGAGACCCCACAAGCCCTCGACGAGGCTTCAGCAACCGCGACTGCCGAGGTCGCATCGCTTCGAGCAAAGACCACTAGGCTGTCCAGCACTGCAAGCATGGGTGACATCCTTTCTCCCGCATTCAGCGACTTCAGCAGTGCTTTCCCAGTCTCTGTCACCTGCAGCAAGATGACGCGCTCCTCGACCTCTACCTCAATCCTCGATCGTGGGCGCCCGGTCCGACCGTCGAGCGGTACCGGCTTCCTGGGCCAACGCGAAGAGAAGATCCAGATAATCAAGCTCAAGACGGGCCTAAGCAGCGCGGCCGCCGCCAAGCTTGCCGATGGTCCACCTGCTAGACCACCTAGGCCCGCTCGAGCTGCCTCAGGCAATCACAGTGCCGTTGGTGCATGCGCTGCGCAGGCACAAGCGACGAGTGCCGCTGAGAGCGTCAAGAGGGAGTGGGTCGAGAAGAATAGCACCTCCGCTAGCACTGGTGTTCCCTGCAAAGCCCACACGGCAGTCGCTATGGCGAAGCAAGACAGTCGTACTCCCAGCGTCCACTTCCACATCCCATCAAGCTCCTCCATCCAAATCGCCAAGCATGTCCGCGTCGTCTCCTCATCCACGTCTCGAGGCGTGCCCATGACCATGACTCGCTCCACCAGTCGTCCTGGCACCTATGACTTTCATCCCACTGACCCTACAAACGCCCAGCCAGCGGGTGTAAAGAGGTTGAGCTCACAGGCTGCTGCTGCTCTGAAGGAAGCGAAGCTCGAAGCAGAGCAAGCGGCGGCGGCAGCGGCGCAGCAGATGAAAGTGGCTCCCCGACCTGCCATGCCAGGTGGCACGCAGAGTGCGGAGGAAGTTCGCCGCAGTGGCAAGGAGAGCAAGAACCAGTCCTCCTCTGAAGCATCCAAGCCCTTCCAAGCGCCCCCGATGCCAGAGCGAAGCACCTCTGCTCCTCCTCCCCCTTCCACAGACGCTCCTCGAGCTGTCGCTCCCACCCCTGCTCGCCCCGCTCGCCCACTCAAAGCAGCAGACCGCCCAGGCAGAGGTCTTCCCACCTCCTACTCCCTCCCCACCCTTTTCACAGCCCGAACCGTCTCACAACGCTACCGCGGCGAGACTGGTCTTCCCGAAACACAAGCTACCTTAGCCGCAGCAGCAGGAGCTGCAGCTCGAGCGAATAGGAAGAGTTCCTCACCCCTGGGGAGACTGTTGACGGAGAGTGGTGTCAAGGTTGCTGCTGCCGGTGCCGGTGCAGGGATTAGACCCAGAAGGTGGGGAATGGTAAAAGCTTTGAGTCCTGAGGAGAGGAGGAATAGCGCCGTTGCGCTGGATACACCTGGTGGGTGTGTGCTTATCCTTGAAGAGGAGACGGTGGTTAAGGAGGTTGCCGCTGCTGCTTGAAGAGCCTTGGGAGGACAAAGAAAAGGGATCGATGTAACAGTATCGAAGAGAAGGAAGGAATGAGAGGGGAAGGCTACGCAATCGAGCCAAATAGAGTCAAAGCAGTCAAGTCTAATGTCAATCACGTCGTATCGCAGTCGCAAATTTCTTTTTGTATAACGTCAATGCCATACCACCTTCACCAACTTCTCTGCATCATGAACACATCGTCCGTTTACAATGTCAGTCACTCCGCTGTTAAACGCCAGCAAGAATATTGTCCAACTCCTTCTCCTCCTTTGTCCTCTCCTTCCTCTTCTTCTTCTCCTTCTTGCTCTTCTTGGCACCATTGCGCTCTCCCACTCCCTCTGTCGTGTCTACATCGTCTTCTCCGTCCTCAACCTCTTGTACGGCGTCATCGCTACCGCTACCGAGCCTGTCTGCAAGTGGAACAGCAGGCAGAGCTTTTGCCCAGTCCTTCCACTTCCAGATATCCTTGCGGTACATGGCCAGTCCTACTCGGCGGAGGAAGAAGCGTCCGTAGAATGACCCGCTAAGGAACGTCTCTGTTGGGATCCGCTTCCCAGTACCACCACTTCCTCCATTCGCAGCTCCAGTCGTGGCTCCAGCTTCGGCTTGTGCCTCCGCCTCCGCCTTGAGCCTAGCCTTGACCGCCTCTCCCCTCTCCAGCAACACCTCTCTGACAATCTTCTCCCTCATAAATCCATCCGCACGATCCCAAACTGCATCCGACAGACGCGAGGCGTACTTGTCGTCTGCGAGAGCTGGGAGGTGCGGGAGGAGGGAGAGAAGAAGTCGACGACGTTGCACGAAGGAGGAAGTGGGAGAGGAGAGGGAGGTGAGGTAGATGTGGGAGGCGATGGGATTAGAGGCGTAGGGGAGCGGGCTCGGGAAAGAGGACAGACTGAAAAAGGGGGAAGGTGAAGATGTAGAAATTGGTTTTAGTCGCCATGCCCACTTGCTCTCAGGGACACTGTCGCCTCAGTTCCATGACTCACCCCTTGTACACAATGCCGTTGTGAGGTTCTCTCAACCGCACGAGAGCCTGCAGGAGAACGCTACCCTGCACAGTGGCCTCCTCCTGGCGAAGCTTTCCCTCTTCCTCCTCTTCCTCGTCTGCCCTCTTGCGCTTCTTGCGCGAGCCATCTTCCTGATCTGCTTGGCCCTCCACAGTAGCAGCTGTTGCGCTAGCAGCCTGCTTTGCGGCCTTCTCCGCACGGCGGCGCATCATCTTCTGCCAGCCATCTTTGCTCTTGAGGGATAAGATAGCCTTAAGAGCAAGACCCGCCTCTGCCTCGTCTGTCTTTGCATTCTGCCCAAAGCCGAAGGTGGCCAGGACAGCATTTAATGCCAACGCTTCAAGAGTCGTCTCCTCGTCGCTCGATAGGACAGCCGCCCTCTCCATGAGCGCGAGGAGAACGCCAGTCTTGGCTTCCTTGACCATCTTACCGCCCTCGTCCACCTTGATCTCCTCGAGCGCCTCCTGCACCAGCGGACGTCCCAGCCTTCTCACTGCTGAAGCCTGGACGAAATTGCCCACAGGGTGGCAGGCCAGCCTGCTGACCTTGCCGCGGATGTAGATGGACCAGAAGCGGTCGACGTACCTGCTTGGCAGTCGCGAGAGAATGGCTTCGAGGGAGTGAGAGCCGGAGGGATGACGGAGTAAAGTTTCGACTCCATCGCTAGACTCGGCAGTTGCTTCACCTTCGCCTTCACTTTCGGGCTTCCCTGCCTCGGCAGAGATGAGACCTTCTAGGACGACATCTGCTAGAGAACCAGGCTTGGCAGACTCTCGTGCTGCAGCTTCGAGTGAAAGTAGGAGGGCAAAAGTTGGTGAGGCAGACGGAGAGACAAGGAGAGCTCGCGCCTCATTGCGTCCCGTCACGTCTAGTGGCACACAAGCCCGGCGCAGAGACTCCAACGCTGTAGCGAAACTTGCTGGGACTTTGATCTTGAGCGGCTCTGCTAGTGCCGGCTTAGAGGCTGTCGTACTGCTGCCTTCCTCCCCCTCTGCAGCCGCCTGCGCCTTGCTCCTGAAAGCAGCGCTCTTCTTCGACCTTGACCCCGTGACCACATCCTGTCCCGCCAGCAGCTGTAGCATGGTCCGCACGACGTGGGTGCCGAAAGTGTCTTGCAGAAGCGTGGTGCTCTGTGGCACCAGCTCAGCTGAGAAATCGAGAATGAGCTGCTCAGAAGATCGAAGCACGCCGGTTTCGTCGTCGCTGGCCTGACGAGCCTTGCCCTTGGTGGAGCGGACGAGGTCCCGTTGTAGGCCTCTGAGGATGGCTTGTAGAACGTGAGAGCCGAAGCGATGCTTGGCCAATGTGGCACAGCTGTTCAAGTACGAGAGAGACAAGGTGAGCCTCCCTTGACGCTCGTCGCTCCCAGACGCACAGCATAAGACTCACCTTCCCGATGCCCTGTCCGCCAATATCCTCACCCTCCTCCCCTTGAGCCCATCAATAATCGTCTCCAAGGCAACACTACACTCTCCATCAGTAGCAACAGTCAACTCTTGTCCACTGACCTCCCGGAGCATAGCCTGTCTGAGTAAATCAGCTTGCCCTTCCTCTCCATCTCCCTCTTCTTCTCCATTGTCCTCCTCACCCTCGTATTCATACCTCCCCCGTCTCAAATCAGCATCGAGATGTGCAAGATTCGTGGATGCGTCCTTGAGGTATGCCTTGAGCTCCGCAGGGACAAAACCAAAGGGAGCAACGTCGAGATCGTGGGCTGATGCCTCAGCTTCGAGGTTCCCGCCCAGATCAACGGGGATATGTGCTGGCGGAGCATTCCCTTCCACTGGCTCCCCCTCTTGAGGGTAGGAGAGGTCCTCTACATCACCTGCATCGCCCCCTCCACCGCCAAGAGGAATCAAGTTGCTGTTCCCGAATCCTTCTCGCTGGCGGATAGAGGTCCTCGATTTCCGAGTGTACGTGTCGCCATCGTCCCCGTCTCGGTCCCTCCTAGAGTAGGAAGGTCCAGCTGCATCGGCCTCGTACTGCTGCTGCTGCTTATCACCGGCCTTCTTCTTCTTGCCTCTTTGGCGGAACTTCTGCGGCATCGTGAGCTCTGAAAGAGATCCACGGAGAGGGTAAAGGAATAATGCTGATAGTAGAGAGAGCGCTGGTAAGGCCGAAGGAGGGGCCAGGTGGTGGTGTTCTTCTCAGGCAGCCCACAAGTCTGGTTGTACCCCGTCCAAGTGCAATCAAATTTTCGCGGAAAGGGCATCGGAGATTGAACTCGATTGGGGGAGGGGGAAGTGCGGACCACCACCACAATTTGGTCTGGCAGGATACAAAATCCATAAAGACCAAGACCCTGCTCAAAGGACTGACGTGACGTGGGGTGACAATACTGTATTACTCTTCATATAACCGCAGCCAGCGGGAGAGAAATTACCACAAATCTGAATCACACGCAGACATGACGGGGTGAAGATGCGTACATTAGACCACTGCCGCGCCATCTACAGGTCCTCCTCTGCCAGGTCCAGCTCCGGGCCGTACACCTTGGAACGGAAGAAGCTCTCATCAAACCAGTACATGCGCACTGTAAGGTAACGAAGGAGCGAAAGCATATATGGAGAAGTGAGCAGATTGTCTCTGAGAGATCTTCACCTCGCTGCGCAGCTTGACTCACCATATCCGTCCTCTCCTCCACTAGCGTAGCCCTTTCCAGTAGGGTGAATTGCAATGGTATTCAGGGGTCCAAAGTGACCAGGAATCCTCGCCACCTCCTCCTCGAATACGATATGCCAGAATCGAGCCTCGAACCTTCCCTGACGAGCGGAAGTTGTTGTGACGTTCATGGCTTCTTGACCACCTCCTACAATGACATAGGGCTTTGTAGGATGGATGGCTGCTGAATTGAGCGGGGTTTCGGTAGTGTAGTACTTCATGATCTGCAGCGGCTTGAGAGAGACAATCTGCACATCGGAGAAAGACAGGAGCGGTCGGTCAGCGCATCCTTCTCGCCCCACTGCTGCGCTTGTGCACAACTCACCTTTGCGGTCTTGTCCTTTCCAGACGTAATGACAAACGACCTATCACTGCTCATCTGCATGTCTGTGATCACACCCTCGTGCACTGCCAGACTCTGCTCCTCCAGCTCAGCGTCGATTCCGGTCTCTGGCTCCTTGGTGTCGTGGTAGTACAGTGCGACCTTGCCGTCTTCGTGGCCAGTGACAATGTACTCGTCGCATGAGCCCCATGCTGCAACGGTAGCCTTTGGTCCGGAGAAGGTAATGGTACGAGATGGCTCCTTGCTTTGCGATGTGAGCGAAGCAGGGTCCCGGTTGATGGTGAAAGTGCGCAGAGCACCGCGGTAGCCCATGCGGGCTTCTGTCACTGCCAGGATCTGAGTAGAGTCTTCGGACCAGGCGACTCGCTTCACTGCCGTTGGGAACTCCCACTCGAAGAGCTTCTGACCGCTGGCTACATCCCAAAGACGCAGAGTGTTGTCTGCCGAACCTGTCACGAGAAGTGTTGATGTGGCTGAGAGGGGAAGAAAGGAGAAGGAGGAAGCAAGGAGTTTGCAAGGAAGGCGTAAGTCCAACGCTCCACTTGCAGGCTTTTGCTCCGCGCCTGCTCTGAGTCCTACAGCCATTCCAAAGAGACGGTGTATCTTGCTGAAGGAGAAGACTACGACTGTTTCGCACTCGTTCGGCTTTCTCTTTTCCCTTTGTCTGCCACACTCTGTGGCTGCTGTGTCTGCCAAGCTACCCCTCTCTATGCTACATCGAATCCGGCAGAGTGCTTCATCGATCCAGCCTACCCCGCTCTACCAACGTTTTATTCCTCTATCCAGCGCAGCGGAGCCTCTCGTATGCTCTAGCAAAACTCACCATCCACATCGACGCTCCAGACGGTTCCATTATGCCCCTCGTATGTCCCCAACCTCTCTCCATTGTGCGAGAACCAAGCGCAGACTACATTGTCCTTTGATACGGAGAAGAGCAAGTCTCCTTCCCTGTTGTACTTGATCTGATTGAGCGATCGCTCGTGACCCGATAGGAGGATGGGACGCTGTGAGAGATGGAGATGAGGGTGAAGGGGGTGAGCATGGAGGATTCCAGGATCGCAGCTCCTTTGGCAGAGGAGACACTCACCATGATGGTAGTGGCTGAAGCTGCTTGTGCGGTTGAGAAAGGCAAGGAGGTATTGGGCGGCGCTTACGTTCGCTGTCTACCGAGCTCGTATGATCAGCAGAAGCAAAGACTGGCGTAGGTGAGCTTAGCGGTAAGGTGGACTTGTACGATGAGAAGGATTGGATGCCACTTGCTTGACGCGAGCAAGGACTGGGCCACTGAAGCGCCTGCACTCGTTCCTCCCAAGTCAAAAAATCCCGACTGGCCCTGGAGAAGACGAAGGGTGATTAGCCCGCCGCGCGCGCAGGACGCTCTGAGTGAATACAAACGGACAGGCGACAAGCGCGAGGGTGATTAGAATCGGCTGGTGCTATGCAATCGCTCAGAAGGACAACAAGACAATGGCAAACTGCATAGACTGTGCTCGACTCTCTGCCGCCTCAGCCTGCGTATGATCAAGCATCGTACGCTAAGTCGTGGTCGTCAAGGCTCTGGCTCTCCCTGTGGCCCTGCTGAGGGGTAGTGTCGCGTGGCGGTGGTGTGGATGCGCTCGTGTGCGTGTGCGTGTGCGGGTGGCATCTGGCGTGGCTGGCTGGGTGGTGGGGGGACCGAGGCCCGCCCTGGTGGATGACGTCTTGGGTGCCGGGGCGCGGAGGCAGACAGACAGACAGGCAGACGCAGACGCCGCCGCCGTCCGCCTTTTCCCCACGGCTGGGTAGAGTTGGCTGCCTGCTTGGGTCGCTGCCTGCTGTCCTTGTCATCGCTTACCACCACCAGAATCTAATCCAGAAGTCTTATCCTACCCTTTCCAGACAGCATCACACCACCTCATCATCGGTAGATTCAACAGGCAGAGATACCCCTCCACACTCCCTCCTTCATACCTCTCATCTCACCACCCCACCCCTGCTCCTCCGCTGTTCCGGCCCCCAGGTCCTTGGTCTCTCTTCATCAGGTGCAAAAGGGGATACCACTTCTTTGCATTCGCTCAGTCTCCTTTCATCTTCTATACACAGCCCAGGTCATCTTTTGTCCTCGACGACGCAAATAGACACATCAGCTGTCTTCAAGTCAAGCAGAACGATCAGATCAAAAGCTGCAGTCTTGTCCATTCATCTTTCTGCACGCAGCAGTATACCTACCAAGCTACTCATCTAGCCTCCACCTAAGAACAAAGACATAACGGTCGTCTAATCTTTGGACGACTCACCTCACCACCCATCCCCTCTCGCACATCATGGGTCAAACACTCTCGGAGCCGGTAACGGTAAAGGTGAGTTGCTGAACAGACCATGCCAGCATGCTAGCCGAGATCCAGCATTATGCGATCATCAGCAGTCATTTCAGCAAAAGCGGCAGCACAAGGGTGAACTTTGGGAAGAGACGGAGGCGCAGGTATAAGGCTTGGGACACAGGTTTGGCTACGGGTCGGTTGCTCTAAAAGATGGAAACGCTAAGATCAAGCAAGCCCGGAACGCATTGCTTAAGCGCCTGGAGATGTCGTACCAACCCCCAGACCCGCCCAAGACAGTACTGACCGCCTGTACCTGTCTTTGTTCCATCAGCATACTTCCGTCGGCGAAGATGACACCATGGCCTACGCCATCTCGGAGATGCAAGGATGGAGAATCAGTGAGTGTGGAGGCGTTGGACCTCCACCAACAGGGTACGGTAAGCTTACCCCGCTGCTTCATCTCCCCTGACCAGGCATGGAAGATGCTCACGCTACCGTGCTGAACCTTGACGAAAAGACTGGCGACGAGAAGGCCAGCTTCTTCGCAGTGTATGATGGCCACGGAGGTCAGTCAGCTACGCTCAGCTCGAGCCGTTATGGGTAGTGTGCACGGCTTACACCCCCTTCTCCATCCGCGTATGTCTCCAGGTTCGGAAGCGGCAAAGTATGCTGCGACCGCTGTGCACGAAGTCCTGGCGAAGAACAAGGCATACAAGGAAGGCAATTATGCGCAAGCTTTGAAGGAGGCCTTCTTGAACGCCGACGAGGGCTTCTACAATGGTGAGTGGCGATAAAGGGAAGTATGCAGCTGTGCCTTGTACTCATCCGACCTCTTGACACTCGATGCGTGTTGCTCAGATCGTGACGGCGACCCTTCTGGATGCACAGCCACTACCACTCTGCTCGTGGCGGGCCCGCCCAACAAAGACTCAAAGCAAGACAAAGTTGCTCGTCAGATCGTCTGCGCCAACGCTGGTGACTCTCGCACAGTGCTGGGTCTTAGGGGTGAGGCTAAGCCTCTGTCGTATGATCACAAGCCTGGAAACAAGGAAGAGAATGCTCGAATTGTTGCCGCTGGAGGCTTTGTTGAGTTCGGCAGGGTGAACGGTAACCTGGCGCTCTCTCGCGCCCTGGGAGATTTCGAATTCAAGCGCAACGACTCTCTCTCGAAGGAGGCTCAAATCGTCACCGCAGACCCCGAAATCATCGTCCACGATATTACGGGCGAAGAGGAGTTCCTGATCCTGGCGTGCGATGGTATCTGGGACTGTCTCAGCAACCAACAAGTCGTCGACTTTGTGCGGAGGGAGATTGCCAAGGGCAGGGAGCTCCGGGATATCTGTGAAGAGGCCATGGACAGGTGTTGTGCTCCCGATAGCGAAATTGGCGGAGTGGGCTGTGACAACGTGAGTCATCAGGGAAGGACAATGAGTCTTCAACTTGACGTGATGCGAATGCTGAAACGCACTCCTGTTTCCTCTCCCTCCAGATGACCATTTGCATCATTGCTCTCCTAGGCGGACGGACCAAGGAGGAGTGGTACCAATGGGTCAAGGAGCGGGTGGACAACAAGGTCGGATGGGACACTCCCGAGAGCATTGCCCCCGTCTTCAACTCTCCTCCGCGTCAAGCAAACAACGGCGGCAGCGGTGGTGCCGGAGGTCCCGGTGGCATCAACAGCGGCAATGTTCTGCAGGCCCTTGCCAGTGGACTGGCCGGTGTGGGCGGCCAAGGCGGTGAAGGTCAAGACGGCAGCGGAGGCAATGGAGGTCTGCGTCTTGCACCTGGAGGTCTGGCCGCTGCCCTCGGTGGTGGTCGCTTCGTGCTGCGTCCGGGAGAGCCGGATGAGAAGGGCGAGATGACATACGAGGCGCACGTGGTGGACGAAGACGACTCCGAGGACGGCGACGAGGATGAAGACGACGAGGAGCAAGGCAGCAGCAGCAGTAGCAGCAAAGGTGTGGCAGAAGGCTCGGACGCAGAGAGGCCGGCGCTTACACATCAGCCCGAGATCGTCGAAACGCCTGGACATGCTGCGCAGGAGGGCAAGGGCAATACGGGCACTACCAACTTTACGAGTGGAGGAAGCAACGTCTCTTCTACTTCGTCCAAGGGGGATGCATACTCTTCGTCGCCGATGAACCCCACGAAGCCGCAGGTGGAGGTGCGACCTTCGACGGAGGGCACTGGAGCGGAGAAGCAGCAGCAAGCCCAGGAGGGTGGTGATAAGATGGAACTTTAGAGGAGTGGGGCGAAGATTAAAGACTTGAGCGCGGCACGTGGCATTGCAAAGTCTGTCTGGGTGGCATGTCGCGATGGGAGTAGCGGAGAAGTTCTGGGCGCGGACGTGGATTTTGTTAGAGTGGCAAGGAATGAGTGACATTGAAGAGGGGAACGAGGTAAGGAGGGAGTGGATAGGAATACAGGGTAGATTTCCACCAAGACTTGTCCGTCTGCACTTTTGCAGCACCGAGTGACCTCGAGCGGACGTCTGTCTGTGCCTAGTCTAGCCTAGCCTGGCCTCGCTCGACCCGCTGTGTGATTATCATCTGTGCCCCTGCCCTTCCTTGCCTGTCCCCCTCGTTGTTTCCCACGCTACCCTAACCCATCGCGGAGCCCCGCCATATCCATATCCAGATCCACATCCAAATCCGCTCCCTCGGGTTTGCCGACCACCCCAATGCACGGATGCTGAGCGGTACCTTGCAGTCGTCTAGAAGCGTTGCTACCGGGCGGGGAAGGGGGCCGTGCTGAGTCGCGGTTGGGGTGGGTGGAGTGGAGCAAGTCATGTGACCTTGGCCTCCCTGCGCCTCTCCCACCCCTTTTCCCTCGGTGCGTCGGTGCGTCGGTGCTGAACAGAAGCGCGAAGGACCGGGGCGTCGGTGTTCTGGATGACCGAGTGCGCCGGAGGGAAAGGCGCATAGTGCCAAGCAAGGCGGGGCGGGCGTGACCAGTGTGCTGTCTTGCTGCATTTAGCCTTTATGCTGCCCTGTCCCTTGTTTCTTCTTCTTCACTGAGGAGGGCAGGACGACTGGCATTGTGCCTGCGCCTTGCGTCCTAGGGCGGCCCCCTCCGGCTAAGCGGGATGTTCATGGTCGGTCCGGACGTGGAGAGGAAAAGAGAAAGGCAGCGTCGGTGATCTGCGTGTGACGTCGGAGCCAGGCACACACGGAAGGGCCACCAGCACACTCGCCCGCCCACCCGCAGGCACAAGAGCAACCAACAGCAACACCCACCTCGGTCCTTTGCTTGTTCCTTGATCCCCGCACTGCCGCCCTCGTTGCTTGCCTCCCTCATTTTCTCACCCTCGCCCTTCTACCACCAATCCCAAGAAGCGTCCTTCCCCACTCTTCTCTTCTTCTTCCCCTCTTCCCCGCATCCTTCCCCACCTTCACTACCCCGCTCCCTCCCTACCTACCACCAACACACCCACCCACGCTCTCACCCCGCTCAGCATGGCACCTTCTACAAAGGACCTCATCGGTTCCATCGATGCCGGAACCACCTCTGTCCGCTTCATGCTCTTCGACGAAGAAGGAACCGTCGTCGACTACCACCAGCTGGAGTTCACTCAATTCTACGACCACCCAGGATGGCAGGACCAAGATCCCCACGAGATCGTAGACAAGGTCAATGAGTGTATCGAACAGACCATTGCAAAGGTAGAAAAGAAGGGAGTCTACACTCGCAAGGATGTCAAAGTGTGCTCCGTCACCAATCAGAGAGAGACTACAGTAGTCTGGGACAAGGCTAGCGGCAAAGCCCTGACCAGGTGCATTGCCTGGCCCGACACACGTACAGCACACACCGTCAAGGAGCTAGCAAAGAAGCACCCAAAGGGCGTCGATGCCGTAAAGTGGGAGACTGGCTTGCCCCTCTCCACCTACTTTGCCGCAACCAAGCTTCGTTGGATGCTCGACAATCTGCCCGAGGTGAAGAAGGCTCACGATGAAAAGACGATGCTCTTTGGAACGGTAGACTCGTGGTTGGTGTACAACCTCACAAAGGGTGCAGCACACATTACCGATGCCTCGAATGCCTCGCGGACGATGTTCATGGATCTACGAAAACAGGCTTGGGACCCCAAGCTGTGTGAGTTCTTTGGCGTCGACCCAGACATTCTCCCCACGATTAAGAGCTCGGCAGAAATCTATGGAAAGGTGGAAGAGGGAGCTCTAGCCGGTGTGGACATTGGTGGAATTGTAGGTGATCAGCAGGCAGCCTTGGTAGGACAAAAGTGTCTCAGCCCAGGAGAGGCAAAGAACACCTATGGTACTGGAGCCTTCCTCCTCTACAATACAGGAGACAAGGTCGTAGACTCCCACAATGGTCTCCTCTCCACCATTGCCTACCAAGCTGGTCCCCACGCCCAACCTCAATACGCCCTCGAGGGAAGTATCGCCGTTGCTGGATCGGCCATCAAGTGGCTTCGTGACAATTTGCAAATCATCAAGGAGGCTTCCGAGGTAGACTGTGCTGCCCAAGTCGAAGCAGCAGAATGCGTCTTTGTCACTGCCTTTAGCGGTCTCCTCGCACCCGTATGGGATTCTACCGCTACTGGAACCCTCATTGGTATCAGTGGATTCCACGACAAGCGTCACATCTGTCGCGCCGTTTTAGAAGCAGCTGCCTTCCAAACCAAAGCCGTACTAGACGCAATGGAAAAGGATTCTGGTGTACCCCTTCGCGCCTTGAACGTGGATGGTGGAATGACCAACTCGGACGTCTTTTGTCAATTGCAAGCCAACATCTTGGGATTGGCCGTTGAGAGACCAGCAATGAGAGAGACGACGGCATTGGGATCAGCACTCTTGGCAGGTCAAGCAAAGGGATTGTTTGGTTGGGATTTGAGTAGACCAGAGACTCTCAAGAGGGTCAATATGGCTGGAAGGGATGCATTTGAACCAAAGATTGATGAGGCAAAGAGGAAGGAATTACTCAGACAGTGGTGGAGGGCAGTGGAGAGGTCCAGGGGATGGCACGAGGACTCCGTCTAGGCATCTGCTCACCAGTCTGCCTTGGAGGTAGGTAGGTAGGTAGGTAGGTGTTGGGCAGGAAAGGACGGTAGGAAGGAAAGGGAGGTGCAAGGCAAGGGCAGTGGCAGTGTATACAGCACAGACGAAAAGAATCTTCCATCGCAACGTATTTATTCAACACGCAGTGTTTGCGCAAAAGGCTAAGTGAATGAGGAGATGCGTCCCACATCTGCAGTACATGTGATGAAGCTCTTCATTCCGAGGGGCAAAGCTCCTTGACGTGTTCAACTACCTCTTCCCTATCGGCCAGAGCACTCTCCCCCTCCCTCTCCTCCCTCTCTCTCCCTCCTGCACCTCCTCCTCCTTTCCCCTCTGCCCTCGTCGTCCTCCTCCTCCTCCTCAAGCATAATAATCCGACCTCCCCAATGCCCACGCATTCACCTCTGCCAATTCCTCTGGAGTAAAAGCCTTACTAGCCTCTTCCCATCCATCCTGATGAGTCCTCTTCCATTCCCTAGCGCACTTTTTAATCGTAGTGCTCACAGGTGGTGGATCATCGGTATGTTGACAGACGGTCTGTAGGAGTAGTTCGGGCATCCAGCTTGGGATCTCATAGGGAAAGGCAGAGAGGAGGGCCGTTGCTCCCAGGATACCAGAGTGGAGCTCGATGAGGGCAGAACTGTACTCTTCTGAGCCGCGAGCGGGGAGCAGAGTGTGCGTGACGGTGTAGGTGAAGCGACGCTTGAGGTCGGAGATGAGCTTGCGCTCTGAACAGCGGACGATGCCACTGAGGGAAGTCGCGACCATCTCCCTAACTTCTGGATGCGCGTCTTTCAGCAGGGCCAGGAGCACATCTACCATACCTCTGATGTCGGCTGGTCCTAAGTAGAAGAGATTCTGGAAGTAGGCCACTTGCAGAATGGGCAGCGCGTCTAGACGGACCCTCCATGAATCCTTGGACTCCTTGAGCAAGGTGAGCAATTGCTCCACCAATTTGCCTGGCAAGGCACCGGGACCAAAGTGGTGTGTGCAGATCTTGGTAAGAGCAGCTCGTGCAAGGTTCGAGAGTTCAGGATTGTCCTTCAACTCGAGCATCTGGAAGATATGCGGAAGGAACTCGATGGCGTGGTACTCCATCTTCGAATGGCGATGGTCGCCTAGCGTCGTCGACACCCACAGGAGGGCAGTCATGGAGATGCAGTCGTACCGCGAGGTACCCTGTGACAGTGGCACTCGAGATGGTCGTGACTCCTCCAGGCTGGCCTTGATCATCTCGAAGCGCGCCTTGTAGACGTCTGGCATCTCCGAAAGGGGAGCACCGTCTTCTTGACCACTTGCGTCTCGCAAAAAGTGCTCGACAGAAGGGTAGCGCGGCGCAACGCTGAATAAGTCCAAGTCAGCCAGGATCTCGCTCTGCTCAGACCTCAATTCTCCGAAAGCCGATCCGAGATCCTTCGAATAGACCTCGACAAACTCGGGCGCGCGAGCTGTGAGCTTGCGATCCAGCAGCGCAATGAGTGAGCGGAACATGCCGTGTGCCCTCTTCTGCTCGTTGAGCGACTCAAACTCGCCCTTGCCCTCTTGATACTCTTTGGCTCGCTGAACTGTAAAGTCGAGGAGCGGCTGAGCTCTTCGAGGGTCTCGTCCATCGAAAGTCTGGTGGACCATCTCACTCCATGCTTGCTGCGAGTCTTGCGTTGACTCCTTGAAGATGCGAGGGAAAAGCGGTACCAACCATGCCCAGAACTTGTCTTGGTCATCGAGAGGCCAGTGTTTGCTGCCCTTGATCACTCCGACGATGGCTTCGGACGCAGCGCGATGGGCATGACGATCCTGCAGGCCGATAGCGCGGTTTGCGATCGGAGCGATGATGTCCTGCACTGCGTACCCATAAATTTGCGCAAAGCTCTTGATGAGGCCGAAATTTTCTGTCGCAGGATACGTTCTCGGCTTCTCCTGGCCCAGGATAGAGAAGAGCTTGCTCCAGTATTCATCACTGCTCAGACCGCTAGACCACATCGCGTCGACAGCCGCCTTGGAGGACTCGTCCCATTGCCATGGCGCTTGGTCTTTGGGCGGCATGGCGTAGTACGTTGCCTCTTTGCCCCAGACCAACCAACCGAGATGTGTTCGGTCTCTGTATTTGGCTCGGTGTGAGCTTTCTCCCGCTTCCGCGTCCATCGGTACGACCAAGCTATCGGCCATGTCGTTCTCATAGCCCCGAGTCATAGGCACTGGCAGCGTCTCCTTGCGCTTGAGAGGGTTAGTCGACTTGCCTACGGCGAGGTCCTGGTCAGAGGCGCAGAGCGTCCTGAGCTTGATGAAGTATAGCAATCGAGTCAATGCCCCAGTAGCGTACTTGCGTAGATTTGGGTTGTCCGAGACCAGCTCCTGGACGAAGTACGATGCTACCTCAGGATTGATTGGCTGATCACGGCGAATCAGAGCTCGGAGAATGCGGGCAGCGAATTGAGCAAATGACCAGTGCACATGTGGGTCCCTTGCGATCTTGAGCAAGACGGGATTGAGCTTGGCTTGAAGACCATCGATCTCGTGACTTCGGGATTGTCTCTTTGCGACCACCTCTTCAAGGACTTGCACAGGCGTAGAAGGTGTAGCCGAACCGAGAGACCGCTCGATGGTCCGGACGACCGTCACCAGCTCCTGGGGGGTCTCGATCCTGAACTTGAAAGTCGACGGCTCGGCAAAGCGGGCGCAGAAGTCCCCCAGCAGAGCTCGCACGACTTTCTGCAGGGACGGCTTGGGGTGATGCTGAGCATTGATCAGGCACGTGATGTAGTCAGATGTAAAGCGAGCATCGACGATGGCCAAATTGCCGAAACCTTTGCTACCCAGGCAGTACAGGGCACCCTTCATTCGGTCATCACCCACGCCTGGAGCGACAGCACGTAGCAAGATGGGCATGCAGATCTGTCGCGTACCATCGTAGAGACCAGCAATGTGGTCCAGCGTGTTTTGAGCAGTCTTCCTAATGCCGACATAAGTACTCATGCAGTATTCCAGCACAATGTCCTTGATGAGCTTGTCATCCAGCGCTGTCCTACGTCGATGGAAAGCATTCAGTCGTCCGCGCGAGGCGTGGTAGAAAGCAGCTCGTCGGATCCACAGCATACGCGGCTGCTCCTTTTGGCGTGGATAGACCTTAAAGATCTTGCGGTAGAAGCTGAGAGCTTGTGACTGATTATTGTACTCTTCTGAAGAGTAGCTGTAGTCAGACAGGTAGGTACGCACAGTGCGCAGAAGAAGTCTGATACAGCCTTGTTTGTCCTCTGCCTCACTCGCCTTAGTCGATGTGGCGCTGCGATAAAGCAATTCTCCCAACCTCTCCCTGAAACCTACCACATACTTGTAGTGAGGCGATTCGGGTTCTTGCAGCACAAAGCCAGACTTGAAAGCAGGCGGAGGCTGGATGAACTCCATGCACTCATTGCCAGCATCGGAAGCCTGCTCGCCGCCTCCAGCCCTAGCGTCAGGCACCAGACTGGCTTGTGCGGTGAAACAATACTTGAGCAGTGACAGCTTGCGAATGAAGTCGTTGGACCATACCGTGTCCCTGAGCTCGTGGGCCACTGACTGCAGCTCCAAGAATTCATCCATCCTGGGCTCGACGAGTCTCTGCAAGACCTCAATGGCGAAGCCGACATCCTCCTCATCTGGGATGTGCCAGCGCAGTTGGGCATCTCTTGCCTCGTAGAGCTTGCCCCAGTGCATATGCGAATTGCGCGCAATCTGAGGGTCATTCCACTCGTCAGGGTTTAGGCAATGCCAGTCCGAAGGATAGAACGTGCAAAGAACGGTGATCAGGCGATTGACCAAGCCAGCAGTCATAGTGAAGCCTTTGACAGATCGTGTCCTCTCGATGAGCAAGCCGCACAGCGACAAGAGTCCCTCCCTGTACTTGAGGACAGCCTTTCCGCTGTAAGAGATGGCGCCCATGAGAATGGCGATGTGCCAGTGTAGAGCTGCATCAACAGGAGCAGTGGTGTTCCCGGAGATTGTGCGAGCGGAGCTGGCGCCGTGCTGCAGCTCTTCTCGAATCCTCGCATCGACAAGTGGGAAGATCTTGCTAAGAGTCAATTCCGGATCGACTCTAGCAAAGCAAGCAATGATCGACCCAATCACCCTCGTTGCGCTAGGAGAAGTGTTCTCAGCGCAGTACTTAAGGATGTGATTGAAGGTAATGGCGCGGAGGTGAGGGCTCATGGCCACCACAACTGAGTCTGTCGAGGCGAGCAAAGAGGCAATGACTTGCTCCTCCTGCTTTCCTCCCACCTTGCCCGTCGCTCCTTCTTCGGGCAGCGCAGCGCAGATGACAAAGACGCGGTTGAAGTACTCAATGGACCACTCGACGAAGTCGCCGGTACTCATTCGTAGCGCATCGTCTTCTTCCCTGCGAGACATCCTTGCGACAGCTGCTTCCTCGCTCTCGCCATTGGGTGCATCCGCATCATCAACAGCGCTGTCTGTCAGCTCTGGGCGAGTCAAGTCGTCCAGCCTGATGGTCATGAGAGCCGTAACTACGAAGGAGCAGGCGCACATGGTCTTCGATGCATCCGTAGGATCGAAGGCAGGCAGGCAGAGATGGAGCAGTGGAGCCAGGTGCTTACCGCCAGCAGGGAAGATCTCTCGGGAGACCAAGGGAAGCGACAAGGCCGAGAGCATCGTGATGATGGCGGTCGTCCGATGTGTCGTCTCCAACTCCTCGAGAGATGAATATGCCCTGTCCAGCACAGCCGGAATGATCAAGTCGGGCTCTAGGATGGCCAGTCGCTTGAGGGCTTTCTGCGAAGCTGCAATGGTCAAGCCATCCTTGCCGAACATACTGAGCAAGCAGACAGTCTTGCTAGTCTGTACAAACTCCCTCTTGATTGCCGGAGTCAGACGTCGATCCAGAGGAGTCTTGCAGTCGCTCCGTTGCTCATCTCGCCACCGGTTGAGGAAAGTCGCAGAGAGCTCACCCACGAAGCCTGCGAGTGCAAATTGCCATGGACCCCAATTTGAGGGGTGGAAGTACGTCTCTGTAGCTTGTAAAAAGCGAGCGACAGCATCCAATGCGCGCGATCCCGCCAAGAAGCTGTGCTGCTCATTAGAAGTTTCTCCTCCACTTGTTGGCGGTGAAGGAGTTGCTTCGCCCTCTGGCGGTGCAACAGGGCCATCACAGCTCATATTATACACCATGATAACTGCCATGTTCGTCACGGGCCTCGAGGGTTTCTTCATCCTCATAATCGTATCGGACACTGCGGCGTCTGGTCCTGACCTCATGCTGATGGACTGAGCCATCAACGTGGCATTTGCATGCTTGTTGGCTCCAACAGGTAGTCCGGCTGCCCGAAGAGCCTTGGTCATGACCAGTGAGAATTGGTCCTTGGTAAGCAGGCCCACGTCTTTCCAAAGGCCGATGGGAGCAGAGGTGGTCGAGTCTGAGTCTCTCGGCTCGAGCGATGGAGAAGAGGAAGATGACTCGGCCGAGATGGCTGGATCGCAGTGCATTTCCGACAGTCTGGCCAGCAGGTCAATCATCTGATCGTCGAAGAGACTGCTTTCAAACGTACTCCACAGCCTGAACATAGCCGGGAGCCATCGCTGCGGCTTGGAGAGGGGCAGAAAGTGTACGAGGAAAGCTTGCGCTGCGATGACGGAGTTAACGCTAGAGCCGTCCATGAAAGGCAGAATCTCCTCCAGCATATCATCGGCGTCTAATGGTGAGTAAAAGCGTTGAGCTGTAATAGCGAGGTCGAGTAGGGTGTTGGCAATGGCGGTAAGGCCGATAGTCCTCGACTTAGGGAACAGCTGAGCGTACAGAAGGTCATATAGAGGCTTCCACGGTAGTGTCAAATCTCTGCTCGAGATCTTACGCTTGGGCGCAAGGAGGGTGATGGCCATCGAGGCGCATACATCTACAATGCGAGTGTCCAAGCCGGGTATGAGTGTGAGGTGGTAGTACAATGCTGCGAGGGACGCTCGCGTGGAGCGCAAGATGGGGTACTTGAGACTGATGAGACATTGTAGCTTGTGGTTCCATTGTATAAGACCAACGTCGTAGCTGTGAACAAGTGATTAGGTGTGTAAGACACAGCCTCCCCCGATGCTCAAGACTCCTTCAGGGCTGACTCACTCTTTGGCCTCTATACACTCTATGAGCTTCCTCTCTATGAAAGCCAGCCTCTGGTCAAATTCCTCCAAGCTTTCACACTCATATGGAAGCGATTCGGGCCAGTCCATCATTTTGGTCCGATCCTCCTTGTGCACCTTGACCTTGATCTTCGTCTTGGTGGGGCGACTGGGCGTGGCGGACGCAGGCTTCGATGGTGAGGTGAGAGACTGCCCTAGGAGAGTCGCGCCTTCTTGCAGCTCATCGTCGTCGTCGTACATGTCGGTAGGCGGCTCCATGGGGGAGTCGACCTCGATGTACTCATCGTCGACCGAGTCGGCGTAGTCATCTTCCTCGTCGGCCATGGTGAGTGGCCTGCGAAGGTGAGACTAGTATGGGGGGGGAGGGAACAGGGTGTAACACGTCTGACTGCTGGCCAGCAAAAAGCAGAAACAGTAGCTGGTGACGAGTAGATATGCACCGCTAGCTTTGATGCTGTCTAGAGCTCTAGGTCGCAGCACGATGAAGAGAAAGGTCAAAGGTCGAGGAGGGGCTTCGAGGAAGAAGTGCTCCGCCTTGACCTCTTTCCCCGGGCTGACGCGGCCGCCTGCACTCAGCGGAAAGGCGGAGTGGGCGCCCTGAGCGGGTGGAGGTGACCGAGAGCAACACCAGCCCCGCCTGATAGACGCTACCTGGACCGCCAACGATTGCTACAGCCTCACTGAGACAGCTTACGATGTGAGACCATCATCAGGAGCTATACACGAAGACGTTCAGCAGACATTCCGCGGCAACGATCCGGCGGAGCAAAGGAGGCACGAGCACGATGTTTCGAAATCAGTACATTGACCTGTTCTGTTCCCGAAGACGTATGACTAGCACTCTGACGATTTATCTCACTCCAGCCTTTACTTCGATACCGCACTCAAAGGCTTTCCCGATTTGTCAGCGCCTGCCCTTCTCCTTGCCTCCAGGATGAGCTCGACGACCTCATCGATGCCCTGATCATTCTTGACACTGGTGAAGAGCGTCGGTCCGCCGTCTCTCATGATGGCTGCATCCCTCTCCATCACTTCCAACGAGGCGCCGACATGTGGGGCCAGGTCGATCTTGTTGATCACGAGAAGGTCGGATTGCGAGATACCCGGACCACCCTTACGGGGGACCTTGTCCCCTCCTGCTACGTCAATGATGTAGCTGCGCAGGAATCAGATAGAAGATTATGAGCAGGGGCGGTCTCTGTGCGAAGCCTGCCGCCTCGACCACTCACATCTCGAAGTCGGCCAGCTCTTTGCTGTAGCTGGCAGCCAAGTTATCACCTCCACTCTCCACCAGCAAAAGCTGCGTCTCAAACTCTGCCTGGAGCTGCTCGAGGGCTTCCAGGTTCGATGAGATGTCCTCGCGAATGGCGGCGTGACTAAGTAAGGGAACAAGATGACAGCTGTGTGAGAATGTGCGGCAAAGCATGGCTCCGCTTCAGGATGTACGCATCTACTCACGCTGAAAGGGCACAGGGGCAAGGGAAGGGTGAGGGAAGGGTGAGGGAAGGGTGAGGGAAGGGTGAGGGAAGGGTGAGGGAAGGGTGAGGGAAGGGTGAGGGAAGGGTGAGGGAAGGGTAGCTGTTAGTCACATGGCGCTCGACACGAGCATTCGCCTACCCGTAGTACTCACGCTGAGGGCAAAGGACACCGCATACATGGCATCAAACCGGACATGAGAAAGGCTCAGCATCTACTTCTCCACCGGGAAGCGCTCCTCGCATCAAACTCACGCAGCCTCCTGTTTCAACAGCCCTAATCCTGCTAGGCGGATCCAATGCCGAATTTCTGATCAGGAACTCTTGATCTTCCCTAGTGAAGATGTCATTCGTGACGACTCCAATGTTGAGCTTGTCCCTCAACCTCTTACAGATGGCCAGGGTCAATGCCGTCTTACCGCTGCCCACAGGCCCTCCGTGCCCCACGGTGAAGGCCCTCTCTTCCCAGTTACGGCGTGAGAAGTCTGGGAGATCGCGCTCGCCGAACTTGCCTGGGTGGTCCATAATCTCGTGGGTGTGTCCGTGGTCGCCTCCGGGAGCTGCGCTGTGCGAGTGCTCGTGAGAGTGGGAGTGGGCAGGGGCGCCATCGTGGGAATGCGAGGCGTTGCTTGGGGGCTGACCAGAGGCGGTGGAACCAAGCTTGATGTCGCACACAGACATGACGTGAGGATAGAGGGGAGAAGAGATGGTACGATGTAGGGGCAAGCCTTGTACTGGGTATAGTGGGAAGGGAAATAAGGCTCGAGGGCTTGGCGGAGCGGAAGCGTACAACCCCGCGTTGCGCACATCGGAGTGATTGGGCGAGGGAGGGTGAGCCAGGCGATGTGGGAGCAAGCTTCAGACGAGGGGAATGGTATCTAAGTAGCTTTATTGAACGATGACTTGCAAAGCAAAGGTATAATACAAGGCGCGAAGCGCAAAACGAAACCATCATCTACTCTATTGTCCGTGACTCCAAAGATCTCTCTAAATGGCATGGCCCACTCCAGTCTTCTCCACACCGAAGCCAATCTTTCTCAAGTGGGCACACTCGGCAGTGTTGAGGATGTCCCTACCATCGAAGACCATGGCTGGCTTGGTCATCTTGGCGTGGGTGGCAGTCCACCACTCCAGGTCCAGACCCTTGAACTCAGACCAGTCGGTGACGAAGAGGAGGGCAGAAGCGTTGACCAAAGCGGCGTCTAGCGAAGGGCAGATTGTGTAGGTACCAGCCTGGGGAAGGTCCCATGGTCCAGCAGCAGAGGCGGTAGCCCAGTCGATGTAAGTGAAGCCCTTGAGAGACTCGTGGATCGACTCGGCAGTGACCTTGGGGTCGTAGATGCGGAGGCAGGCGCCATCCTCCATCAAGTCTCGGGCGACGTTGATGGCAGGGGCCTCACGGATATCTCCAGTGTCCTTCTTGAAGGCGTAACCAGCACACACGATGGTCTTCCTGGTGATGGTGGAGAACATCTTCTTGACAACACCACGAGTGAAGCGCGACTTGGTCCACTCGTTCATCTTCAGCACCTGAGCCCAGTACTCTGCCACCTCGGGAAGGTTCAGCGAAGTGGAAAGGTAGATGAGGTTGAAGATGTCCTTCTGGAAGCACGAACCACCGAAGCCCAGACCGGCCTTGAGGAATTGCGAGCCGATACGAGGGTCGAGACCACAGGCGTTGGACACCTCGAAGACGTTGGAACCAGTGGCCTCACAGATGGCGGCAATGGCATTGATGGAAGAGACTCGCTGAGCCAGGAGAGCGTTGGCAGCCAGCTTGGAAAGCTCCGATGACCAAAGCGAGGTGGTGAGGATGTTCTTGGGTGCCACCCAGTTAGCGTATACCTCGACGAGCCTGCGCTGTGCCAATTGACCACGTGGTGTGTCAAGGGCACCGATCAGGATACGTGCAGGGTCCAGAAGATCCTCGACGGCAGTGCCCTCTGCGAGAAACTCTGGGTTGGAGAGGATCTCAAAGACAGCTCCTTCTTGTGGCGAGGTGGCGGATAGGATCTGTCGCATGCTCTCGGCGGTCCTGCAAGGCACAGTCGACTTCTCTACGATGATGGCTCCCTTCCTGCTCAGTGCTGCGATCCTTCTTGTGGCGGCCTCGACGTAGCAAAGGTCGGCAGCGACACCAGCACCCACACCACTGGTCTTGGTGGGTGTGTTGACAGAGACGAAGATCAGATCGGCCTCGGCAATGGCATTGTCGACGTCGGTGGTGAAGAAGAGGTTGCGACCGCGGGCCTCGAAGACGATTTCCGAAAGTCCCGGCTCGAAGATAGGTAGCGTGTCCGAGTTCCAGGCGTCGATCCTGGGCTGAGACAGATCGCAGATGGTCACCTTGATGTCGGGGCACTTCCATGCCAGAACGGCACAGGTGGGACCACCGACGTAACCGGCACCAACTGTGGGAGGGGTAAGCAAAATGTGTCAGCATCAACATCTTCCTCTGACCCTTGAGGTAGCAGGGAAGCAATGACTCACTGCAGCAGATATTCCGGACCTTGGGAAAGACCGACTCGTCGTCTCCGTTGCTGTCGAAGGTGGCAGTGACTACAGGCTGACGCTGCATCAGGAGCTCCTCAGGGTTCTCCATGATCGTCACAGCGGTCAGAGGAAGGGAGGAAGGCAGCTCGGTGGGGATTACGTGGGGCATTTTGGGCGGTTGGTGTAGGGGAAGTGGGCAGTACGGAGATGAGGGGAATGTGCTCGACACTGTAAAGAAGTGCTGGTGATGGGGTGATGAGAATAGTCTTACCACACTGTTCGTGCCAGTCTTATAGGTTCTCATTATCTATGGACGCTACCTCCGTGGAAAGACACCGGACGCTTTGGTCAAGTGCCCATGGCTCAGTGCGGGGACAGGGTACCCTTCGCGGCCAGAATTGTACTGTGGCGCTATCCTTGGCTCTCACCTTCTCGGCTTTGCCAATTCCGAAATAGGCCTACTGGAGTCAAGAGGTTCTGTCACAATGCAATCAGAGTTCACTTGGCGGCAACTTGCGACTGCATCGGGACTGCCATGCTGACAGGGCCTTACCTAGAGCCTCTAGCGTGGGAACAAGAAGGTTTACCTGACGTGCCCCTTGTGGCTGTCGCCGACCAGCCCTGGCCCTGAGATCGATCAGCTGCCAGTCGTCGCCGTCGGGCAATTGTTGCACCGGGTCACCGCCTTTGCGCGACGCTTTGGGAGATCCCGGGCAACGTGGCTCGATGGATGCCATGCGTACCTGAATGTTGGGCACTAGCCGAGCAGAAGCGAGCGAGATGGTCACCTCGCTACGCAGGCGAAGCGCTGCCCTCGCAGTAGCGGGCTGATCAGATGTCCCCAACATCTATCGGCACAGCGGGCACTTTCTGAGAGGATTTGTGTGTAGTCGTCCAGGGCGAGGGCGAGCCTATCGGCTCGATGGACCTGCGAATCTTTGCTGCACGTCTCTTGCTTTGTCTGCGCGTATGGGAAGGTATCGTGCTTGGCGGCCTGTGCAGCAGTGGCTCACTCTTCCTGGTCATAGACTTTGCCGGATGTTCATCTTTGCTCAATTCACCGTGCGGAGAGTTGAAAGTCCGTAAGTCCATCACCATCCATCACTGCATCTTCCTGGCCGTTTGCCAGATTTGCGTCACCGCCCGTGGCAAATCGTAGGGCAGCTGACAGGTGGAGACTCCGCTCAACATGCCGAGCTGCTTCCGTGCATGGAAGGAGCGGAGGTAGAAGTTGGACGCGGGAAGCTGTTTGGCCATGTGCGCTCCGCCTCTCCGCATCCATCTCCTCTTGAATCGACGGGTACATCCTGCAGCCCCGGTACCTTGAGCTTCTTGGCAAGCAGCCAACGTTCGCACTCAGCTTCACTGGACATTCACCGTCCGCCGCATCGCCGGAAAGAGCGTGCACCAGCAGAAATCTTGCCGCTTGTCAGGGTCCAACGCACGGAACCTTTCGGCCGAGGTGGCCAAGCCACCGCATCCGTCCTGACCGACGCGAAGATGTTCCCACCCTCCCCACTGCCATGAAACCAAGCACAGAGCTCGGAGGTAAGTGTCATGCGATCACCGTCCGAGGAGGCAAGGGGTACGTACCCTCGACAGGAACAAAGCCGAGCTGCAGGGGGAACCTTGGTAAGCGCCCTCGCTTAGCACTGTTCTGAGTCACCACCAATGAGCGAATAGGCATCAATGCCCGGGACCTTCACGCTCACATTGGTAGGTCCTGCAGGCACATCTCGTCAGCCGCGGTCAGACTTGACCATCGGCTTGCTGATCGGGACCTTCATGTCATAGCAGAAGGCAAGCCGGGGTGTCTCGGATGGAGTGAGGTCGTGAGAAGACCGTTCCCACCTTTTTCCAAGGGCAATGCCCCGATCCCCCGGCCAGAAGTCACTTCCGCGTACCCATACAAGCAAATGCGTCTCGTCGGATGATTTTCGCCGGACAAAGAGTGGCCTCGCACTGTTCCGGTCGCCTGAGTACTTAAAGCTCAGGACAAAGGAACAGAGACTTTTGATCTACCCCACTTCTGTTATATTTAACGTGCCCCATCCATTGGGAAGCAAGTGTAAGCCAGCCAGTCACTAAAACTTCACAATTCACGCTACAATGGTTGCTTCCTTCGCCCCCTCTCTTCTACCAATGCCTTCGGCCGCTCACTCCAGCAAGGAGGCGCACCACGTATCTCCTGTGGGCTATGCAGTAGCCGCAGCTAGGCGATTGTCCAACGCACTGCCTTACCAATGGCAGTACTCCTTCGACAAGAATTCCGCATCCCTGTCTTCGACCAACGGCGGGTTCTCCAACGTGGACCTCAGCGGCGAAGTTAAGCCCCTGCCGCAGTGGTATGGACAGGAGCAAAATCGTGAGCCGGTACCCAGCCAGCTCTGCCCGGGCGGATTTCCCTCTGCTCGAGGCTTCGAAGACGAAGTGCGCTTCGACCCACTCGACACCACGCCTTCTCTGCTGCCTTCACACTGCAGCAGCCTTCGTCCCATGAGCAGCAACAGCTCCTTGAGCGACCTCAGCGAATACTCGTGCAACACCGCCGATGTTCTTTCGCTCGCGCCTGGGTCACTCCTGCTGGATCTACACAACTGCCGTGATGCAAGCCGACTTGGTGCCGCTCATGCTCAGTACGAGCCTCAGTACCCAGTGCAAGACCTACGAAGCGAAGAACCTTCATTCCCTCTTGCCTCGACCTCAAGCAGCAGCAAGGTGCAAAGCCGCCGCAAGTCTTTCCCTCGCCGATTCCTCGGCACCAGTCTTGAGCGCTCTCCCCGCCAATTGTCTCTCTTCAGCTGGTCTACCGCCTCTGGCTTCGACAGCAACCCGGCCACACCTGAGCTTCAAGCTCCTGGCTGGAAGCAGGTAGACTACTTCTCACCTCCGTGTCCCACCACACTCGAAGGAAAGGAAGGTCTGAGCAACAGCGACAGCGAAGGCGAATACTCCGACGATGAGGGTGCATGTTTCACCGCTGCACAGATTGATCAGATCTGCCAACCCTTCGACCGTAGACCATCTCACGTCGCGGAGCTCGAGAGTCTGCGTCCGTCCGGTGGGGTGGGACTCGAAGGCAGAGCTAGAGCCATGTCTGCTCCTTGAGCACCTCGGGAGCCGCGTCGAGACCCTCTGCACGTTCAACCTCTAGACTATCATTTCGCATCGTTACTTGTTGTACATTCTTTCGTTGACCCGATTCGTTACTTCGTTTCCCTTCGAACACCTTGTTGTTTCGGACTTCCGCCACGCAATACATAGACTTTCCAATCCATCACTTCTTCTCTCGATCGGGTCCCTCTATGACTACACTTTTCAAATTGAGTCTGCCCCACAATGACTCCGCAGAGGGCTCACATTCGATGGGTGAACTCGCGCATGCGATTGTCACAGGAGTCGAAGGCTAAGTCCTGTAGCTCTTATCTGACGTGCAAGATCGTACCGCTGAGACTAGACGTGCATTCAAATGGGCTCGACACGGAGGCGTACAGGGATCGAGCAGGCATATTGATACCGAAAGAAGGGAAGAAAACGTTTGCAGCATTCGTGACGAGAGAAGTACGGAGCTAGGGACACAGGAACGGCAAAGACTCTGATAAAAACATTGGTGGAATTTCAGGGTAAGCTAGGCAACAATGAGGAAGCGGCGTATGCGAACAGGGCTGCCAAGAGAGTGTCATCTGTTTCGGAAGCCACAGACAGACGTCTGTCTGCTGCGAGAAGGAGACTCCAATTTTCTCGATGCCTTCCAAGCACCTGTGATACGGTGGTCAACACCTCCCCGTCGAAAGTATTGACAGGCTGGAAGACGAGTGACGGACCAGAATCAGTCCGGAGCTCAGGGGTAGCAAAGAGGGAGGTCGCGAGAGCTGCCACTCCTTGGATCAACCTGACATCGCAGCGCTCTTCCCTGACCTGTCGCTGCGAGAAGAGTTTGTCCATAGGCTGGCGTGCGTCTTGAAGGTCGTCCCAAGAGGCCAAGGCGCCTGTGCAAGAGCGACGTCTTTGCTCTGCAACGCTACTCATACCCGCCAGCAGCATCTGTTGCTTGGGAGGCATGAGACTGAAGGGAAGGAGGATGGCAGGATTCTGTAGAGACAGACGTCTGCAGGCAGCTGACATGTTCAGCATCTCGCTCTCTGGTGTCAACTCGCGCTCCATGTCGGCCGATGTCCAAGGTGAGGCACTGCTGGAGCTTTGCTGAGCTTGGTTGTCTCGAGAGCGAGAAGCGGATAAGAGACTCGAGATCGTGGCGAAAGCTTGGGAACCAACGGTAGCAGGACAGTCGCCCCGACGCTCGACCAGCGCGGCCAGGTAGACCTCGAGCTCTTCAGTAAGATCCCTCATGGCATTTCGCTGCTGACGGATTTTGCTCTCCGAAAAAGAGACCTCCGTGGAGCCCTGGGGGTCCACACTGTCGAGCAAACCAGTAGAGGGGTCTACGCCTGGCAGACTGCCTATCCCTGTGACATGCTCGTCTCGGGCTGCCCGATCACGTAAGTGAACCAGAAAAGCTTCCGGGCCGAATGCATGGAGTGTTCCGGAGATAGGCTTGCTATCTCTTGATCGAGAAGCGACTATGCTATCTTTTTGTCCAGTGCCGTTGTAAAAGGGAGGGCATTCGGTAGCTGCGCTGTAAAACGAGGCTACTTCGAGATCCGAAGGGATAGCCGAGAAGCACGAGGAGATCGCCGAATCGGTAGCGGATGAGGCGGAGTACGAAGCTCGCTTTCCACAGGAGCAGCGATCCGTCGTTGTTGATAAATCGAGCGAAGCTAGTGTCCCATATGTCAACTCGCGCCTGATGCGTGGTGGAGGAGCCAATGACATGGCGCATAGGTCGACCTCTAGCGGGTCGTAGACCTGCTCTTTCTGCTTGTGCCTCAGCTCAAGAGCTGTTGCGAATGGTTGCGGCTCGTTCCAAAATACTTGGGTACTTGTGGTGGAGGATGGTTGCACGTGTATAGAGAGGGCGTTGCGTCGTCCTCGACCTCGCACGGGCGGCGAGAGTATGCCTGCGAGCGGCTCTTGCGGTTCTGCTGAAGCGCTGTAGTCAGTCATGTGATCTGACATTTGCACGTTGATCTGACCTGCAGCCGTTACGGCCCAGTCTCGAGCAGCGAGATGGTCGTACAAGATGAAAGAGGCAGAACGTGATCGTCTTCTCTGGTTCACGACAGCTCTAGCCGGTCCGGGGAGACAGACAGGCTTCGCAGGAGCGGTGAACTCGGCCGAGGGATCAGTACTTGAAGCCATAGCCAGGGTCATGGTGAGCGTGTATTGACTCTAGTGGGCAAGCAGATGTTGTGAGATAACTAGATAGATGAAGTCAAAAAAGGCTAGCGAGGTATGAGCATTCAGATCGGGGCCCTCTAATAACAGATACATCGTCCCGCTTCGCCTCTAGTCTTGTGACTCGCTAGCAACCGCTCATACGCCCATGCCGTGTACTTTCGACGCCGATCTCGTCTCGGTACGACGGCGAGGTGTCTCAGACTGAATGCGCTCGATAGCAGCGTCAAAGCGGGACTGTGTGGGGCAGGACTGTACAACGATCTATGTTGAACGAGATCCGAAGGTAAGCCGAAGCGACCTCAAGCGAGATCCTGCAGCTGGCGCGCCCCAGCTGCTTCCCGCATCCAGAGGGTCAGCGAACGCGTGGGCACTGCGCCCCTGTCAGCGGATCTCGTCAGTGACATGGGCGTGGACCCTTACGACCTCGCTTAGGAGCTAGGCGAATAGTTTAGCGAAGTTCCCTGACAGGCCAAGCGAGGTACCGTAGAACAATGGAGTGGCAAACCTTAGTGTAAAGGCGGAACGACGAGCAACATCCGTTGTGTTCGAGATCAGGACTGACCCGGCGCGTCGTCAGTCCACAAGCATCAGCAGCGGCCTCGCCATTCAGCGATCAAAGCGCCGGCCTGAGCGCCTACCGTTGTGCTTGGCACGAGCTGCACAGGAAAGAAGCGCAGTAGTACTGCCAAGACGCAACCTTCAACGGCGAACCAGACCCCTGCGCGCTGGTGATTGGCACGATGGTGTCCTGGCGCTTTGACAAAGTCTGCAATCTCTCTGGAGAACTCTGAGGTAAAGCCGGTAATGCGATCGGAACTCACCACGAAGGAGCCGAATCAGTCGAATGCGGCGCCTTTACCATCACGAAAGGGAAAAGGCTCTTTGACGGACAATAGCGTCCCCCAGCGGCTTATTACCCTGTTCTTCGAGCCCACACTCGGAGTCCGGTCTCTGGCCATCGGTGTGACGCTTTACTGCGAGATCTAGCACCTCCCTCGCTTCGGAGTGCTCAGGGATCCAGTCCCGGGGAGATCGTCATTAAAGTGGAATGTGACGTCCTCAGGATCGAAGAGATGTCACAACAGCTTCCCTTCCAAGATTTGCTTGCTTCCGCTGGACGTGGTCAGTATGACCTGATCAAGGAGTGAATGGGTAGAGAGAATCACAGTGTCGATGTAGGATGCGTCTAATATGCTATTTACTGGCAAATTGGCAATGAGCAAAATACAAAATATATGCAATGAAACAAAAACAAAACGATTTACAAATGCATCGGGAAGTAATCACTGCAATGAGAATATGAGAAAGGCCAAGAGCCAGAGGGCCAACGCCGTTCCTACGGGTCCAGTCGTCGACGCAGATGATGCTGATCTCTTGATCGCTGCGCTCGTAGTCTGCCTTGTGAGTGACAGACCATTGGAGTCACCACCAGGCGAACCTACGTAGCATGGTTTCTTCCTCTTCTGGCAGGTCATGACAGGAGTCGTGGAGTAGACGCCGTTGACTAGAGCGTTGTAGTTGACCGCACCACTGTTTACGGTAGCGTTATGGACTACCCACAACTGTTCTACCGTGAAGGTTGCATTGCTCTTCGGGGGTCCCTGCGAATAATTAGGATTGCCGTCGGACCAGCTCGAGAAGGCTACCAGCCCCGGCGTCTGAGGTACATTTGTTGTGAGCTTGGTGGAGTAGGTGTTGTCCAGCCCATACGTGACGGAAGCGGGTCGCCAGCTGAAGCCCCAGTTGTGGACAGTCTGAGCGCGACAAGAGTCGAAGCATGGGGTCAGCTGCACGTGAATGTAGACTTCTATCCTGCCCTTCGCTTGATTCCGCAGGCTACTTACAGAAGAAAATGATGTTTTCTGGCTTTTAGGCTTGGTGGTTCCATACGTTTTTGTGCTGGGATTGCCTCTACTGTCGTAAATTTGTGGCGCTACTGTGTCTCGAATGAATTGCGATCCATTTCCCCAATTCGGCTTACTGACATATTCCATGACAGCTGCACTCGTAGAGCTGCCATAGACGAAAAAGGCAGACACTGTGCCCACGATGCTGGTCACCTCCGCTTGAAGATGATAGCTGCCAAAGCCCCAGTCGTAAGCTTTGGCATAGACTCCAGCCACCGGAACGCGCGTGGTATTGCTAGCTGAGACCGGTGACACAGTCAGCTCCACTCCGCTCGAAGACAGCGCCACTTGTCCAGGCGAGTAGTGTCGGATATATTTCCCGCCGGAAGAGCGAGCATCGACATCATTGTTGGACAGTCTGAATTGACTTGTGAGGTTCGCACGAGTGTAGGAGCTGTCGGTGAAGTCCACTCTGTAATAATTCGTATAAACGGCCTGGGCCGGATCGTAGGAGTCGATGAAGCCACAGTCACAGGTAGTGAAGTTGGGCTGCACCGAAGCCACTCGACGAACCAATTCAGACCTTGAGACGCTGCCAACACCTTCCTGCAAAAACCCTGGAGCTGCGAGCATCTGTTGTGGCCTAGAATTAGACGTTCGAGTAAGGCGTTGTTGAGGTGACACTTGATGGAACTTGTGGCTTGGTTTGAGAAGTGAGGGGAAGTTGTGGCTTGTGTTGCAAATCAGGAAGGCCAAATAGATGTGATTTCAGGTGGCGTAACGATCTCCCAGTGGGACGTCTAAAGTGTAATGGTAGGGCGGAACTTCCCGAAGACGTCACCGCCAGTGTCAAGCGCTTGTTGCAGCCGCGCAGGTTGTCTGGAAGGCCGCGCGTTTAAAATTTGAACCTTGAGGTGTACCCAGTAACTGCAATTAGGTTGAAAACAAAGGAGACCAAAGACGAACGAACCTTGGGTGTTCGGAACTACCCGACAGTTCCCGTAATAGCCCGGCCTCACCAACATCTCCTTTCCGATTCCTCATGGGACGCGGGTCGAGTGCGCTCTGCGGATCTGGAGCAATTCGGAGCACACAGCAGCGACTGTTGTGTCTGACAGCGAAATGCGGCAGGTCCAAACAAGGTTCTGACAAGGAAAGTGTTCGTGTCGTGAGAATGTTGAGGCCGGCAGGCGCAGGCCGAGTCGGCGTTTCACTGAGCAGCGTTGACCGATAGAGGCAGGGCAAGAGAGCAAGGATGGACCGATAGGCGCAGAAGAAGTGCCAGCAAGTGTCGGCCGATAGTCTAGAATCAGGCGGAGCAGACCGCATTGTTCGAGGACCCTATTTTGACGTCGGCATCCCCCTGCGCGGAGTATTCCCCGCCTGTCGAGGCATGGGCTGCGTACCTAAATTGGGTTCCAGCACTAGCGGAGTGTGTCGACTTGTCATCCCGCCGCGTGGCCAAGACAAGATCGCTGCAGGTCAGGCCTTCCATGCCTCGGCGAATTCTTGCCGTGCGCACAAGGCTTCGCGCCAGTCTTCCCCAAGCTCCACCCGACGGGACATTGTTATCGGCATTCGATATGACAGCTGTAATGGACGGCGCAATAGTGACACACGCAGTGACGTGCTGCCCTCGCTCACCCCATGTCAGCCTCCCTGCCTTCGATCGTTGAGTCAAACTGCCTCGTTGTCCTGCAGCTACAGCTGTTCCCCCAAATGCTACTGCCGAACCTCTGTGACTGCAATGCTAACCTTACCTCGCTTAAGCGGCCAGTTCGCCCATACTTGTCTGCATTAGTGAGATCCACCTTCTTGGGGCTTGCTCCTTGCTTGACCTGCATGACGTCTGCAGCCCGTCTCTCGATGCCACGCCTCAGCTTGTAAGGTCCTGGCAGTGTGCTGCACCGTAGAGTTCCTGCATGGGAAAGCATGCTTCACACAAGAGCTTCCAGCTCGGCCCCTTCGGATCGAAAGTCCTGATGCGGATGCTGCACTTGAGTATGGTAGCCTACCAGTGTGTTGCCACCGTCGATCGTTTCTTTCCCACACGGTACTTATGTCAGGCAGTTCCGCAGAGCGGGTGTGTTCCACTCTGGTGGCGCGGTGACCTTCTACAATCGGTAACTCAATACGATGAGAGAAGGCTTGGATGAGGCGAGACGGGAACGTGTTCACTAAAATATACCCAAGGGTTTGTGGACATCTTTGTGCCTTTCCTGCACACCTATTTCGACATCCCGATCCTCCAAAACTTCGTGACCCGGCCAAAGGTCTTCCATAGATCAAGATGTCAGTCGATCCTTTTGACGACAAGTTCGTGCAACAAGAGATGCGGAGGAGTGGCAGCGGTACGGACATTCACTCCTTGAGGTCCATCGATTCGAGCTCGCAAAGTCACGGTCTTCAGACATCTTATAGCCAGACCCTCGCCTCTCAGACTCCATCGTCACCCAAAGCACGATCACTACGCCGCCCATCCTCAACGGGCTCATGGGCCTCAAGATCGGAGCGAGCATCAGTAGAGCAGGATGCACCACCGGTGGAACACTCTCTGGAGCAGCATGCACCTGCCTCTGTCTATGGTGTGCCGGCATATCTTGAGCCACCCGACCGTCCGATAGTGAAGATGAGCGTCTTTGGATACCTCAAGATGATCGTCAAGAGTATCTTTTCAGCAGCCCTGGTCATAGTGCTCATCTTTGGATACACCTATAGTATCAAAGTCATCGACCTTCATGTCACCACCGTCGGAATTTACGGTACTATCCTCATGGCCGACTTCCTCACACAGTACAGCTGTGCCATCTGCAATCGCTGGGACGTTGTCAACATCGTCCGTAGAAGGAAAGCGAAGATGGGATGTCCTCCCGAGAGGCGACGCAGGCCTTGGCAAGTAGAGGCAAAGCAAGACCCAGTACCAGAGCCATCTGACGATCCCGAAAAGCAAGGCCAAGCACCGGAGGTGCCGCGCAATCAGCTCATGAATCCCGACGCCGAGATCAGCATCGCCGTCGTCGGCTACCGTGAAGATGAGCAGGCCTGGAAAGAGTGTCTGCGGTCTCTGCAGAAGCAAAAGCTCAAGCCCAAATGCGTGGTTGGCGTCGTCGACGGTAACGACCAACCCGATCTAGACATGGCCAATGCCTTCATGGAGGAGTTTGCCAACCACAACAGTCTCATGGTTCATCTTCCCGTCCTGCTCTCGGCAGTCCACCGTAAGACGTATTTCGACACTCTGGCAACATACCCCGACAGCAGGAGCAAGGCGCTCAAAGCTTGGCATCGTATCTCTGGCCACCACACCGAAGCTCAGAAAGCCTCCCTCGCCGTGGCACTCAACGTAGTGTTGAAGCAAGTCGACGAGTGGGAGGCTGAATACAAACTGTCGTCGTATGAGGCATTGTGCTTCAGCCAGCCCCATGGGCACAAGCGAACCGCCATGTTTACAGCCTTCGCTATCTCCCTTTGGGCTCTCAAGACCAAGCACGCCATCTTCACCACCGACTCTGACACCCTCGTGAAAGACGACGCTCTCGACGAGATGCTGACGATTCTACAGTCGCACGGCAACGTCGGTGGCGTGACCGGAGACGTCAAGATTTGGAACCGTGCAGAGAGCTTCTTGGCCCGTCTGTGTGCCGTGCGGTATTGGTTCGCGTTTAACATTGAGCGCGCCTGCCAGTCTTGGTGGCGCTGCGTCTCGTGTCTTTCAGGACCAATGTCGATGTACCGTTCGCACGATCTGCACGTCATCCTTGGGCTATGGAACATCCAGACCTACCGCGGCAAGGAGACGACTTTCGGAGACGACCGACATTTGACCAATCAGATTCTGGCGCAAGGCTTCAAGACCCGTTATACACACCGAACCTGGTGCGAGTCTGAGAGCCCTACCCAGTTCCCTCGATGGGTGAAGCAACAGACACGTTGGTCCAAGAGCTTCTTCCGTGAGGCGTTCTGGTTCCCTCACGCTTTCTCCCTGCACTCATGGTGGATGCTGGTCGAGATCACCAAGCAATCGCTCTACCCATTCATCCTAGTCGCCACGGTCTTCCGTTTCTTGTTCGAGCCTACCGCGCCATTCCGACCAGTCATCTGGCTGGTGACCATGTTCGGCATCGCCTTCGTCAAGTCGACGATGGCCGTCATCATTTCTGCCGATCTCTGGCTGATGGTCTTCTCGCTGTACGGATTCGTTTACTTCTTCGGTCTCCTGCCGTCGAAGATCTTCGCCCTTCTGACCATGAACAAGACGACCTGGGGTACCAGTGCTCGATCCGCCTCGGAGATCAAGATCGGTGCGACGTTCATCGCCGAGTTCTACCATCTCGGTCATCTGTGTCTATGGTACCTCTGCACGACCTTCGGTCTCGCCTACTTCTGCTCGGTCATCTTCAAGCAGCCCCTCCTGGCGCTTGCCGGCTTTGGTGGATTTATCCCTTGCTACGTGCTCTTCAATGGTATTCCCAACCCCCTCACTCCATTCAAGTTCGTCTGGGCCAAAATCACCAAGGTGGCTGCGGTCATCGCTGCGGTGTTCGCTTCGGTCTTCGTCAGGAAGAGCATCAAGCTCGACGACACCTTTACCGAGAAGCCACCGAGCGTGTCAGATCGACCGGCGCGACCAGCGCGACCTGCACCTATCATCATCGTGGACGAGCCCGTATACGAAGACGAGAAGAAGCTTATATCGCCATGGGCTTCTCCGGTCAAGATGCGCGAGAAGCGATCGGACTCCACTGCTTCAATGACCTCCGTCGACGTCCTGCCCTTGTATCGCTCGCGAGCAAATTCGGCGGCTTCGATGATGTTTGAGCAGCCGAAGGGAAGGAGTAAACGTGCCAACTCTGTTGCTTCCATGATGTTGGACAAGCAGTCTTTCGCCGGCCGGGAAAGGTCTGACTCCATCTCGTCACCCACTGAGAAGGCAGGGTTCAGGTGGGATCGGTCAGACTCGATTGCTTCAACGTCGCAAGGTCCGAGTCCAAGGTACAAGCGAAGCAATTCAGACGCTTCGACGATGACATTCTCGGCGCCACCACGATATCGCTCTGACTCGGTAGCCTCGACGGCGCCTACGTATATGCCAGGCATATCGCGTCGGGTGTCTGTTGCCCCCGGCCTGTCGCTGATAGGACCAGAGAAGCCTAGCCCCACCAAAGCTCCTTCGAGCTCCTTGCTTGAGAGGCCTGGCATGGCTTCTTCGCCGTTGCGAGCATCGTTCGTTGTGCCTTCAGACAGTCCGGCAGCCGAAGCGCCCAGTATGCCAGCAGTTGCAGGCCGCGCGCGATCGAAATCCTTCACCACGCCGCACTCTCCCCTCGCGCCTTCAGGGCTGCGAGACTCTGCAGTGGGAGGTCGTCCCAGAGCTTACTCTCGGCCTCAGCCTAGGCAACTTCTGAACGAGGATGAAGAAGAAGAATTTGTTGAGAGCGAGGAAAGCGATGCTTCTTCTCCACGCCGTCGCAGCGCTACAAGCTTGCGAAGCACCGATAGTGCCCCTTCATCGTCAGCAGGCTCCACCAAAGGTCGAAAGCGTTCCAACTCGGCCCGAGCACCGCCGCCGCCCTTCCCCGGGCTCTTGGCTCTCGGTCATGCAGACTTGACTTCCCCGTCAGCCGCCGCCAGTCGACTTGCCAGTGCCAACCCCTTCCTTCAGGCGCCAGCCACTACGGCTTCTCTGTTCGCAGACCAATACCGGGTGAAGAGGCCCGATGGCGAGCACAGCTCCGCCTTCTATCCTTCGGGCGAGCACGTAGGTCCATTGTCGCACACCCCCTCTCAAAGTCGCAGGGGCTCCACTTTTGGGCCTGCCATGGCGGGCGGACTGCTCAATGTGCCCCATCCAGCTCGGATGAGGAGTGGCAGCATCACAGCTTCTCGAGCTGCGCGTCATCCCGAGGCTTTGCAATCGAGAACGGCATCCAATAGGATCGTCTGGGCCGACGAATTGCCGGCAGACACCGCAGTGTCTGGCCCAAGTAGCCCAGTACGGGTCCTCCCTCGATCATCGTCTCTTTCGCCCAGCTTCACGGGCAGTGACAGCGACGCGTCGAGCTCTACGCCTCAGACTCACCCCGTCTTTGTTCTGCCACCCGCGAGGGATCCCTTCTCTGAAGCCTATGGAGCAGCGATGGATCGAGACGGAGAGTATGGATCCACCCAGAGTGTGGCCAGTCAGAAAGGCTACGCCTTCTAGATGCTAAAAGTTGTTTCATATCAGAATTCCATGTCACCAGATCTGTCAAAACCCTTATCTCTCTTGGTTGTGTATTGTATTGTCCTTTGTTACCAGCCTCTTAGAATTAGACACATCTATCCTCTTGCAGCTCAACGACTTGTGACAACTAGTGGGCTCGACGCTACGACAAGACTATTGACTCCAGCCAATTTCGGAAGAGGTGTGTCTGCAGTAGGTCATCGTGTTTCCCAGTCAAGGTCTCATGGTCCTCCTGAATTCCCTCTCTCCCGAGAATACCTCGAAGATATTCCGTCGCCGCGCGTATCTGCCTAAACGTCAGAAGCTCGTCATCCTTCGAATGAGCAAGGATCACACGAGCAACTGCAGGTTCTTTTGCTGCCGGCCAAGCAGGAATGGACACGGCACGCAGCCTCTCATCTCCTCCCTTTGCCAAAGGAGGGTCTCCAAGCGGCACGAAAGCCTGAGAGACGAAACCGGCGTAATCTGGATATTCGACTAGAAGATCATCGATGTCATATATGCCGTCTACCAATACCCAAGCATGGACTGCTTGCCGGATAGTGGCTAGCTCTTCACTGCTGAGGGGCGGTGGTGAGGGGCGTGGGATGTTGAAGGCCGCTGTGCAGTCGAGCAAGAGCGAGCAGAGAAGCCAAGCGCCGATGGAGTGACCCACTAGAACCGCTCGGTGTAAATTGTACCTGCCTTTCGGCGCGCTGACTAGCAGTAGCTTCAAAGCCAAATGGGTATCTTGTATGTGAGCCGGGTGTTGATTCTGGAACCCTCCGCTTTGATCCGGCGCGGCAGAGGGAAGGGAAAGGCGATACTCTACTAGGGCGACGCAGCAGACTCGAGCCTTGGCTAAAGACGCTGCGAGATCGTGGTGCGTAGCAATATCCCCGGTACGCCAGGCGCCACTGTTCCACGTGGAGACTGGTCAGCCGCTCAATGCAAAAGTGTCCTGATCTTGCCCTTGCAGTGCTCACCCGTGAAGAAAGACTAGCAGGGGCAGCGGGGCAGCAGCTGCAGCGTCAGGAGTGGTGGGGCTGTACAAATCGATGACTTGCCGAGCATGACTACCATAGGACACACGCTCGACCATGAAGCCGTCTGCCTCCCTGGTGCTGTGGTCCGCAGTCGTGCTCATCCTCGCCTTGATGTGAATCTTGGGGCTTGCGCTCTACTTGGCTTGTTCTTTGCCTCTGTGTATGCGTGTAGAGGTGGAGTAGCGAGCGGCCTTGCGTGTGCCCCTTTCCGCCGGCTGGGGGTGGCCGGCGTCGGGCGTAGGCGGGGGGAGGCCAGCGGGTGTGGGAGCCTCGCCTCTGCGCGCGGTCGGGGTGTGTGTTGCTCTTTCAGTGGACCCAGCCAATCCGCTTCTGGTCGTCGGTCGTCACATCCAGGCGGCGCCATTGCACAAGACCTTCTTGGTCCTCACCAACCCATCAACCTTTGCTCGCTCACTCCCCACCTCGCACATCGTCCTTCGTCGAGGGTCATCTGCCACGACACTTCACTCTGCTCGTGTCCAGCAGCGATCGGCTCCGAGTGACCAGGTCAGGTAACCACCAGTCACCTGTCCTCCTCTCGGTCACCCCGCGCTCCCTCAAGCTCCGCTCACACGACGTCACCCGCCAGCGACCTCCTCCGCGTCTACCTACACCCACTTGGAGACATCAACTCGACGTGGTCATCGTCTAGCGGAGCGCCGTAGCGAGAGCAGCTAGCGCATTTGTCCCCTCGTCCGTCATTGCAAGCCGCACCCTCCGGTCATCGTATGCACAGTGGCCCCCGCAACGAGACTTCATCGGACCCATATAGATTACAACGCTCCCTCGACGATTCCTCGCCGTCTCGAATTTACGCACCCCTGCCCACTTGGAACAACGGTAGTGCATCGGCTTCCACCCTCACATATCCCAGGAACGCACCCCTATCGCCAAAGGCTTCTGGTGGCACTTCGCAAACCACCGGCATGGCCCAACAACAGCAACAGCAGCATCTCAACCAAGGGTTAGGTGGTCAACAGCTCAATCACGGCGGGATGCAACAACAACAGCAGCAGCAACAAGGGCCAGGGCTGGGCCAACAGCAGCAGCATGGAGGACTAGCAGGCAACGGACTGCAACCAAATGGGGCACCTGCAGCCAATGGAGGCGGGAGTCAGGATGCTGCCAGCAGCTCGCAGCCAGAATACTCCTTGGCAGGAATTCTGCATTACCTCCAGAGCGAATGGAGGCGGTACGAGAAGGATCGGAACGAGTGGGAGATCGAAAGGGCCGAGATGAGGGTGAGTAGACCTGCAGGAGCACCGGTCTCAATCATTCGATGCTGAAAGGCATATATGCTTGCTTCCTTCTTCTCACCGCCATATCAGGCTCGTATCGCCCTTCTGGAGGGTGAGCGGCGTGCAGTGGAGAACCTGAAAACAGATCTCATGAGGAGGGTGAAGATGCTCGAGTATGCTCTGAGACAAGAGAGGTGAGTGACGAGCGAGGCGCTTGTGCACAGATCCGTTGTCGTTTGCTTTGGGACTGTCGCTGAAGCTTGGAGTGACGTCCTTGCAAATTCATTGCTACACAGGTCCAAGTTTCTCTCCTCTTCTGGTGCTCAAGGAACTCTAAAGAATCCTATCGTCGCTGGGCTGGAGAAAGACAGCAATACGCTTTCAAGTGGACGGAGCACTCCAATCCGATTGGAAGAGTCAGGTGAGTGAGAAGATTTTCCGCGACAATGCCACACAGAGAGCTGCCTTGCCCATGCTTACAGTGTGCGCTGCCCGTAGATCCCAACATCGCAGCCCAGCGTCCAAACTCAACGTATGCTACAAATACGACCGGCACGTCAGCGCTGGGAGGCGTCGGAGGGTCCGCTGCAACGGGCAGCACGCTCGGTCAGCAGCGTGGAGCCAAGGATGGTCGATCAAGAGAGAAGAGCCGAGACTACCTCAAGCAATGTCTGCAAGAGATCGCGTATCTCACTAGCGCTACTACTCTCAACCCACTCCCCGATCGGCCCACTGGCTCCCTTCTCCACGGGACGGGCAACCAGCAGGGGCCACCACGGCCTCGCAAGACTCTGGCGGACGAGAGTGGACCCGAGGGCATGGCCAGGCACATGTCTGGCCCTGGCGCCCAGAATGCTGCAGGCGATGTTGAGCAGAGGGCACCTGCAGACGAGGGCCACAATGGTGGCGTCGCTGCTGCCATTGAGCAGCGTCCGGCTTCGCCCAGACCCTTTGTCATCAACGAGGAGACCGCGTCAGAACAAGTACAGCGCAGTGAGCCCCCTCTGCTTGACTTTCAGCCCAGCGGCGGCCCAAATGACTGGAGAACTGAGGAACGAAATAGCAGTGGAGCAGGACAGGAAGATTTGATCGATGCTAGCCGGCAAGAGCTGAATGAGACTTCGGAGAAAGTACAGAAGCTGCTGCGAGGAGGCGCAAGCAACGGCACCTTCGAAGTCGGCGAAGGTGGCAGTAGAAGTGGTATGGAAGACGATGCTCTGCTCGAGGAAGCTCATGCTGCCATGGAGGAGAGCCAGAGTTGGAAGCTCAAGAAGACGCTGGCGCTTCACAAGGGTTCGGTGAAGGCTCTTGCCTTTGACTCGGTTAGTCTCTCATTGTTTACAGCCTCCGACGATCACTCTGTCAAGATGGTGAGGGTTGACTCGATCGATGGCGTGAGCACTTCTTCGGGTACCTCTAGCGCTGCATCGGTCTCGCGAGGGTCTGCTTCCCGCGCAGTTGCATTTACTGGACATACAAGCGCTGTCACGGCTCTTGTCACCTGCCCGTCGAAGAAGGTACTCTACAGCGGTTCGCTCGACGCAACGCTGCGGACGTGGAGGATCCCAGATGGCGTGGAGGATCATGAGCAGTCGAGTACCCCTGGAGATGACAGCAAACTAGCAGGAGAGCAAGTCGACAGCCAGACGGTGCCATCCGAAATTACCCAGATGACTCTGCTGCCTTCTCCTCGAGGCGAAGACGCTATCTTAGCCACCGCCTCTGCGGACGGTCTTGTCCGACTATATTCGCTGGAAGACGAATCGAGCAAACCCGCTCTGCTCTTCGAGTTCGATTACTTTGGTGTCGACTCACCGCCGGAATGTGAGGCAGCTCGGGAGGAGTTCAGAGCCGAGACGGGCGGTCTGCCTGTGCCGACTAGCATCTGCTCGATCCAGTGCGATCTCAAGCTGTGTGCCGTCAGCTACTCAAATAGCTTTGTCAAGATCTTTGAAGTCGCATCGGGCAAGGAAATGTCTCCTGCGTCAAACTCCAACTCGGAAGGTGCTACTGTCTCGTACGGTCCCCTCAATCTGCAAGGATCACGAGGCGACGACCCTTCTTCTCAACCCAACGCTTGTGTCTCTCATCCCACTCTCCCTCTCCTCTTCACGGGCCACGAAGACAAATTCCTCAAGGTCTCGCATCTGCACACCAGGAAATGTCTCGCGAGCATGCATGGCCACAAAGATGCGGTGACCTCGCTGGATATTGATCCGGCGGGACTAAAGCTTCTGAGTGCCGGTCATGACGGAGCGCTGCGTATCTGGGAGATTGTGGATGTCCTGAAGACGTTTACGGATGATGGGGAGACGCAGCAGGAGGGTGCTGGCGCAGCCGGGAAGAAGGCTGCCGGAGCGGTGCAGTCGCAAGCAAACGGAGTCAAGAGCAGTGATGAGGCAGCTCCGGACTCGTCCTCTACTCCTGCTCCTGCCCCTGCTGGCGAGGACGACGCCGACGACGAGGACGATGAAGAAGACGCCACCTTGCGTCTGGTGCAGGAGATTGTCGACCACCACAAGACTGTGCAGGGCGAAGGCGTGTTTGTGGTGCGGTATCACCGCACGAGACCTTACTTTGCCGCTGGTGGGGCGGATGGTTTGGTCAGGATATACGGGTGAAGGAGGAAGTAGGAGGTAAGAGGGAGGTGAGAGGGACAGGAAAGTCGAGGACAAATGGAGGTACGGGATGCAAGGAGGACGAGACGGCCCTCGATGTAGACAGGGTGGAAGTGGAGCAGATTTGAATGAGGCAATGAATGAAGCATATCAAGACATCCCGAAAAGAAATGTTTTGTGAGGAAGCACTAACCTCGTTCCACGAAAGAGGGCAGAGGTCAGTAGTACCAGCCCAGTAGTAGTGTATTACGTATCTCCACTCTAGTCCACTATAGTCTAATCAACAAGACGTGCCGCCGCTAACGTCCCCTTCGCTTTTGCCTTATTCGTCCTGGCTTCCACGAGGGAGCGTCTGAGCTCCTCTTCGCGCTGTTGATTCGGAGAAGTGCTGCCGCCATCTGCGACTGCTGCTGCTGCTGCTCTGTGCTCCTCTTTCTTCTCCTCATCAATCGAGTCTCCTCCTTCGTCTGCTGGCTTGACCCCAGCCTCATTCCCGTCCAGGCCTTTAGCAGTCCCCTTTGCCTTTACAGCAACCCTCAACTGCTCCTTGAGTGCCCGCTCCCTCTGCTCTGCGGAGGCGGCGGCGAGTCGCTGTAGAAGGAGGGAGCGCTTGGAGATGATTTCTTGTCTATCTGGGGCCGGGGGCGGGGGTGCCGAAGGAGGAGAGGAAGAGGGGGAGGGCGAGAGGCTCACCCTCTCTGATGGGAAAGCCTGGCCTCCCTCTTCTGGAGCCGTGATCTGAGGTCTAGGCGATAGAGAAGGGCCTCTTGCAGGGCCATACCCCGAGGTTTGCTCCCTGCTGCTCTCTCGCTGCCTCTTGCTACCGGCTCTCCCCTCGTCGCGAGCTCTTCGCTCCCTTGTCCCATTCACCCTCTCCGCCTCTTCTTCGCCATCGACATCATAAGCAACCACCGCATCAAACCTCTTTACGTTTCCCCTCGCTCCCAATCTGAGAAACACTCCCAACTCATGGGAAAAATGCTCGGCCAACTGCCTCTCTCTAGGTCCATCTCCGAGGACTTCCCCAAGGAGTTTGACAAAACCTTCTGAGCGGACATCGAGATGTTGCAGAAGGGATCGGAGGTAGGTAATAAGAAAGGGGACGTCTAGTGCGGTGCTCGTTGCCGTCATCGTCGGGTCTGTAGTGGAGGTAGAAGAGGAGGAGTTGGAGGAGGAAGTGGGAGATGACCAGAGTGGGAGCGCGAGCAGCTCCCGCCGGAGGAAAGAGGGCAGAGCTGAGGAGAGGAGATGAGGCTTGGCTCGTATAGCGGAGGGGCTGGGAGGTGGACCGAGCCCGGTGGTAGGATTGGAGCCGAGGTGCTGAGAGGCAGAGGGGGAGGCGGGGTCAGGTTCGGTGTGGCTAGAGAGTCAAAATCTAACCTGTACTGCGACGGTGACTCACCTTTGCGTATCTCCCATGAGAGTAGATCTGCCTCCTCTGTGTGATCTGCCTTGCAAAGTCCAAGTCGGCTTGCTTTCCCGTCGTATCGCGCGAGGAATTGCGAGGGGTAGCGCCATCCTGTCTCGACCTCCTACGCCTGCGCTCCTCAAGTATGGATCTTCTAGCTGCTCTTTGCACCTCTTCATCCTCCCTACCATACCCGCTAGTATGCTCTCCGCGTCTGAGCCACCATCGTTCCCAATTGACGTCTCCCCTCCTTCCCCTGCGCACAGCATGGAGGATGTACCTTCCAATGCCACGATTGCACAAGGGACACCTGCCCCACCTACACTCCTCTTCATCCCCCTCACCCGCTACACCACCTGGGGACCCTTGTCTAGCCTTCCCCTTGTAAGAAGCCGAAGAGACTTGAATCCAAGTGAGGATGCAGCGAAAGCAGAAGAGGGAATGTGAGCAATTGGGTAGGATAGACCGGTCGATTATGGGAGAGGTGAGACAGATGAGACAGCTCTCCTCTGGTTCGTCAGCGGCGAGGGCATCTACGTCTTTGACGTCGTCGTTGTCGTCTTGGATATGATTGACGATAGTAGGAGGTGGAGGCCTGATGTGCGAATGCTGTGGCGGGAGTGCTGGCTCAAGGGAAGGGAGATGTGTTCGCGATGGCCCTGCCTGAGGATGGGAGGAGGTGGCCATGCTGAGTGGCCCGGTATTCGTCGCTCTACAACGGATGCGGAGGGGATACGGTCCCACTGCGATGATGCGAGCTTCAAGGCCACGGTGGTCCGCAAGTGGCATGCAGGTACGAGTCGGTCATCTGCCGCTGTGTTCCTGGTGGCGTAGTGGTAGTGGGCCAAGGTGGGGACGAGGTACAAAGTGTGCCTTGGCCCTGTCCTTGAACGCCGGCGTAGATGCCGAGGTGGGCGTGGCTGAGTGGGGTGGCCCCTGCCCCCTCCTTCCTCGGTTGGCGCAAGAGCGTGGGGACACTGCTTCTTCCAATTCCTGCGTCTGTTGCTCTACAACTCATCTTGATCACAGCCAACTCCTCCACCAAGGTCACAGTCAGTACAACCAACCTTTGCTCAGATTGCTCTGCCACCAACAGCCTTGGTCGCAGCCACTCTGTGCCCATCCGAGCATGGTAGGACCCGCCTCCCCTCCTCCTCCTCCCTACTCTTCCCTCACCCGCGCAGCACCTTCTATCCTCGCAGCTGCTTCCCTCGCTGAGACCACAATCTCACTACGGGGCCGACACTTTGTGGATCAGCATGGTCGCATACTCAATCTCAGGGGCCTGAATGTGTCTGGTGCCAGCAAGCTCGTGAGTCGCTGCACACAGCCCCTACAGCTTGCCTATACCCCGTGCTCACACTGCCCACCCTTGCTCCTCCATGTCCCTCCTGAACAGCCCTCCTCAGCGCCCTCTGCCCCGCTATCTTTCATCAACCGGCCCTTTCCCCTCTCCTCAGCGCGTTACCACTTCTCTCGCCTCCTCTCCTGGGGTCATCCCTACATCCGTCTCTTGGTAACCTGGGAAGCCCTAGCTCACAAGGGTCCTCACCCATCACAGCTCGACGAAGACTACATAGCCTATCTGTACGAGCTTCTCAGTATCGCCGGCGAGATAGGACTCAAGGTCACAGTCTGTGCTCATCAGGATGTATGGAGTCGCTGGTCTGGCGGCAGTGGCGCGCCTAGGTGGACATTCGAGGTGGCCGGGATGAACGTGGATAACTTTGGACCTTGCGCCAGCGCCTGGGTAGGCAACCGTGAGGTGCCCGAGAGTCAGAGGAGTGCCGAGGACGAGAAGGTCGCTGGCGACTTCGTGTGGCCGTCTGGATATCAGAAGCTGGCTGCTGCCACCATGGCTACACTCTTCTGGGCTGGAGATACATTTGCATGGAAGAAAAGGGTAGTGCCTCCTGCGCCCCTTGATGGGTCCGCAAAGGCCTACCCCGACGCATTTCCCACTGGCCCGGATGGACTGGTCTCGATTCAACAGCTTCTGCAGACTTCATACCTAGCAGCCTATGGCCGTCTAGCCGACGTTCTGGCTCCCCTCCCAGCACTTATTGGCTTTGAGGTGCAAAACGAACCACATCGAGGCTACATCGAGCTACACTCGTGGGATGCATGGGACTACAACACCGATTTACACATCGGCCTTGTCCCCACGCTCAGGCAGAGCTTAGCGCTGGGAGAAGGCTACAGCCAATCCATCAATGTGTGGGAGAAGAGCTGGCCTTTCCCTACTCGCAAGACTGGGGTACGGCAGGTAGACCCAAAGGGGGTTAGTGTCTGGACCTCGCAGGACAGTAGCGAGCGCAGCAGCTGTCTCTGGCGGTCACAAGGAGTTTGGGAGTGGGACAAAGACAGTGGTAAAGCAAAGATTCTCCGGCAAGACTACTTCACAAACGATCCTCGGCCGAGCGAGACTGTACCTGAGGGGACGTTAGCGCAGACGAAGCCTGGAGATAACGTCGAGTGGTATAGAGACTGCTATGCACCGTTTGCAAAGAGGTTTGCTGCCAGGTGAGTGAGAGGAAGGCCCCGAGTCGCCAAGTCAGTGTGGTCGTAACTGATCACGCCATGTACTTCGCCCTCTTTTCACACCATAAAAGGATGCGACGATCCAACCCCGGTTTGCAAATCAACGTCGGTCCCATTCCCAACGAATTTTTCCCGCCATATCTGCCTCTGTCGCACCTGTCGACACTGAATAGAGACCAGCTAGCGACACTTCACACCGCTGCTCTCAGCCAAACCTACGCTAGCAAGACGGACATCTCCTCTACCCCCAATGCGCGACCAGAGAATGCCGTCTTTGCCCCGCACTTCTACGACCTCAATGTCCTCTTCTCCAAGCTGTTTGATATGAAGTGGAAGATGAGTGTGGACGTGCAGTCCCTCTCACGAGGTGGATTCCTGCCTTTTTCCCTCTTCTTTGGCGTGTCGGGTTTGAGGAAGAACTACTGCAGACAAATCGCCAAGCTGGTCGATTTGGCTCGCCTGTCACTCGGAGAAGTGCCGATCATCATCGGTGAGATTGGTGTGCCATTCGACTTGAATGTTTCGGGCCTCAATGCAAGAGACTCCAGATGGGCGGCGCAGGAGGTGATACTTGACGCTCTAGCCGTGGCGATGGAGGCGAGCAATATTGCTGGATGGACCTGGTGGAACTACAATCCAGACAATTGCAAGCAAGCGAGGGGAGACGGCTGGAATGGCGAGGACTTTTCTGTTGTCACCAAAGACGAGCAAGCCGGTGAAGAACATGGTGAGAAGAGCTCTTCTTCGCCCACCTCGGCGCTAGTGCCATCGAGCGACGATGAGAGCGTGTACGCGGGGGGTCGAGCCCTCTCGGCCATTATCAGACCCTACATCGTCAAGCTCGCCGGTGTGCCCATCTCCTCTTCCTTCGACTACCAGACCAAACACTTCGAAGTCGCCTTTGCTGAATCGCGCACTTTCCGCGAGGTCCACGGTGGACTCCTCGGTGAGGAAAAGGGAATCGCACAGGGTGAATGGACTGAGATCTTTGTGCCAAGGCTGCAGTATGGGTCTGCTGAGGAGGGAGTGGAGATTGAGATCTCGGATGGACAGGTGGTGCTTGATATGAAGGTGAGCTGTACAGTGTACAGACAGCCGTGTGCTATTGTAGGAGTCTGCTCCGCTGACGCACCACTCGTGCCTTCACTGCACTGCCTCTCTCCAGCGTCAATCCCTCTTCTATCTCCCCTCCCAAACGCAGCTTCTCCCCGGAACAATTCACACCATATCCATCCGCTCCACCTCTTCTCCACTTCCACGCAGCTCCCTCTTGTCTCTCCCTTCGCGCATCTTCCACTCCCTCTTCGTCTCCGAAAGCCACCTGAGCGTAGTGCTCAGTTTGATCGCAGTGGCCGTCGTGGGGTTGGGGTGCTTGGTGATGATGGACTCGCTTGTTTCGGGGGGAAAGGAGGGGCTAGCTGGGAGGGGAGTAGGGAAGGTGAGAGGTTTGATGGTATGAGCGAGGACAGGGAGAAGGAGTGGTAGGAGGCTTGGGCTGGACGGTGAAGGTCACCCTACAACCGGATCACAGTGTTCAACAACCTCATAGATTGTAGACAGTATTGCTCCATTCTCGGCCCGCTCTTTCCGATTTGATGCGAGCTGGCTGTCACGTCACAATCACAATGACAATCTCGATCGCACCCGACTATGCCACGCTCAGTCAAATCTCCAGTCCGCAGTGCGACTCCAAAGTATAAGCTGACGCTCTGAAATCACGCCATTGACATTGGCGTCTACGGTATTAAGACTCAAGATTCAACTCACGCCCCTATATTTAGTTGCCTCGCCTTCGGACTATCCTCCGCAAAGTCTCTCCCTCGGGCGGGCCATTTGGTCTTACCGCCGGGGCGCGAGAAGCGTGGAGCGTGAGGCGTGGAGCCGGGTGAGGTTGGGGATGTAAGTCGGAGTTTGCGGGGCTAAGAAAAAGAAAGTTAGTGGACCTTTACCCTTTACCCCGCGCTAGGTTGGTGCATTGGTACAGGACGCTCAGTCGTTGCTTTACGATGGATCCAATACCAAACTTTGCCGTTGCGACATGTACTCTGTAGTGAGCATTGATCCCTCATCGTTCATGGCGAAGACTCAGCTGAAGCAAGTCACGCCATTGCCATTCTGAATGAGGAGAGGCTGGCCAATCCGGAACGCTCTTTCCGTGTGAGCGACTGGCTTGTGCGAAGGCGTGTGCGTGGATGACTTTTCGGGGATAAGAGACGGTTGCGCTCCGCCGAGGTCAGAGAGGTGAGTGGAGTGGAGTGGAGTGGGAGATACTTCTTGGTACGGAGAACAACACAAGGCTCGATTCCTGCATTGCTATATAAATCCTCCTCTTTTCTCTCGAAGAAGATCCACGAACAACATCACTCATCACTCATCACCCACCACTCATTCTCAGTAGTACCACTCGCCCAATCTCTTCTCACCCATCATGTCCAGCACCGACCTCTCCAGCCTCAAGAACGACTCCGTCCACCTCTCCAAGGCCAACGGTGCCGTCCTGACCTACGGCTCACCCACTGTCCCTTCTCCCGGTGAAGGTGAAATCCTAGTCAAAAACATCGCCGTCGCCTCGAACCCAAAGGACTGGAAACTCTCCCTCTGGGGCTTATTCGAAGGAATTGAAGGGAATGACATTACCGGTACTGTCGTCTCCGTCGGATCTGACGTGACTGAGTTCCGTGAAGGAGACAAGGTAGGGTCTTTCACTCGTATGGCTACGGGAGACCAGTATGGTGCCTATCAGAGATACACTGTCACTCCTGCTGCCACTAGCTGGAAGCTGGGAAATGTCAAGTATGAAGAGGCGGCTACGCTCCCCCTTGCGGTTCTCACTGCCGTGCTGGGTCTGTTTGACAAGGCACGACTGGGCCTTGAGGAGCCTTCTGCCTCTGGTAAGCCACAAGGAGATCACAGCAAGGAGATCATCTTGATCTGGGGTGCTTCCTCTTCCGTAGGTTCCTTCGCGTTGCAGCTTGCCAAGCTTGCAGGATACAGCGTAATTGCCATTGCCGGTCGATCCGGATCCCTAGCCAAGAAGCTCGGAGCGGATGTCATCATCGACTACACGGGCAAGAGCGATGCTCAGCTCAAGGAGGACATTCTCTCTGCCGAGAAGAGCTTCGGTGAAGGACGACAAATCGTTGCAGCGTACGACGCAGTAACTACCGAGACTACCACAAGTGTACTTGTCGAGACACTCGGCTCTTCCCCTGCTCTACCCGGCGGTCGTGACAAGAGGATCACGACGATCCTGCCTAGCAAGCTCGAGGGAACTCACTCCTCTAGTGGTCCTTCCACTGTTCACCTAGTCAGGACAAACGTTGGGGACTCTCATAATGGATCCGAGGAGCAGAAGAAGCTCACTAGTAGGTGGATTCGACAGCTGGGCGCTTGGCTCGAGGAAGGAATCTTCAAGCCAAATGTCGTAAAGGTCATTCCCGGTGGACTGGCTGGAGTCAAGGAGGGACTGCAATTGCTCCAGGAGGGCAAGGTCAGCGGTGAAAAGCTTGTATGTGAGTATACATCGGACGGGAGAGACCGTACACCAATACAGGGAGCGTTCGCTGATGGCTTTGACCTTTTGCCCTTGCTTCACCTTTAGACCGTATCGACGATACCCCCGCCCAGTAGAGTCTTGCTCAGCCACTCGGAGAAGCGGTCAAAGTCTTTGTTGCCCGGAAGTCGGAAATTGTGTAATTAGCAGGATGTGTCCAGAGCTACGATGAATGTATCGTTTTCTCTTTCACCTGGACGTCCGCTCTGCACTGCCTCTCGGTCGCTGAACGTCTCTTTGCCCCTCATCCTCTTCATCCTCTTCCTCGTCTTCTCCAGAGACGATGAACCGCTCACGCTCTTCGTCGTGTTCCTCCGTATTTGCAAAGCGGCCACTTGTGGGTCTTGCACTGCCCCCTCCATTCCCCACGCTACCGCCTTCCTGCTGCTGCATCCTCCTCCCCACCTCTTCCAACTCAACTCCCCTCAGCTCTACTATTCCCCACCAGCTGAAAATCCAGCTCATCGCACTGACCACACTGAAAACTCCAAACGTCCCCGCCGGTCCTCCCAATAACTGTACAAAGCTCAAGTAGGAAGCGCTCCATACTAGATTCATGGACCAATTTGCGCACGTTGCGAGGGAAGAGCCGAGTGAACGAGTGCTGGGGTTGGGGAAGATTTCGGAAAGGATGAGCCAGGGGATGAGACCGGCGCCGAGGGCGTAGCTGAGGGTAAAGAGGATCATAAGGAAGAGGGAGAGGAGGGGCCAGAAGTGCGAGGGCGCGCTTGTGCTGGAGGTTGAGGAAGGGCCAGTCGTTGCGACCCTCGGTGGGAAGATGGTACCATTGCTGGCTGATGAAGGTGCGGAAGGGGGAGTCGTGTCGACCACACCTCCCACATCTCCAATCATCGCAAAGCTTCCTGCGAGCAATGCCAGCGAGATTGACATGGCCGCTGTAGTCCAAAGCATCAGCTTCCTCCTTCCCCATGAGTCCACAAAGCGCATCGCTATCACCGTCCCAATGAAGTTGGTAATGGCGATTAGACTGGCAAAGCCATTTGGATTCTTGTCAAAGGGAGGGCCGGCCATGAGAAGTAGACGGGAGGAGTAGTACATGATGCTGTTGAATCCGCAAGCTTGCTGGAAGAACATCAGGCCAGAAGCAATGATCAGGGCTCGCCTGTCGGTGGGGTCCGAGAAGAGCTGAGACCACTTGCTGCGGGTAGTAGCTTTGGACGAGTGAGCCGGAGGTGTCTCAGCTACATCGCTGTCCAATGAGCGCCTGACGCTAGTGGTTGGGCGGTCTTGGCTAGATTCCCTAAGTGTGGCAGCAACCTGCTGGCTCAAGAGACCGTCCTGCCTACTCCTCTTCAGATTCTCCAGTATCCTGTCCACCTCGTTCTCAACCATATCCTCTGTCGCTCCTGGGTAAATCTTCTTGAGTACTCTGCGAGCTTGAATGAACCTTCCCTTTGCAACGAGCCACCTGGGGGACTCATCTAGCGACAGCAGGCCTACGAGTTGCACTACAGCTGGCACGGCTGAAGCGAGCACCATCCATCTCCATCCATGCGCAACGGGGAAGAGGATCGCATTGACCAAGTAGGCAATGACCTGTCCTCCTGTGACAAGTAAAGAGTTGGTACCAACGATCCTGCCTCGCAGAGAAGAAGGGGCGATTTCGCCCAGATACATGGGACAGACTGCCGCTGCTTGACCCACTGCAAGGCCTACGATGAATCTGCCCAGGACGAGCTGAGGGACATCGTTTGATGCTGTCTGTTCTAGTGATCCGAGAAGGAAGAGACAGGCGGCGATGAGGATGATGCGCTTGCGGCCGAGGTAGTCTGAGGCTCTGCCCGCTATCAGGGAGCCAAAGATCGCACCGACTGAAGGGAGGAAGGGAACAGGAGGGAGCGTCAGAGTCAGCGATGCTTTCTAATTCTCTGTAGCTGTAGCGATGTCTACGTTTGCTCACCTGTTGTTGCGCTCACCACCAGCTCCTGTTCTCCTGCGCTCAATGGATGGCCCAAATCCCCCTTGATCGCCACGAGCAACCCAGCGCAAATGCCCGTGTCCCACCCAAAGAGCAGCCCGCTGGTGCCGGCAACGAGCGATAGCTTCAGGAGGTAAGGCGTGAGCGTCTGCTCATGAGAAGAGGAGAGACCTCCCTCGTCGTTGCCTGCATTCAAAGAGGCGAGAATGGGCGCCGGTGGTCTGATCCGACTCTGGCTTCGGGGAGGGTGGGGAGTGTCTTGAGCTTCTCCAAGACGCGAACGCTCATCTGTGCCATCATCTATGCTATCTCTAAACGGAGCAGCGGCAGTCCTAGTCATCCCTTGAGGAGTAACGCCAGGAGCAGGAGCCATGGCAGCAGTCCCAGCAGCCAATCCCTCTACAAGGTGCTGCGTCTGCCTCTCTAGCAATCCAGGTAAGGCCTTGAGGGAGATGTGCTCGAGCTTGGGCAGCGCAGAAATGGGGAAGGTGCCAGCTAGTGTGGAAGTGCTGGGTGCGGAGAAAAAGACGGAGGAGGAAGAGGCGGCTGTACCTGGAGCGTCGTAGTGTCGCGGGGGGTATCGGTGTGCAGTGGGTGTGGGTGTGGTCTCTTGCTGGTCGAAGTCGTCGGCGTCGGCGTCGAAGAGGGGAGGCTGGGTACCGCTATAGGGCGATGGCATGTGGGTGTTTATTGCTGACGCATGTAGCGTAGTGGTGACAGTGGAGTCCGCAGCTGCTTCTACCGAGGGGAGCAAGGTGACGATGTGAGCTGAGGCCAGACCATGGGAGCAAAGGCAACCTCACAGCAACGGAAAGCCAAGCACTCAAGGCTGCACTCGGGCCACCCAACCCGTCCCCCCGCATGGCCCAGCCTCCCGCACCGGAACGGAATCTGCACTCGCTCGCTCGGGCCCGCTTCCTAGCCATGGAAAGTTCAAGACGCAGGAAAGCACCAAGGCAAGGAGAACAACACTTCCACTCAACAGGAAGATCTGTGGCATACACTCTGACAGCATACAGTCACACCATGAGCAGACTCAACTACAGCAAGGTGAGTAGAGATGGAGAGATGTGGAGCAGAAGGATCAGCAGTAGCAGGCCAATCCTCGCCCCTCCACAGCAGCTCACCTACTCACCTTCCTCGTGCTGCACTGCACCCTTCATACCCACAGTGGGACAATCTCGAGCTGAGCGACGACAGCGACGTCGAAGTTCACCCAAACGTCGACAAGAAGTCTTTCATCAAGTGGAAGCAGAGGGATATTCATGAGAAGAGGGAGACGAGGAAACAGGAGCTGGCAGCTTACCGCACGGAGTTGGGATTCAATGATACACTTGAGCCGTTGCTGAAGGAGGTGAGTGTAGGAGCGAAGGGGTGGACGTCAGTTGTATTTGAAATCCCTTGCTCAAAACAGACTTGTTGCTCTTCCTCTCTCTCACACACCTCTCATTTGCAGATCACAGACTCGACGAAGTCTCAAGGTCACCAGTACTTCTCACGCGAAGTCTCCCGTCTCTCTGCAGGTCGAGCGGAGCGCGGCAACAAGGACGGTCCCAATGGTCCCACTACCGACGACATGCTGCTCTCGCTCCTCCTTCAGATCAACGAGGAGCCCTCCGTCAAAGGAAAGGCCGACACAGAGCTCGACGAAGCCCTCGTTGCCAAGTTGGTGGATCACCAGGGACGATTAAAGGCACGGACCCTGCAGCTCAAGGCAGACATTCAGAGGATTGAAGAGGAGGACAAGAAGAAGATCACCAGCGAGGGACTGAAAGAGGGATTCAACAGCTCAGTGAGTGAGGAACTGGTAGAAGAGATTACCCTGTGCTGACTCCGTTCCCTTGACTCCTCACCCCTCTAACAGCACGTCGCCAAACCTGAACCTGAAGAAGCCGCTCCAGCTCCCAAAAAGAAGACACAGAGCAAGAAGACGACTACATCTTCCATCGAGACCCTCAATGCTCCCTCGTCTTCCTCCGCGGGACCCTCTTCAACGTCAGCCGCACAAGCTGCCGACTCGGATGCAGAAGACGACGAGGAGGAAGTGCCCGACCTGACACCCATGACCAAAGCCTTTGGTCTTCTCCCTCCCTGCATCCCCTCCTTCTTGCCTTTGACCCTCTCTCAACTTCCACCCAACTTCACTCCCAAGCAACTAGACGGCAAGCCCTTTTCCGCCGCTCTAGAGTTTCTCTCCTCGCACCGTCTCCTCCTGCGCGACGACTCGGATACCAGCGATGCCCTCCTGGTCGAGGCCTTCCAATCCCAGATGCGCGGCGAGTCCAAACGCGCCCGCGGCTTCGTGGAAAAGGGTCTGATGATCCAATACCTGACCAAGCTAGGAAAAGACGGTGTGAACCTCTTCTTCCGTCGGATGGCCTCGGCGGATGGGAAAGCTGTGACGGTCTTTTTCAATGATGTGCTCAGCACCTACCGACGGATTGCCGATCGATGCGAGACGCTCAAGAAGGAAGAGGCCGAGGGGGTTGGTGCGGGGGAGGAAAAGGAGCAAATTCAATTGGTTGCAGAAGATCCTTCGACGGTCATTACCTTTGAGGTACCAGAAGGACCACCCCCTGAGAATATTCAAATCGAAATGCCCGAAGGTGACGAGGGCGAGGGCGATGGTGAGGATGGGGAGAGACCACAAGTGGACATTGAGCAAATCCGTCTCTTCCTCCAACGTCGTTGGGACATCTTCCTCTCCCTTGAAGAAGAGATGCAAACTGCCCTCCGTACGCATAATTTGGGCAAAGTAAATGCTGTATTGGGGAATATGAAGGTGCAGAGGGCTGAAGAGGTAGTGGGATTACTTGATCAAGGTGGGATATTGAATTTTGGTAGTGGTGGAGCCGAAGTTAGGGATGAGACGGGAAAGTAGCAGAGGGGAGGGCGTGTGGGGAGGGAGGGAGGAAGGGAGGACGAGGATGATTTAATCTCCACATCGTTATTGAAGTACAACCATGCGCGTTTGATCGAGTGAACGAATTGATTGATGGATTGAGGGATGAGATGAGATTGTACAAACAGAGATCTGTCGAAGTCTCTATAGTGAGAGACACCATCTATCATTCACACCACCAAGGCTCCGAATGCCATCCCTCCCCCCTCTCCGGCTTCGCCAATCACTGCAGAAACTTCTTCAAGGTCAACAACCTCTGCCCACCCTGCTCCAACTGTCCCCCCTTTTCCACCTCTCCCTCCCCTCCCACTCCCACATCTTTACAAAAGCTCAACCTCAACCACTTTTCAAAGATGGGCACGTGCTCCTTGCTTACAAAGGCCGTTGCGGGAATGGACACGACTTGTGCTTCCTTGGCTACAAAGTACCCTAGACGGTAGTGGGGTTGTAGATCCGAAGGAAAGGGGTAGTCTTTTGGAACTTGAAGGGCAGAAGCATCGACCATGATAAAGTAGGCTCCTTCGGGTAGGGTGTATGGTAGACCTAGGGCATCAAGTGCATCGCAGAGGACTTTTCTGCGAGCTTCGTACTCGCGGACTTGCAAAGCGTAGAAGCCCTCTTTACCAGCTTGGTTCAGACCTACAGCGCATGCTTCAGCAGCAAGAGAATTGGTGCAAAAGGTGATTCGTGTGTGGACTACCAGGACCGGTTTGATAAGATGAGCTGGGCCAACTGCCCATCCAATACGCCAGCCAGTGGCGGCAAACGTCTTTCCTCCTGAGCCAACGGTGATGGTTCGGTTCCACATACCCTGCAGGGAAGCGATACGGATGTGCTTCTGATCGTCAAAGGTGAGGACATCGTACACCTCATCGGCAAGTACAAGCTGATCGTACTTGATGCACAGTACAGCCAACCGTTGAAGCTCCTCTAGAGAAAAGACTTTTCCCAGTGGATTGTGTGGAGTATTGAAGATGATGGCCTTGCACTTGGGTCGTTGGAAAGCCTTCTCGAGGGCATCCCAGTCCACTTTCCAGTCTCTAGCTCGAGAGCCCTTGGTCTCCTTTGGAGGCAAGAGAGGGACATAGATTGGTTTTCCACCCATGAATGTCACTTCGCATTCGTACTGATCAAAGTGTGGAGAGAGGAAAATTACCTCGTCCCCCGGCTCGAGGAAAGCAGTCATGGCGCAGTAGATTGCACCGTTGGCTCCCGCCGTGACCTGAATCTCCGTCTCTACATCCAACCCTACGCCCTTGTCGGCCCTCTGTTGAGGAACTGCCCCTGAGGAAACATCAAAATCATCCTGGGACTCGTCGTTCGTTGGCTTCCTGTAACTCTCCCCAACCTGCTTCGCCAAAGCCTGTCGCAGTGCTGGCCTCCCCTTAGGGTGAGAGTAATGATGTACGTCTACCCTCTCTTTACTAGCCTGTTCCAATGCACCTCGTACGAATGAAGGTGGAGACCAATTCATGAAACCTTGACCTAGGTTGACACATTCGGGAAAGACGAGGGGGTTGAAGGTAGACCAGACGTCGGGACCGCGAGTGGCTTCGGCGGTGATGCGCTGGGTGATGGTTCCTATGCGCGAGTGGTTGGAGGGATTACCATTGGGTGGAGAGGGGGCAGAGGTGCCATTGTTGTTGTTGTTGTTGGTGGTGGTGGTGGTGGCAGAGGAGGAGGCCGAGGCCGATGAGCCTGCAGCAGCAGAGGTGGGGGCCATAGTGGAGGAGTGGAAGCGTACTGCGTTGATGGTAGTGATACTTCGCTGGGCAGGGTGCGATGTCGATGGCCTGACGATGAGTGAGTAGTTGGTGTGTAGTCGTGGTAGTAGTGAAGAACAGGGGCGGATCCGAGGTATTCTCATAAGCACCCGATCGATGCAAAGGAAGGAGATGATGCTCAAGAGGAGGAGGAAGAAGAAGTGAAAGGCGGGCAGCAGCCACCACCAAGCAATCACCCAGTCACCGGAAGGCGCATCTGGGCGGAGTCTCAATCCGGCAATCACGCCTTCTTCTTGGCCCTAGAGGGGAGCAAGCAGCAGCAACACCACGCACGGCACACGACCACGCATGCTCACGCCAAAGAAAGGGGGAGTGAAAGTGGATACAGAGAATCACTCGTGATGAGCTCGATGGCACACCAACAGCAAGAGAAGAGAGAGAGAGAGAGAGAGAGAGAGAGAGAGAGAGAGAGAGAGAGAGAGAGAGAGAGAGAGAGAGAGAGAGAGAGAGAGAGA